GTGAGGAACGGGGGCAGAAAGTCCGGAATATGGCATTTTTCAAGTTTCAAATTGTTTCCATAGTATCAAATTAGTTCCAATCAGTTTCAAATTAGTTTCAAAATCCGGTTGCAAAATCGCAGTTAAGGGGAACTGCAATTTCTGTCCGCGCTTTTTGAAAACCAGGAACCTCTGAGATTCCTTCATTTTTTTTGAATTGCGCGTAGAAAAATGCAGTTTCCCCTTAACAGCGATTTTGCAACTGGATTTTGACACTATTTTGAAACTAATTTGAAACTACGGAAACGAATTTGAAACTTGAAAAATGCGGCATTTCTGCTCTTTGGCGCTTGGCCACACCCGAGCAAGAGGAGAGCTTCGGCTTGAATCTGCCAAAGGTACATCTCCGACATTCTTCCCAAAAGCCATTCCAGCAACAACTCTTGCCAAGTCAGTAAAATATCTTGTCCGAGACTGTTGATGGACGAAATCTTGCATGACCCCCTACGTTACACGTGTGCGACGGTTGGTAATCGAGCTCCCCGCGCCCCTCGAATTTCAATGTTGTGTGCGCATATGGGTGATGCAGGATTTCGGTCATTCACACACATGCAATTTCGAAGCATTGCAAGGGTAGCAATGTTAAGATTCAGGGTTTGGAAGGGATGACCTGCATAATAAACGTGATGCAGGATTTCGTCCATCAACAGTATGTTTTGTACTCAGGGCTTCTGGGCTTTTGAGCTTCGGGGCATGGCTTTGGGGCTTTGGGGCTCTGGGGTTCTTGAGTTTTTTGTTTTGGGGTCTCTTCACTTGGGAGTCTTAGGGCAAGTAGCAGGGCAGCTTAGAGTTGAGGAATAGACTTCAAGGCTTTTTTCACATTCTTCAAAGTCCTCAAGCCTATGTTTGCGTTTCTGAAGTAGTGAGCCAGGCATCATTCCCCAAAATCGTTGCAGCAGATGAAGCAGGAGAACTGCTGATCATTTTGCAGGAGGTCACTGTAGAAGCCCATCTTAGAGCCCTGCTTTCTTTGTACCTGAAACCCAAATGAGGGTTTCCGAAAAAATTGGGGTACCTTTTGGAGGGTCCCTTGAAGGGATTCTGGGTACCCCCTTTGGGAAATGCCCAAATAGCCCAAGCTGACATGACCAGCGCTCCCACTAAGTCGCTGTTTGACCTTCGAGCTGAAAGGCGAACCGCTCGAGGCCGAATTTGGATGTGGGGTTGGGACGTGAGCCCTAAAATTGCTCCCAGTATCGATATGGTAAGGTGTGTACCAATATTGTGCGCAGGGATTCTTCCAGTCCACGAGTTCCAGCGAGTGGCCAGACCCTACAACCCCACAAGCCCGAAACCCCAAACCCTAATCAACATCCAGACCCCAGGATGTGATCCTCAAGGGCGGAGGCAACATCAAGCTGAAACGGCCCCGTGCCTGCAGACTAGCTTAGATAACGACAAATGAAGGGTAAGCCCAGAGGCTTAAGCTAAAGGAGGTCAGACTTCAGCCTTTCTTTCGGCTGCCCCGGCTCCTGTTCAACAACTTCGCATATTTTCGGGCCACTCAATATAGGTTCCTAAAAACAACGTCCCAGAAGAACCTGGCTCAATGAGCTTAACTTTCTTCTATTCAGGCATTGAGGCCGAAGTTCTTGGATCCTGCTGGAAGCCCTTCTTACCCTGAACCAAACCTTCCATATACATATTGACATTGAGAGTGATATAAGTATATCTATTTTATAGTCATATAGTTAGAACTATAACTATAACTATAACTAGATTTTCAGTTCTCTCTCTCTATATATATACACATACATTATACATAATATAAATGTATATATATATATGTGTGTATGCATCCGATACTGAGGCCATCGCTGCTGACCCCGCCAGAGAGCAAAGCGGACAAGATGCGTACAGGGTGGGCCTTGCCAAGGGCTTCGCTTTGTCTTGCTGAGGGGTTAGGGTTGAGGGTTGGGAGGTTCCCCCTTAGACTATCAGTCCGTAATAGGGGTTATAGTTCCCCGATTAGAACATCTATCAGGGTTTAGGGTTTAGGGTTTAGGGTTTAGGGGAGTTTCTTGGGGGGAGTTTGGTGTGTTTGGGCTTCAGGGCTCCTTGCGGCTCCAAAGGGGGGTTTAGGGCTTCTAGGGTCTAGGGTTTCGAGGGCTTTGAGACTCCCTCTTGCTGCCACGCAGTCCCTAAACCCTAAACCCTAAACTCTAAACCCCCTCCAAGCCCTGGCCTAGCCGTCCGGCGACTTTCTTTTTCAGCTGCACAGTGCCAGGCACCGTGGCCGACACACGGCTTCAGCACAGGACCGTTTAGGGTTTAGGGCCTATCTAAGCCCCATCTAAGCCCCAAGCACTCAGGGTTGATGGTGTTTGGACTTCGGGAGCCCGTAAGCCGTGAACACCTACACCACCTGCTCGGACACGTAGAGGCTGACGCCCACAGAGCTGCCCTTGCGACCCGAAGCCCTGAACCCCCTGAGACCCCTAAACCCTAAACCCTAAACCCTAAACCCTAAACCCTGAGAGCCCTGAAGGGCCCCAACCCCCCGCAGCGCCTTCAGCTCACTAAAGCCCCTGAACCGCCTCTTGAGCTCTTAAACCCGCTGTACCGCCCTCAAAGCCAAAACCTACCCAAGACCCTGTGAGCCCCCTAAACCCCTGCAACTTCTCAAGCCCCCCAAAAGCCCCCTCTACCTCTAAGGGTGGCAGAAGCCCTGAGCCCCACGCGTCCTTGCACAGGAGATCCACTGGAAGCAGGATGCAACTCAAAGCGCATAAGCTGCCGATTCATTGGCCGCTCGTGACATTCGCATCTGCGGTTCCCTCTGGGTTAAGGGTTCGGGATGTAGGGGTTCCCAAGACCGTTCAGAAACCCTACATTCAAAAAGTCGGGATGCATGTCATCAGCAGGCCTCGCGGATCTAGCTGTGGGCATGGCAGCAGCAACCTCCCAGGATGAATTTCCCAATTCTGGGCAAGCAGAATGCAACACCTCTCAATGCAGGGTAAACGTTAAGATTCTAGGGCTTAAGGAACTAAAGCTGCGCATTGTTCTGATTCATCCTGGAGCCTTACCTTCTCGCAAGTCTCTTGCCAAAAGGACGCTGACCACACTCCCGGCAGTGCCACTGCTTCTTTACAATTGTGCTGAGAGAAGCCTCCCAACCCTAAATTTCAAACCCTAAACCCTGGACCCTCTGTGGCTTTGACTTGCAGATAGGTAGGACCCCAGCAGGATGTGTGGTTTCGGGAGCCCTTCCTTGTGTCGCGCTCGCTCTGTGAGGTTTCGAGTTTAAGGGTTTATGAGGGTTCATAGTCCTGAACATCCAGGCGCTTCTAGCCTGTTCAGTTTCTTGCCTTGTGAACCTGCAGAGAAGTGGCTGGCCTTCCTGTGCCCGCATCTCAAGACAGATCGAGTTTTGAGAGATGGTGGTTCAGACACATGCCCCACACGCAGAGTTGCAGCCTTTTCATAGACGCCCCCGAGAACAGGTCGAGCATGTGCCTACATGCCCATAGCCCATTTCAAGAGCAGTTCTTGCACTCGTTCCCAGATGTTCCCACACAAGTGTTGAACAACTACCTAGTATAGGTGTCCTCCTGCAGTGCCCACTTCCGTGGCGCTTCGCACGAAGGCTGGTGGCGGCGCACTTCCAGGATTAGGGTTTAGGTGCTCGAGCTGCGCAGTTGAGCATGGAAGCCTAAGCCAACATCGCCCAACCAACCCAGGACCTCGACCCTCCCGCAAACAAGCGGTGGGGAGTCTGGCCTTTTTTTTCGCGGGCGGTCATAGTAAACCGTCAAACCAAAACTCACCAAGCCTGACTGGAGTAAAAGCCCTCAAAACATCCCAGAGGCCTTAACTGCCTCTTAAGCCCCAAAGCCCTCAACCCGAAACACCCGAAACCCCAAAGCCCCGAAAGCTCGGAGGCAATGGCAAACAACAGGCATACGATCCTCCTAGTGCAGTTTGCACCTCAGATTGGGGAGAAGATGTGGGCTTTGATGGCTTAGGACCAGGTCAGACCGCGTGTTACTTCCACACACTACTAGCTTATAAACTTCCAAACCCGAAAAACCCTTACAAACCCTGTAAACACATATGCCCTGAACCACAGGTGCCCTTGTTGCAGCAGCACGTAGAAGGACTGCGATCACCCTCGACCCCCCTCCTCTGCATTGAGCCGAAGTTGAACGCAACTGCTCCAATTGGAAGCGCCTTACCGTTCGAACCACGGCCATCATAGCAACCCAAAACCATTGCAATTTTGTAAAAGCACCTTGCATCGCGGACCCGTGGGGGGATCGGTCATTCTTAGGGCCCCTGAAGGGATCTACTTTTTGGATCCTCCCAGGGGTCTGGGAGAAAGCTGGGAGCAGTCTTTGACCCCTAAACCCCTGAGGTTCGATGACTCGAAGGATGCGCGGACTTACGTGGACTACCCCGGCATTCGAGAGGCCGACACTGGAGAACGTTAAGGGTTAAGGGTTTAGGGTTTAGGGTTTAGGGTCTAGGGTTTAGAGCCACAGCTATCATGGTTAAGTGCGTCATCTCCGAACTGACCAGCAATGGCTTTGATGGACTTGATGGACTTTACGGGGCATACATATGAGGCATCACAGGCAGGGGGGGTTGGCACGTCTTGCCCTTGAGGTTACCCAACAAGTTTGAGGTTCGTAACAGTCGTCCGGTTTCAGGATTTGGGACGTCAGTTTCTATGCGGTGCAGGCGATGGATGGCGTCTGCCAGCTGTACGAGCAGAGCCTCAAGGCCTGTTGGTGTTTCGAGCAGCTTGGATTGCGGCAGGGTACCTCAAAGTATCCCCAAAACTGCACGACTCCAGAGCGAGGGCGAGCATGCAGGACACGCGGCTTGTGCCTAGCTGCGACTGCATGCCATGTTCTGCTGCATGTTTCCCGATAGGTAGAGGTATCGACGCACACCACCGCGAAAACCGCGGTGCCCGCGTCCTCGCCATGCTTCGCTTGATCTGTGTTCTTCATGCCATGAGTGCCACAAGTGCCAAGCCGGAACATGAAGATTACTCAGCGATGCTCCAGACGGCGATCCGCAATGCCTCTACGCCCAGCTCTTCATGGCCCAGCTCCTCAAATCCCGCCAACCCCCCCAGCCCTGCACCTGTGGTCCGCGTTTGGGACCGCACTGGGGAGGTGACGAGGTTCCGTGCCGATTCTTGGAAGCAGGCGGACACACTCCTGCAGCAGGCCCTGCAAAGCCACGGATTGCTGGCCGAGGGTGAGAAGTGCGTCTCGATGCGCGCGAAGACTGCCCTCGAACCCTGCGGCTATCGGCGGAAGGAAGGGGCCATACAATGCTTGGAGGATGGGGACCAGAGTTTGCCAAAACACGATGCGGTCCTTGAGCTCGAGTTCGACCTAGAGGCGATGCTGAACGACGACGTCGTTCACTTTGTCCGTGATCTGAAGCTGCCGGCCAAGGATTGGAGCCGAGTGCTCAGCAACCTACGGAGCAACGGCATCGTCCAGCTGGATGACTTCGTCAACCATGATGTGGCCCAGCTCCTGGAGGGCGTAGATGGCGTCTTGCCAAACCTCCTCCGCAAGAAGCTGGAAGACGTGGAGAAGAAGGCGAAGGCCAAGCTCGCTGGAGGGGCCGAGGCCGGGCCCCTCTGCCATCCCCAGGCCTCTCTCCCCATGTCTGTTTCCCCCAGAAAAAAATCGGAGTGCAACACCGTAAACCCTAAACCCTAAACCCTAAACCCTAAACCCTAAACCCTAAACCCTAAACCCTAAACCCTAAACCCTAAACCCTAAACCCTAAACCCTAAACCCTAAACCCTAAACCCTAAACCCTAAACCCTAACCCCTCCTTGGGGGTTTCTAGACCCCTCAGGCAGCTGCGGCCATGGAGAAGGTGAACCAAAGCCGGGAGGACGGCCTCACGCACGAGGACCGTGCCGCAAGCGCCCCAAACCGCCTCCCAAATTAGCCCTACAAGGCAGGATGCTTTAAGCCCTTTAAAGGCCTTCAAGGCCCACGAAGCAACCTGCGACATATAGAGCCACAGAGCCCTTTAGTTCCCTTCTCCCCCCCCCCCCCTCTACACCCCCCCCCCCGGCCCGGGAGGATCGCGCCTCGGTGGAGTTGGCGCACCTGGGCTTAGCGGAAGGCGCAAGGCCAGAGGATCTCGTGGCCAGGCCCTCTGGAGGCTTCTTTGCTCGTGAATTCTTTTTGTGAGAGCCTTTGGGCCACAGACTGGGTAGCTGTTTTGATGAACGTTTTGCAGTTTATTTGTGTTTGTTGTGTTCCTTATTTTTGCATACATTAGATCGCTTGCTCTTACACTTGGCTCAATGTTTTTTCGCATTCCCCACGTTCCCCTGCTCCCCTCCCCCCCTTTGCCGCCTCCCATCACCGCAAACCCCACCCCTGACAACGGAACACAGAGCTCTTGGTAACCGGAGACCGAAGACAAGATAAAGTTCTGATTGTTAGTTCTTGCTGCTCTGGTACTGAAGCTATATTATGAACTTAACGTGACTGCAGCAAGAGTCTTAGAAAATGAACAGCAATGCAAACAAAAGGAATCATAAGTCTCCTGCAAAGATTGTCCAAAGGGCCATAGAAAAGTCAGGTGTTGAGTGAGTGAATTGGAAGAAGAACCAGGCTACTGGCACGGTAAGAGGCTCACCCTCAACGAGCTCATCGCAGCTCATGGCCTGTACCGTGGCATCATGATCTCCGGCTCCGCGTTCGCCAACAGCGGGGACCCGAACTTGAAGGCAACTGTTGTGGAGCTGAAGCCCCGGTATGCCGGTCTGAATCCATGGGACTCCCAGCAGATAGAGACGCGGCCGGACATCACCAGCTCAGAGTTCAACCTCGAGTCTGAGAGCGCCTCGGACTTGCAGGTCGCCAACGGCATGGTCGAGAAATTCGGCGAGAGCAGTTTCCGGTCCTCCGTCGCAGGGTGGTCTGCAGGGCTCAACATCTTGGGAACAGGCATCTCGGGTGGTGCGAATCGGGGCACCAGCGAGTCCAGTCGGAGCGCTGCCGCGGGATCAACCCGGGCACACAGCCGCACGTCCAGCAAGACCAAGTCACTCTCCAAGTCGAAATACTACATGGAGAGCAAGATCGTCATCGCTGTCCCTCCAGACTATCTGAAGACGTCCCAGCTCTTCGAGGACAGCAGCAAGCTGACTTCCTATGCAGTCTGCAAGATGCACGGGCGCGTGCACTGCCATGAGCGCTTCCTTGCAGGACTGCAAGCCCGAGAGGCCTTTATGCAGCAGGTTGCAGAGGACCCCAAGAGTGCCGTGAAGTCTTCCTTGCAGAACCTCCTCTTCCAGTTCGGCTCCCACGTCTGCCCCAAGGATCCTTTGTTGAATTGGGGACCCCTCAAAACCAGGAGGGTCAGTTCTAAATATTCGTGTTCTCCTTATTGGGTTTAAGGGGATCATATCAAGGAATGTGTTTTTCAGAGGGGTTTTAAGGGCTATCCTATTATAAAGGAACCAACTCCCAACACTCCTCAGGTGACGCTCGGCGGATGGTGGCGCATCACCGCCGACCTGGAGAGCACGGGTGCCATCTCTCGCTCGGAGGAATCTGTGTCAGTCGACTCGAAAAATGCCTCCAAATGCTGTTTCAAGGTCCCCTATTTTCGTGAACCCCCCCCCCCCCCCCCTTCCCCTTCCCCCCTGCCAGGCCGAGAAGGCGGCGTCTGAGGCGATCGAGAACGCCGAGCTGAGCTCGTTCATCGCGGGCGCGGGCGCAGGAGGCAGCGGCGCCGCGGGGGGAAGTGTCAGCTCCGACCAGTCCACCGAAGCTGGTCTCGACATAGAGCTGTTCCGGAAGACCAAAACTGATTCTCTAATGATATATACAGTGTATATATGATTACAAAAAGAAAGAGAGAGAGAAAGAGAGAGAGAGAGAAGGAGAAAGAACGAGTTAGGAAGTTGATTATTCGTCAGTAAAGGCGTTTGAAAGTTGATTAGTTAGCCCCAAGTCTTTAAGAGTGAGGAGGCCCGGCGCCAGGGCAGCCGGTCGGGCAGCTCACAGGTGCGCTCGGCCTCGCGGACCAGCATCCAGCAGACCTGGAAGCCTTCGTCGGGTCAGAAATGTGTTTCTGTTTTGTTACCTAGGCCTTTTTTTGTTTGTAAAATCAGAGGTGTAGATATATGATCTTCTGATATTCTAGGGTTACAATTGAACGTATGCAGAAAATGAAGGCATAAGACGCCTTTTCAGATAGAAGGCTAAGTGGTCACTGGCCCCAAGATGTTTCCAAGGAAGGGCGGGGTCTCCGGGCTGACGGCCCCGAAGTGGAGGGAGAGCCTCAAGGACGAGTTCAACTCGAACTGGCAAGCCATCGACCGAGACATGGCCACCTGCACTGGCATCTGGAACTTTGTGGGGGATCCCGACCTGCAGAAGGCTCTTTGCTATGAGTGGGTTCTGCAGTTCTGGAGGAGCTTTGGCTTCGCCACCGATGACGTACCTCCCGGCATCTCATATGAGGCCGTGTGCACCAGCACGCCCGAGATGCAGTCACTGATCGAGTTTGCACAGGACACCAGCGTGAGGAAAAAGTCTGAAGCGCTCGCAGAGGAGAAGAAGGCATGTGAAGGCAAGGAGGAAGGAAATTTCTATGATGCAGAGAAGAAGGAGTGCCGGCTCCGACAGTGCCTCTGCACAGTTCAGGCGGATCTAGTCCTGGGATCTACCGGTACAGACTGCCTGTATGAGGGCGCGACGGATTGTGAGGGCTGCTGCCTGGAGAAGCAGCGAGCTTCTTGCGAGAGCTTCGATGAGTGTTTCAAGGAGCCTGGTTACGCGAAGAAAAGAATCTTGGGTGACCTTCAGTGCCAAGCTGCAACGTGTAAGATTGAGTACGACAAGGACACCTGCTGCCAGCCTGAGAAGTTTGCGCGCACTTTCAAGGTTGAGTTTGACGTGACTGATTGGGGTAATTGTGGAAAGAGTGACACGGTGACTCTGTGGCTGAAGGGCTACGACACCAAGAACAGAGAGGTGGATGGGAAACACGTGGAAATCGATGGCATGGTCACAGGCACCACGGCGAAGGTTACCTATCAAGCCGGCGACGAGCTATATCCACAAGAACTTTGCATAGTGAATCACAATGCGCACGATGCCCTTTGTCTGGACGAGATCCGAGTCTACAACAACGACGTCGAGAAGCTCTACCATATCGGGAACGCGCCGGACTTTGCTTATGGTGACTGGCTCTATGATGGAGAGTTCTGTTCGTCCGTGGGGTAATTACTCCGGTGGTGCTTGAAATGACGACTGGAAGATGCTTGGCGACAGACTGATACTCCATTCGCAGATCCTCACAGACCAGAGTTGATGGCGTTGTGTCACCCCTAGTGCCGCCTTGTTTTCAAGTGCTTGCAATATCTTGCAATTGCTGGCGGACCTTGCGAACGAAGAATACTTCTCACAAACCTCCCGCAGCACCAACTGCCCTACTCCTCAACCCTTGAAGCCCCCAGAAATCCAAAAGCAATCCGCCCTGACTCCCCTCCCGGAACAAAAAATAGGACAAAACACAACAAAAACAAACAACACAAATCGTGGCTTAGGGTTTACACTAGAAGGCTGGTGTTTCCCGCCAGTCTGTCCAGTTCTCCTCATGCGCAAACCTAATCTCTGAACTGCCCGAAGTGCCGGTTCTGTGCAAGGCGATGAAGCCCCACCTTAGGAGCACCACCTACGATGTGAAAGACCTTTACGGTGGAAGCCTCAGCAACTGGGCGCTTTCTCTCCCTCCCTTTCTCCCGCCCTCTTTGGTTGCTATTTTCCCTTTCGCCAGTGAAGAACCCTGGAGCAACAGGCCTATAAGTGCTCCGAGTAGTACTGCACTAGGGTTGTGAGAACAGGAATTGACTAAATACTGTATAGGCTCACAGGACAGTTTGCTGGTTTCGCCTCTCAGCATGGCTCACCAGGATTGGCTCTCATGTCTGCATCTGTTCCATACAACAGTTGCTTTCATGTGAAAGACCGCATTTGGTGTCACGTTTCTGTTTTGTCTCTTATCTAGCATGATCTATTATCTTCGGCTCTGTCATTTTACTGTGCTTTTTTTCCGTACACTTGGTCACTTTGCCACAGCGAGAGCGCTTGGCTTCGTGGAAGCATGGGAGGTGTCGTGCGTGTTGTGAGATTTGGCAATATGTTCTGGGGCCAGGTCCAAAAGCTACCCAAAGCTGTAAATATTGCAGGGTGTTGTCGCGTTTTCAGAAACATAACATACCTAAGTTTATTGGTTGCTCATTATTCTTTATGCATTAGTAGTATTATGATTGTTGTTTTGGTTGCTATTGTTGTTTTCCCTCCTATGGTTGTGCTAGTTCACCGGGCAGCCACATGGCTGCTTTCGGTGTGTGCCGCATCTGTGACAAAGGTTGCTGTACTCCTCCTCCCACTCCTGTAGTAGCAGTAGTAGTAGTCGTCGTAGTAGTAGTACTACTACTACCAGGGTTTTCAATAAGACAGCTGCAAGAATAACAATGACGCATCAGCAACAATCATCCCAATACAATCCCAAATCCTAGGTTGTGGGGTGAACACCCTTGGCGCTCCTGTGAGGTTTCATCGATGCGGTGCAAGATCTCAGCTGCCTTGTCTACAATCCGAGATCGCCGTTTGCCTTCAAGACAGGGTTGAGGCTTCAACTGTGAATTGGCCTTTCGAGCTCATCGTCAATCATCGTCATGAGCGCTTGAACTAGGCCCGGTGCAGCTCGATTCTGCACGTTCCTGCATATTTCGTGCTGCCAAGGGGCTCCTATGTGCCGCACAACAAGGATTGGATCAAGGTGGCATCAAGGGCTTGGGGATGCGGGACCCAAAGTAGATGCTCGGTGTCCCTCACACACACACACACACCCACACACACACACACCCCCACACGCACACCCACACGCACACGCACACGCACACGCACACGCACACGCACACGCACACGCACACGCACACGCACACGCACACGCACACGCACACGCACACGCACACGCACACGCACACGCACACGCACACGCACACACACGGCACACACACGTACCCTGCTGCACCTTCAGCTGCACCCATGGGTTCTGGAAATTCTTTGTTCTCGAGTCCAGATCACGGCTCTTTCAGTCCTCGCCGCCTCAACGGTTGTCGAGCTTGTTTGCAGCGCCGGAGTGGCTTCGTAGCCTGCAAAAAAGTTTGAAGTCTGGGGTTGTAGGGCTGCTCTCTCGAGCAAACGAGCGTAGCCTACAGCTCAGCCCGTGAGGCCCTAAATCCTTAAACCCTAAACCAGATTAGACCCAACATCCCTTGATCAAGAGTCCAAAGCCCTTGAACCATTCAACCCTACTGAGCACCTTAAACCCTCAACCCGAACCCTAAAACCGTGCATTGCAGGTAGAGGTCTTCAACCATCTCAAGGCCCAGGTCCAACAGTGAGGGCCGTGAAGCTGCCACGCACCTAAGAAGGACATGTCGGGGGAGTTGATCGAAAAAGGTCCTCGGTTGGAGGGTTGTAGGTTTAGGGTGGAGGTCCTGTGAGGTTTACCAGCAGAAGTATTTCGGAGATCGTCTTATGTCAGTCAGCTACCATGTAGGGGCTGCTCCCCTTGTTTAGGGAGGGAGACGGGGGCAGGGATACCAGGACCTTAGTTCAGAACAACCCCTCCCCCCACCCCCCCCGGGTGCAGAATCCCTCGAGCCCAGTCGAAAGCTTATTCCGTACTTGCAGCTGTGTATATGTACATACAGGGGTTGTATACATCATGCATATATAATATGGAGAATATACTTGCAATCTACGGAGTCTTGACCACGTGGCTCGTTCGGGTTTGGGGCGCCGCGTTCGAGACTCGCAGGGGTTGCACGCAACCGCTTAAGTCGGCGCCGTTGACAAATGGAGCCTTCGAGGATGTATGGTTTAGGGCCCACAGGTTGCCACCCTGTTTAAAACCTAACCCTAAAGCCTAAACCCGAAACTCGAAACCCGAAACCCTAAACCCTCGAGCTTCTGTGAATGCACTCCCAGCTTCTGTGACTCGTGGACGTGTGCGGCCGCAGTGCATTTTCAAGCCAGATGGGCTGTGCACATGCAGCAGTTCTCGGGTCTAGGTAGGCGCATGACATCGACCTCCCTGTGTGTGTTCTGCAGCTTCAAATCTCATCTACCTACAAACAAAGCAGAGATCACCCAACGCCTCACCTGCGGTCACCGGTCGCGGCCGAGAGGCCCGGCAGCATGGAAAACCTTGGCCAGGTGCCGTAGGCCTCTGAAGAATCACGACAAAAGTTCTGAAAGCCTTAAGTCCAAATGTCGAAAGACCTAAAGGGATCTAAGTACACCCTGAAGCCCTGAAGCCCAAACACCCTCCACTCTTGCCCTCCAAACCCTCAAACCCTAAACCCTTAGCCTTTGCTCCGAAGCACTGAAGGCCATCAAGCTAAAAACATGCACCTCCCGTCCTAACCACGAAGTGCCTAGGACTTAGGTTTTAGTTTCTTATCTGGGTACTTGTTGTTTGTGGCTAAGCAAAAAAGATATATAGGTAACCCTGGCCCCCCTCGCCCACCTAGAAGAGGATCCTAAAGCCCTCAATCAACCTTGCAACGAAAAGGGGCTGGGTGCACTCGTGCAGCTCAAGAAGTTGTTTCCACACTCACGGCACCAGCGCTTCTAGATGTGATGTAGTCAGGAGGGTTCGATTTCGGCCTTTAGGGTTTATAGGGGTTATATTGTTTACAGGTTCTTTGCTCATGTGTTAGGGCTTCGGGTTCAGGGTTTGGGGTTGCAGGTCTCATAGAGTTTAGAGTTTTCCTCGTGCAGGCCCTTAGCGATGGACGCACTGGCCGGGGTCCCCAGCTCTGCAGGGCATGCTTTGCACCCTTGTTTAAAGGCAAACACCCTACACCGAAACCCTAAACCCTAAAGACTAAACCCTTCCTCTACCTCTCTGTTTCGGGGTTCTGTGCTGCCGGGAAGCCCTGAACCCACCTCAAGTCCCCAATCGAACCAAGCCTAAATCGTTTCCGGCTCGTTTGGGGTGCGCGGGTCTTCGGAAGCTTCCTCACAAGGGACCCTCGGGACTTCCGCAGCTGTCCCAGTTTGTGACTAGCAAGGACTATGAAAGGACTACGTAGAACGCGTTACCTGCCACAACCCTAAACCCCAAACCCTAAACCCCAACCATATGCAACCCCGTCCCTGATCAAAGCCGTTCAGAACCCCCAAATCCCAAAACTCCTTCAGTCGCACAGCATGAGAACTTAGAGAAAACCAAGACCCTTGTCGCAACCCCTTGACCGGTAAGGGTGAAAAGAAGCTCTAAAAGGCCCCTGAAGCTGCAAAGCCTAGAGCATGGTAAAGCTTGTTTGAGGGAAAGGTTTCGGGTTCAGGGTTTAGGGCGTAAGATTTTGCGTAAACCCTCAGCCTCGCCCCCCCCAAAAAAAAATGATCAAAAGAACCGACCCCAAAACAGAAAAACAAACACAACAACCTGTGTTTTTTTAACACCTTTCACGCCCAGTCCAAGCTAGCTTCCATGGGTCCTGTCCGGCTCTAAGTCTCGAGTTGGGTTTTGGGGTTTTAGGGCCTCAGAGTCGTAGTTCTTTGCGTAAGAGGGTTTAGGGTTTAGGGTTTAGGGTTTAGGGTTTAGGGTTTAGGGTTTAGGGTTTAGGGTTTAGGAGGTCATTGCTTGGGGGCTTTAGGATGTGGAGGCTGCCCGGCTTTGGGGTCGGCCATGGGGTTGCTCTTGATGGAGCTTCGCGGTCCCATCGGTCTGGGGAGTGCGCTGGGCGCTGGCCGATTTCTTCTTGGGGTTTAGGGTTTAGGGTTTAGGGTTTAGGGTTTAGGGTTTAGGGTTAGTTGTTCGTTCGAAGTCCGAAGGTTTATCCTGAACCCTTAGTAAACCAAGAGCAAGAGCTAGGGTTCCGGGCCTAGGATGATCCTCCAACATGAAGACAGATTGGACCTGTGATTGGCATGAGGACTTCTGAATGAAGAAGCTATACAGCTACCCTGCACAGACAAAACGCCACTGAGGCTCAAACCCCATGATGAGGTCAGTTCTCTAGTTTCCACCGTAAGCCCTTATCTCAAACAGGCAAAGGACCCGGACCTGCCAGACGTCATCGCCACAGGACCGCATCGTTTCGGTTTTCGGTTCAGGGTACTACCAAGCCCGAATGCAAAGAGAAGACTTGCCGTGAGTTCACGTCCAACAGAGCCGCTTCCTCCATGCAGCAATCCGTCACGGTCCCCGACCTGACAACCCCCGCTGCACACGTGCTTTGGGGAGGAGTCGGCCACATCGCGGGCAAGAAGGATGCCTTTGTAGCATCCTGGCCAGGACTTGGAGGGTTTTGGGTGTGCAGTGTTGTAGCTGGGGTTCCTGTTCTGGCCTCCCCTCAATCCTAAAGCAAACCACAGTGTAACCCTACTTGGAGGTTTCTAGTGCTAGTGTTTTCATAATTGGGTACATTCAACCGTATTTCTAACACCCCCACCCACAAGTACCCATGAACTGTGAATTCTATGATTTTTCAACCTTGTCAGCCATGAGGACCAAGACTGACCAAGACTGAGAAGTTAAGCTTGCGGGCCCCCTTCCCCCCCCCTTTCCACCCCCTTACATAGGGTTTCTTAGGGCTTCAATAGCTCAACCATCAGTATATGGTTTAAGTTCTTTTGGGTCGTGCTCAAAGATTCGGGGCGGGGAAGGACCGTCAGTATGGTGTAGTGTTTCGGCGTTGGGTGCCTGAGTTCGCCGATGCTCCGAGGTGCGAAACACCTTCATTGCCGGCGCCCCAGCGCTCATGAGATTCTTCACAGGCCCAGAATCAGAAACTCTGAGACCCCTCCAGGATTGAGCTCAAGCCCTTAATCCCCTCTAACCCTTTGCAACCTCCATGCTTTCCTCAAAAACTTGAGCACTGCCAGAGGAATCAAGTGAGTCCACAGACGCTCCAAACAGGAACCCCATGGAATCCCTACCCCTAGTCCTAACCCCGAAACTCTAAACCCTGATACTCTGAGACCCCTCCAGGATTGAGCTCAAGCCCTTAATCCCCTCCAACCCTTTGCAACCTCCATGTTTTCCTCAAAAACTTGAGCACTGCCAGAGGAATCAAGTGAGTCCACAGACGCTCCAAACAGGAACCCCATAGAATCCCTACCCCTAGTCCTAACCCTCAAGCTCTAAAACCCTGATTGACGGTTACCCGCATCAACAGAATCCCTGAGGTTAGGGTTTAGGCTGCTGCTTTTGGGGCTCTGGGCTTGGGGCTACTAAGGTCCGGTAGGGCTGATCGTCCCTCCCATGTCATGCTGAAAGCTGTTGGCTTGTATCTGGGGAAGCCCCGTATGCGGGCAAAGCCTTTGTAATCCCGGCCAACACACTTGTCCTTTGGACGACAACTCTCAGCTGGATGTGCCCGTTGATCTGCAGCTGGTTTTGACAGCCTCAGCAAACGCAGAGCTGGAAGGCGAGTCCTGAAATTCTCAGTCTTAAACCCTAAAATCCTGCTACAAACCCAGAAAGGTTGTTGGTGTAAAGCGAACCCCTTCCGATTGAGACCTCCACCAGGACCAGATCCCTGGTACTCCCAGCTCACCAAACGGGGCGGAGCGCCAGGCACTGTGGGCTTAGGGCTTTTCTTTCCTGAGGCGAGGGAGGTTTCACGGTTTTGGGATGATCTGAGCCTGAATATGATGGTTTAGGTCGAGGTTGTTTTGGGAAGACGGGTACGAGATTCATGTTTGGAGTGGGTCTTTCCCGCCGGCTTTCGTAAGTTGGCTCAGGATTTCGGGCTCCCAAAGCCTCCGAAATGAAGCGTTGCAAAGATTTTTGATTGTGTTCATATTCCTGTATGTTCAAAACCTTGTATCATTCGCTGCACTCAAGCCCTGAACACGAAGTTTTCGTACACGAAACCATCCAAAAACCCATAAATTCGATCAACCCCACCCATCAGATGGGTTACAGAAAACCTTTGCTCTGGTTAAGCTCAACATGCCCCACCACGCCCCTCGGAAAGATTGATTTCAGATTTTCGGATTCCTCGAATAAAAATGCAAGACCTGCAAATATTCAGCAATAAATGTATCAAATTTTGGAGAAGTTCGAGGCACTACTGTTAATAGCGAGGCTGGGAACCTTCAAAGTTGAAGGAGTTTAGGGCCTTGGCGACTTGGCGCTCTCAAGGTTTCTGGTGTTCGGTTTATGCTTATGCCCAGTGCAGCTTGGGAGGGTAGTTCGGGCGGTCACATGTGTAGAAAGAGTTAGCAGCTAGCATGGAGTGGCCTTAGGCGCGGGCTTTGCGGTGACTTCGGACCGATGGCGTAAGGTTCTGAGTGCTGCACTTTTATCGGTTTAGGGTTCAGCGAATCTAGGGTTTGATCAACTTCCCGATCAGCTGTACTGGGAGCAACCCTGCCTCCCCTGGGCGCTTTTTTTACTGGGCAGGTGCATTCGTGCCCTGGGACGAGCCTGCTCGACCATGCGACCCCACAGCAGGAGGATGCCAGGAAGCTGGGTGTGGGCCTCATTCAAGCAGGCTGTCCATCGCAGACTTGCGGGGCCGAGGCCGCAATGAAAAGTGACGCAGTAGGATAGAGCTCCGCAATGCACAGGGGTCACCCAAATTCGCTGCCTCACTGCTCCGTGAGCAATGCTGAGAATTCTTCGGTATGCTACAGTATCCGTACTTTGTTCTCGGCCAGACATGTTCAGGAATTGGAGCGACGGTTCTCGCGGTCGTGGGCCCAGCACAAGACACCGCAGCAGCGTGCTTACAGGAGTACTTCTTGCATGCTCTGGTGCAACACTGCGTCTGCCGGGGTCGACCGGCGCGAACTCTGCAAGAGTTGGCTCCACGACCTGCGAATCTAAATCAAAGTCGGTGCAGCTTTGCAAACCTTTTTCAAGGCGGAGGTCCTAAGAATTAAGCACCCTGCACACCCAAAGTCCCTCCCCACCCCTCCAACCCCCCCACTCCCGTACTCCCAAACCCCCCAAACCCAAGCCACCCTAAACCCTAAACCCTAAACCCTAAACCCTAAACCCTAAACCCTAAACCCCAGGCGGTGCCTTCCTCACCCGGGTCGGACTGTGACTCCAACAAGTCTGGCCTGCATGGGAGCCGGGACCAGAAGCCCTGGAGTGAGAGACCCAGAAACGGGGTTTGGGGAGCTCAGGGTTCAGATTATTGCTACGAAAATAACAACACTTGTCATTATTATGATTATTATTATTACTACTACTACTGCTAGTATCATGTATAATTTTTAGTGTGGTTGTTATTTTTATTTTTTTTGTGTGTGTGTGGGGGAGAGGGGTTTAGTGGGTGGGGGTTGGCAAGTTTGGGGAGTTGTGGATAGGTGGGATTTCGGGCTCTACCGCTAGTGGCGTGCAACCCCAAGCCCGAGCCGAGCTTTGAGGATTTTGGGCTTAAGTTCCGGGATCCTACCATACTATATGTGGACAAAAATAGCCGACAAGTCGGGGACCCAGCTAACACCTTCAAAATCCTCAACTTGGGATGTTGCCCCTTATACAGAGATGAAAGTACCCCCTATTAGACTCCCTATTAAACGGTAAGTATAAGGGGGAGACATTCCAACTTGGGCCTAATAATCTCTCAAACCCTAAACCCTAAACCCTAAACCCTAAACCCTAAACCCTAAACCCTAAACCCTAAACCCTAAACCCTAAACCCTAAACCCTAAACCCTAAACCCTAAACCCTAAACCCTAAACCCTAAACCCTAACCCTTGCAACCCCTCAAAAGCCCGAAAGCCTTACGAAGGTCCTGACGTAGTCCAGAAGCTGGTGGACGAAGCCGCAGCAGTGCTGGAAATGCACACGCCCTCCCTGCCAGGCGCTCCTTCTTCCCAGGGTGGCGTAGTTGTTTAATATCCCCCTTGGGAAGCTTTTTTTTTGTATATCCCCCCTTGGGAGTTATTTTTTTGGTTTTTGTTGTTTATAATATGAAACCCAAGAGGATATTAAAGAGATTGTGTTTGTTCAGGTTCTAAGGGGAGTATAGTTGTAGGGTTGGGATACTAACAGTCCTCAAATAGGGAGTAGAATACTTCAATCCCTTCAATAAGGGGGAACCCAAATTTTGAGTGTTATGGCTTTTGCGTCTTGGGGTTTCGGGCTTCCACGGCGGTTACACGAGCCAGTAATGTTGAGGGTTTACCAGGATGGGCTGTTATACCCTATAATCCCTTAAAAGGCCCTGTTATTCCCTATAATCCCTTAAAAGGCCCTATTCTTCTTATACTTCCTTCTCTTTAGGGTTCATTATGGGGATTGCAAGGCCTGCCTATCCTGGTAGTGTCGAGCACGCCGATGCAGGAGCCTCGCGAAGAAGTTCGCCGATGATGGCGAAAGCCTCCCCTCTGATGAAGCAACTGGCCTGATCTGGGCCGGGGTTTAGAGGGTTTCGTGTTTATTTTGAGACAGGAGGGTAACGGTATTTGGGTGTAATTTGGTGTTTGACTGGGTGGGCTCAAAGTGAAAAAAGTGACGGCGAATGCAAGAAGCTTCTTTCTCTGAACTCCGTGCACACGCTTTCTCTAATGACTGCAGGTCCAATGTGAGCATTCTTCCAAATTCGAAAAACCCACAACAGCCCTTACAACCACCGAATAAGCACCAAAACACCATACCTAAGCCGGATCCAAGGGGGGCCGACTTGGTGTCTTCCGCTGTGGCGGACGCTGCGGCCGCAGCCGATGCCTCACCTGAGGCCCGCGCCTCTTCCAAGTTTCGAAGACAGGATCTGCTGCAGGGCCTGTGGGATATTTAGGGGGTCAGGGATCAAGGGCCGTTTGGCATTGTTCAGGCCTACCGCCCACCGAGCGAAGCACATCAGCATCCGAAAAGCATTAAGCCGACGCCAGACGACAGTTGCCTGTTCAACTATCTGCTTGACCTGGAGGCAATTATTGTTGTTTCATTGAGCCGCCTGAGCCACCTAAGCACCATGGAAGGCTGATGCATGTGGAATCGAGCTTGCAGGTCAAGCCGCCAGAGATTTGCGGCACACCCTCGCCATGGCAGAACCACAGCCACAGCCGCCAGGACCACGTCCTCAAACCCGCAAATCCCTAAACCCTAAACTCTAAACCTTAAACCCTAAACCCTAAACCCTAAACTCCCGAAACCCCGAAACCCTGACCCATAGACGCTTAAAGCCTCAACAGCATGAAGCCCCCAACCCCATCTACGCAGACCGTGGTGTGCAGATCACGTGCAGGGTCGAGGGTGTTAGGGTTTAGGGTTTCTAGACTTTAAGGCTTCTAGGGTTCTTCAATGCTGGGTACCCATGTGGGGTCATCTTGAATTTCCTTATTGGCTTAAATTCAACCCTGGCAATGAAAGCTCTTGGGGATCGTTGACAGGTATACCTAGAATAGTGTTCTCAGGGTTGGACTAATGTAGGGGACTAAACAAGCAAGCTGCCTCTTGCAGCATCTCCGTCTGTCCGCCTCGTAGGTTGGTGCACTCAGGGGTAGATGGACTCTGCATGGGATTATAGGGAGTTATTGTCAGGCTTTGAGACGTAAAACTCCAGGATTTTCATCTTGACTCAGCCCAAGCTACTCGTACAAACCCCCTAAACCTTGTTACTCAGGAGTTCTGCTGCGCTACACCGTCTCCATGGCAAGGCGAGGCACTCAGCCCTTGAAGAGTCGAGCGTTCCGCCGAGCTGTCGAACCTCGCCCTGGAAAGCCCTACACCCTCAGCCCTAAACCCGAACTTCTAAACCCGAAACCCCACCCCTTAGCCCCAAACCTACACCCTACACCCTAAACCCTGAACCCTGAACCCTGAACCCTAGACCCTAGACCCTAGACCCTAGACCCTAGACCCTAAACCCAAGTCCTTGTGATCTTCCAGGCTCGGCAGTGATCAACCCAGAGATCACCGCCAAGTTGCTGGCAGCAGCCTGAATCAGGGTTTGGGGGTTAGGGTTTAGGTTTCATGGCGGTGATCAGCTTCCATGTAAACTACAGAGCCAAATTGCAGTTCCGTAACCCATAGAACCCAAAGTACCCCCTTTTCTACCCCAAATGGAGTAGGATCCCCTTAAATGGACCCCCCAAAAAGGGTACCTTTTCGGAAACCCCCAGGTAGCCAAGAAAGGGAACCACCGTCAGACACTTGAAACTCCAAGGCCATGGGACAGCAGAAGGGCTCGGATGGTAGCGTCCAGGCGCCTCTCGCATCACCTGCGACCACAAATGCGCGAGGTTTGGGGTTTAAAGTTGAGGGCTCCGGGGCATGAACTACCAACGTTATCTCAAAAATTAGGATGTTCACGCTCCGCGACCCAAACTGAGTGGGTCTTGCAAATCGGCGGGTGGAGGAGAGGGGACCATTTTGAGTCGCAAAATACCCTAAGTCCCTAAATATACCTTCAAAGGGCAATACAAGGGGATAGACCTCTCTGAATTCCCAAAGAAGTCCATATTAAGGGCCGGGCCAGTATGTTAATTGAGGAACATACTCTATGAACTATGTAAACTAAACATTCTTAGGGGAGCATCCTAGGCCCAAGGCCGACAAGCCCTATGGCCTGAACCGTGAGCCAGGACCCTGTCGCCATGATTGTGGCCTCGGCCGCAGCGGCCGCCAACAAAGAGCCTCCACCACCACCTGCGCAGGCACGCGGCCCTCGCACGCCAGGGGCAGCTCTCTAAGGTATCTGCCTTTTGGGAACCTGTAGTATCTTGGGCCATATTGTTACAGGGGCCCATTTTGGGACCATCATCTAAAAGTGACAGGGCTCAAAGCCCTTTCTTCTTCGTGGATTCAGATGAGTTGCTGGGCGATTGGCATCACCTTGCCGAGCCCAAGACAGCCATGCAAAGCCGAAACTCGTCTAGTTGAGTCCCCAGCCTTAAATCCTCAACTCCACCACCTCCGACACAGTACACACCCGATGGCAAGTACACACCCTTGTTGAGCTGAACCTGTCAGGCTCCTCCTGCTCAGCATGGACCCCGGCTACAGAGGTTGCAGTCTCCTTAGGTGCGTTCCGCCCGTCTTGGCCCTGAGGTACTCGAAAGCCGCAAACAGCCCATTGCTCGCACCACCGCTGAGGCCTTGAGGGTTTCAGGTGGGTGGGCGGAGGTTCTGGACAGACTGCCATGCCCCTCAAGTGAGGAAGGAGTATCATCAGAATTCTATCGTGTAAGAATTATGTTTTCATAAAAAAGCACATATGTTTCAGTTGATTTTATTGTATGTATTTTCTAGTATTCCTCAAAGAGAAGCATGGGAGTCTCTGGGGACAAGGGGCGACTCCGTAGGTTGCCCCGCATCGAGTCTGGGATCGCCAGCATCGAGGAAGGCGACAACAGTGCCTTCCACAGTCCGGATCCCAGCTTTGGGGGTCATATGGGGGGTCTAGGGGTTGGGGGTTAGGGGCTGGGTGCTGGGGTCCTCCCCCCGCGAGGTGCATCGTCGGACCCAGAGATCGCACCGGATGCCCTGGCCGCGAGATTCAATAGGGTTTAGGGTTTAGGGTTTAGGGAGATTCAAGGGGATGGTACGATTCAGGGTTTAGATTGCTTGATAGAGCGAATAGGAGCTTATAGGGTTGTGTGGGGCGAATTGGGCTTGATAAGATGTATGGGGTCTATGAGGGGTGTCTTAGGACTTATATCGAGTTTATAGGGTTGAGATTTGCATTCATTAAGTTGAACAAGGGTCCCAAGCGCACTGCTTGGTTGAGGGATTTCTGGAGTCTAGGCAAGCTCAGGGTCTGGAGTTGGGGATGTCGGCCTTAGGGAATTTAGGCTTTCGGGTTTAGGGTTTAGGGTGTAGGGTTTAGGGTGAATTTTGGGTTCAGGGTTGTGAGCACCCAGCGTTGGGGAATCTCAATGGGCTTGTTTTCAGAAGGCTGCACTGCGGAAGCTACCCTTCCAAGGCTCCCCAACTGAATCAAACCACCCTAAGCCTGTTTCATGAGCCAAGAGTAATGAGCCGACAGTTTATATAGAACTGAACCATATTCCCTTCTAGAACCCTTCTATATGTTTTTAATGTATATATTTTAAATATAGGTTTAATATAACCCCTTCATACACCCCCAAAGAAAGCCCTACACCCTGTCGCAGGCCATGGCCGAAAGCTTTGCCTCCCTTGTGAAGCCCGACCAGCTAGGGGCGGAACATGTCCAGCGCGGGCCACAGCTTGCGCGGTTTGAGCTGGTTTTGAGCTGGTTTCAGAACGTAGGCCCTTGTTGTTTTTTTCCGCCCCCCCCCCCCCCCCCCCCCCCCCCCCCCCCCCCCCCCCCCCCCCCCCCCCCCCCCCCCCCCCCACCCCCCCAAGTAGAAATGTTGAGTGTTCTAAGGGACGGTTACATACCAGACCCCTACAATGTTAAGAAGGCAAGGGTGGAATCGGTCGGGTTTGCGGCTTGGGGGCATCGTCCACTTTGATAGAATCTCTCTAAACCAGGCAGACCCCACATCAACTCAAACGACATCCACAGATTGAAGCAAGCCCTCGGCTTCAGCTAAGCCTGGAAACCCGAAACTCGTGAAGACAGCCCCGCAGAACTCGGGTTCAGGTGGTGGCAGCCGATGAAGGCCCGATTGCACAGCAGGGCCTTTAAATCTCGGGAATGCACGAGCCCAAGTATACTAGTTCCTGAAATAGGGAATGAGTGAGTTCGGTGCCTTATATCCGCATGGGTACCGAATTCTCCATTTCCCTACCAAGAACTTGCTAAGAAAAGACATGCCAACAATAGACGCTCATAGGTCCATTGAGTAAGGATTTCCCTCTTAAGATGCTCCTATCCCATGATCCATCCCTTCCAGGGACCTTTCGGGCAATCTGCAGGTAGTACTTCCCTTATGCAAAGACACCAGAGTTTGCATGACCAGGAGACGCTCTCGACTGAGGAGGAGGCAAGCGTTTAAGGGGGTCCAGAAGTTAGGGCTTAGCCTGTTCTCAACCAAGCCGCACTGGTGCTGAGGAGGGGCGGGAGCGAATCTAGATAGACTGGTCCTGTTTGCAGGTTCGGGGGCACTAGAATACACATTATACATATATATATATATATACAAAGAACCTACTTGGTAGCTTTGAAGGGGCTGCGAAACTTCTGGGACTCATAAGTGGCTCATCGTTGTGACCGGATTATGCAGAATAAATTCTGGCATCCACTCCTCCTCCTAATGAGATGTACGGATGCATGCGCTTCCATCGGGCTTCGACCTCTCGACGCCATAGCCACCCGCAATGCTACTCGCGCTTAGTCGCGCAGGCTGGAATTCTAGACTTCATCCAGCGATGGGGCCGGCTCCTGAGGGAACCATCCAAGCAGAGCGTGGCAATTTTGACTGACATGTAGAAATCTGAGCACTGCACAAACGCCTAAAACTTCTGTTGGCACCTCGTGCTGCTTGCAAGGCTTAGATGGGAACTGCGACAGAGTCTTGAGGACCTGAGGGTTGGAGCGGGGATGGTTTCTAGGAGCCATGTGGCCTTTCACCACAACAGACTTCTCGCAGTTGTCCCGAGATCATACTCATGGACCCGCCCCCCCCCCCCCCCATGTCATCGGAAATTGGGGATGCCGACGCGAGGAATCTTCCCTCTCACGTTCGGCAAGAGGCGCGCGGACAGCGGGGAGGGCTTGGTGCGGTTTACCTTGCATTCAGAATGACCCGGGCAGGGCTTACAAGATATTTGGGGGTTTCCGAAAATAGGGGAACCCTTTTTTGGGGTCCCTTCTAATTATTTGGGGTATAAAAGGGAACTGCCCATTTGTAGCCCGAGTTGCTGAAGGTGCTGGCAAGCTTTTTGGCGTCCCCTGACACCCGCAACGTCAGCGCGAAGCCGTTGGCTGAGACTCTGACGTTGGATGTTGCTTGGAGTTTGTGGGCGACTACATTACATTGCAGGAAGCCTTGAAACCCTAAACCCTAAACCCCAAGCGCCGAGCCGCCCCCTAAACGTTAAACCCGGGAAGTTCTCTAAACCCTAAACCCTAAACCCTAAACCCTAAACCACTATTGCATCCAGAGCTTGACATGTCTTCCGGGTTCCGGGGACCAAGATTTTGAACAACGCCCAGCTAAGGTTCATGTCGTGGCTAAGCTCGCGCATGAGGCCGGGCCCCCGGCATGCACGCGCGCAAACCCTCAAAAGGAACCAGGGGAAGTGTAAGGGCACCCCCAACAAACCCAATAAAACCTAACGCCCTCGAACCCTAAAGCCCCTCTTTTGCACCGCCCTCCCCCTGCTTGTTTTAAGAAGCCTCTCCCAGGATGAAGGAGGTTCCCTTACAAACCCCTTCAAGCAAAGCAGGGCACCCTGGGTTAATTCCTGGGCAATCGAGTCTCTTAAGGGGTAGTTTCATGGGCCCTTAATCTAGTCCCTTACCCCCTTTACAGGGTTCTGATGCATGGGCCCTCGGGTTGTGTAGGGAATATAAGGGGTCCCCTTTTTTTGGCCCATACTAAGACGACCATGTAGCTACCCTCAGAGTCTCAACCACGGAGGAACTTCGAGGAGATCCAGTCCGCGCTTGTGACGACGCCCGAGGAGATGGGGAAGATGGGTTACCACAGCGTTTTTGCTTTTGAGGGTTTTAGGGTTTGGGGGTGTTTAGGTGTTTTAGGGTTTTGGGGTTTGGTGTTTTGGGATGTAGGGTTTAGGGTCTTGGGGTTTAGGAGTGATTGGGATTTAGGGCGTTTCATCATGACGGGGCTTCCTTTCGCTCCTTGTTGGCAGAAGCCCTCGCCTCAGTGATCGTGGGGCCGACAGGAGCGACGGGCTTTCTATGAAAGATGGAGGCTGGGAGACCGAAGATGTTTATGAACAGTAATATAGATATATATATATATATGTATTGTTATGACCAGCATTATGAGTATGATCCGTATCATCATCTGATGAGTAGTATGAATGCGCCACAAAGCTCTGCATCAAATCGCGGCAGCACGACAAAGCTGTGCGCCGGCTTCCAAATCTCGCCCTCATCATGTCTCCTCGACTCTCCTTACCCTCTAGACCTTAACCTCTGGACGTAAGATCTCTGCGCTTGCCTGTTTGCAGGCTGGACCAGAAGTGCCGGCAGTTGGTGGAGGCTCTGCGGCTTTGCTTGATGTGCGAGGTTCTGGGAACTTCTGCTAGACTCCTAGACGCTAGAATCTAACCCATACTCGCTAGGATCGTCGACCGCATAGACATGTTACTACTCTTGGTACCCGATGTTGTTCACCAAGAGAAGCCAGAGGACGGGAAGTTCTTGCTCTGTTTTGGGCGATGAACGACGAACGTAGTGAATCATTAAAACTCGGCAATCCGACCTTTCACAAGCCAGCCAGAGACTCACGGAAACCCTTTGTTGCTCCGGCTTCGTGGCAGCTCTGTCAACCAGAGACTCGGTCTACATCTCCAGCCAGAATTTCCATTAAAAGCTGACCAGACATCCAAACCCGAAAAACTGACCAGGCATCCAAACCCGATAGGCCCGAAAGTGACGATGCCGTGCCAGGAGCAGGCGCCCTCGGTCCAGAGGGAGCTGATCTCCAACTTCAACCCGCCTGCCGGTACGAAGAACGTGGCTCTGGCGATGTTGGGGTTTAGGATGTTTTGGTGTTTGAGGCTTGGAGACGGAAGGTTCACTCAGTTTGGTGTTTCATGCTTTGCTTTGATGATGGTGTTTCATGCTGATGATGATGATGGTCATGATGATGATGATGATGATGATGATGATGATGCTCGGAATTATCTTCATTTTCGAATGCGCAGTCCTAAGGCTTTAGAGTGTAGAGGCGTTGGGGCTCTACGGATTTTAGGGTCAGGGTTTAGGCCACACCGTCGACCTCGGAGGACCTTGGCTGGATAACGCAATAGGAAGCCCTCGAATCCCCATAAAGCCCTGCAAACCCCAGATCGCCACCCCTATGAAGCCCCATAAGCCCTGTGGGGACCCCATAGATACTATAACATACTACCAAGCGTGTAAAGCCCCGTAAGCCCTGTATGGACCTTATGAGTAACACAAAACAAGGGCCTTATGTGCCTCCATGAGCCTGACAGCGGCAGGTCGCCGGACGGATGACTGCCTTCCTGAACATGATCCTGAACAAGACAAGGCGGGGATAGTGTTTATGAGGTTTCGGGCTGAGGGTAAACCGGAAGTCCTAAACCCTAAACCTTAATTCAACCCCAACCCTAAGCCTTGAAAGCCCGAAACCTTCGGGAACTTCCAAAATCCCCCTAGGCAGGCAAGGGCGGCGCCCCAGTCAGCCTCCTCCCGAAATCTCCCACTCTCAACGGGTCCCCTGCGATTACAACTGCAAAACCCTGTTCAAAGCCTCAACAAAAAGAGGACCGTTTCATGCCTTCGGTTGCTGGGAAAAACCCTAATCAAAACCCTCAGACCCTCAAAGCCTCAAGCCGCTCAAACCCGCAAAGCCTTAAAACCCTGAATGCCCGAAAACCCGAAACCCTAGACTCTGAACCCTCCCAGTCCCCACGGTCTTGGTCTGCAGGTTCCGGAACTGCAGCGGGCCACTCCCTGAGAGGGAACCGACTTCCGTTCAGGGCTCTTCAGGTGAAGGCTCTAGGCTTTATGGCCTGTAGATTCGTAGATGTCTGTATAGGGTTTAGGGTTCAGGGCTTTTAGGGTGTAATGTTGTGCTTGGTTTAGTATCGGGGGGTTCACACAATTTTAGACGGTCTTGAAGGCAGTCTTGAATGTGACTGAATAGTGTTTGGCACGGGTTGGGGGGTCAAGGGTTTGGCGCCTGCCTTGGCGCCTTCCAGTCTCCTGCTTGGCCCGAGACTTCGCTTAGTGTGGGCAACCTCAAATGGTCGCAGGCTAGTTTTTAGTAAGCTTCATGTTCTTGGACCGCCATGCCAAATCGGTACTAAGGGTGTAGCGGTTTAGGCTCAGGGCTTGTTAGGTGTCTTTGCCTTGGGCGACCCACAGCGTGCCGAATCATAGGGCACAAAGGGTCCCATGGCTTTTTTTCTTGAACCCGTCCTCTGACCCTGTCCTTCAAAAAAGCCTTGTACACCCTAAAGCCCTGAAGCCTGACCTGCTGCCCTCTGCAGTCCTGACCCGGGGCCCCGAAGCCCCAACCCCCCTGAACCCTAAACTCCGCCGCTGAGGCCAAATTCTCCGACCAGGAATCATCAACACGGCAAAGGCCAGCATTGCACTCCGGGTGATGCAGCGACCCCGAATTTCTGTACATTCATCATGAAACAAGAAGACTCATCTGGGCTTACGGCCGGGTTCCTCACACCTGGGGCCCGTGTTTTTGCACTGTTTTCGGGCTTATGCCGGGACAATTTATGGCCAGGGTAGATTCCAATTTGGTCCACGCAACGCAAAACCTGAGCTGTGTACACAAATGTACACAGTACCCTGTGATGCCGAAGCCTTGTGAGTTGATTGGAAGGTGGGCGAGGTGCACCTCCAGATTTTCCTCCTGGAGAACAGGACACCCTCCGGTCGAAGCAGTGGTGGTCGATTCACTCAAGTCCCTTGTGCTGTACTACCGTGCTTCAGCGAACGGCGAACGGGCACGATGTTCTCCAACAAGTTGCAACCGATATGATGTCGCAGGGGCATTCGGACAAGGTCAGCGAGTTTGTGGCACGCGCGGGTCCTAGTTGATGCTGGTTGTAGGGCGTTTGTCGGCAGTAGGGAGGGGACAGGTGGGGCGGGGGGGTAGGGGCAGGGGGGGGAGGGGGTGGGGGGGGGTGTGGGGGGGCGAAGGGCGGGAGTTCCGCCTACGGCGAGGTCTCGGAGGAATGTGCAGGAACGCGACGAGTCGACAACTAATGCAAGCGAAAACGACTTGAAGCGTTGGTCTCGCAGCAGTGTGTGTGCCTGCGCCTGCGCCTCTCCTGACATTCCGCGCAATGGCTGCAGCGCCCGTGGCAGCGAGCCCAGCACAGCCGGGAACGGATCAGTCAGATGCAGTTGAGAGTTCAACGGGGGTGGAGTTCCGGCTTTGCGGCGTCTTGTTGCAGAGGGAGAAAGAGGAGCTTCCGATGTCAATTGAGGCTTTGATGAAGCTCGCCGAGATTCTTCCGTGCCAACTCCCGGTACTGAGACAGAGCGACGCAAAGGTGGCGGCCAAAGTGGTCGGACCTGGCGGTGGACCCCCGAACTTCTTCGAGCTCGAAGCAAACCTGAACAAGTTTTGGGAGGCAAACTCAGGTTCCACAATCGACATCGATGTGAAGAAGAAGAAGAAGAAGAAGAAGAAACTGTCTCAGAACCCAGAGCTGCGGCGGCGTTTGTGCGACTCTGGTTTTGGGGTTGCATTCCCATGCTTTGGGGTGCTGCTAGCATTGCTGACTGGGAACAGCTTCGGGCTGCTGCCGCGCGAGGTTGCTACAGCAGTGAAGCTGTTGCAGCGGACGTGGGGCAGCGTAGTGCGCCACCATGATGACAATGCCCCGCTACAGCAAATGACTACTTTTGCCGCAGCGACTGTGGCTGCCACCAGTCACGCTGAAGATGGGTATCTCAACGCGTTGTTCATGGAGGATGCGCGGAGCTACCTGATGGACAGCATGGAAACCTCAAAAATAAAGAGGAAGTGGTCCGACACTCTCTTGAGAGTGCGAACATCCCTGCGGACACGTCCAAACATATTTTGGGTCAGATAAAGTATGCCATTAACTTGAAGAAGCAATACCACGACTTCTTTTTGGATGCTGATGGAAAAGCTGTCCTGCTTTCTGTGAACATTTGGATGCAGCAGAAGGTTGATGAAGTTGAGATTGCTCTGATGCTCTGTGGCTCAGAGTTCAAGCAGCCAGTGGACAGCTCTTTTGTTGAGACCGAAGAAATTCAGTACGAAGAAGTCACAACAAAAAAGCGTCGTTGGTGGACCGGTTGGGAGGAGATCGTCATGACGAAGCACCCGGTCACGGTTGATGGGAAGAACCCTCTCAAGGTCAAGATGGAGCGCAGGATCACGGATCCAAAGAAGATGAAGCCCAGCGAGGTGCAGCAGCTGAAGGACTACCTGGTGAGCTTAGCCAGCAAGTCCATGCTGCAAAACAACGCGCCGCACAAGCTGCCAACATCATCGCCGCGCTTGGTTCCAGCACCCGGATCTGTGTGATCATGTGCTGGCTCGGGTGCGAATCGGAACGGCAGAGTCAGGGGGGCAACTCTGTCACTCCAGTTCTACCCACTTTTACACAAATGTTTTAGATGGTAGATCATAGAGGACATCACGCATGAACACTGCAGTTCATCTGATGATGTGTCACGGCTGCCGATGCGCATGCCATACCAACAGCCATCTCATGTCGACCTGGGGCAGAACAGAGCTGATCACGTTGCAACCCTTTGCTCGCTGTTCATGTTGCGCATGGCTACGAAGTCAAAACATCCTGGACCCTGAAACCCCCCCAATCCCCAAAACCCCCCGAAATCCCGTCAGCCTGTAGAACCTGATCAATTCGAAAAACGGGGCCGAGGTTGGGGCCTGGACAATGGAGCCCGATCTGCGCTGCTGACCCTCCCCCCTGATGCTCAGCAGGCGCATTATGGGCTGATGCAAATCTTACTTATCCGATAGATGAACTTTAAACGTTTTGGGTGTCCTTATTTGTAAGAAGAAGAAAGGTTTACCTTTTTATTCTTGGCTAATGAAGAACGAAGAAAATGCAGGCCCTCTTTGTTTCGATTTCAGCGGTCGATGTTTGCATTTTTTGCAACAGTTGAAGGGGAATTCGCCCACGTCGCCCACGTGTGAAGCTTTCAGTGCCGGCTTGGGATGATTGGGGTTCGGGCTCGGTCCCAGCTTTGGGAACTCAGCAGCAGTTGTAGCAACCTCCGGGCATTCGAGGTCTTAGGGGGGCTTAGGGCTTAGGGTCTCGGCCTTCTGGCAAGCACTAGGTGCTCAAGGTGCTCAAACCCTGGACCCCTAAGCTGAAATCGCAAAACCCCAACGTCTAACCCTGAAACACCAAGGAACCCTAAACCCTAAACCCTTAACCCTTAGCCCTTAACCCTAAAGTGAAGGCCGCCATGGATGGCTTCAGCCCTTCCATGTCGACCGAGTGCACCAGCGCAGCTCCCAGGTTCAGCTGTCGTCCCTTTGTGCAACTTTGCTTCAGGGTTTCGGGTTTAGGTTTTAGGGTTTAGGGTTTATAGGGTTTAGGGTTTAAGGTTTAGGGTAATTAGGGTGTAGCCTGGCAAAACTTAGGGTTTGTTTCCTTTCTTTGGTGGTCACTTGGCAGCTCCAGACTGCCGAGCTGAGGTCGGAGATTCATCGCGTATCTGCGCTCCGTCACGCTCTGAGGGTGAGGGTTATATAGCCTACACACCCTACCCTAAACCCTAAACCCTAAACCCCAAACCCCTAAAACCCGTGCTGTCGCAGTCCTAAGAGGGCCGACGGGATCATGGGATTGGGGCTTCGGGGAATTAACATGCAGCCCTTGCCTTTTTCAAGCAGTTGGCTGAGCCTCATCAGTGCTGTGAGCTGTGATGGAATGGCTGTTTCATGGAATTCCTACACCTGAGAAACCTCCCAAAAAGCATATTAACCCTACACACCCTAGAATACCTATAAGCCCTAAACCATCCGAAACCCTAAACCCTAAACCCCAACCCTGTAAAGCCCTAAGCCTTGACTGAACGTGCCGGTTCCTGCTCTCGAGGCCAAGCCCCACTTGAACCGCAAGGGCAAGTCCGGTGGCAAGGGGCGCCGGACCCAACTAGGGTTTAGGGTTTGGGGTTCAGTTTAGGGTTTCGGGTTTAGGATCTAGGGTTTGAGGACTCCGGTGAAAGAGATGTGGTCGGCCCTAGTAAATCAGTTCAATGGCCAAATTTCGACGAAGGACCCTCTTTCATCAGAGCAAAGTCATCGTCGCGCCGGCCAACCTTTTCCTTGAAGCTTCCAATCAGCTCTTCATCACAACGGCCCATAAAAGACTCTGAATTCCCACGCACATTTTCATCTGTTGTCTTGACGGCTCTCAACCGGTAAGCATCTATAGTACGCTTTATAGGACTTGCCGGTTGCGAGATGAGCCCTCAGCTGGGCTCAGTTTTCACTCGTTTTGGCTTCACCCAAGCCAGGAGCCCCATAATCCCTGAAACCTGAAGCACTCCTGAAGCACTAGTAGCCGGCTTCGGGTCGAGCCTTAGGGCAAGCCTTAGGGTCCTAAGGCAAAGCCCTGAGCCCAACACCCCCGAAGCCCCAAGCAAGCAAAGCTGTCGACGCAGGCGCCCCCCGAAAGTGCACATGGACCCGCCACTGGAACCAGGCCTTATGTTCGGTTTTCTTTGGGGAGGGGGGGGGGGTGGGGTTAGGTGTAGGGTTTAGGGTTTAGGGTTTAGGGTTTAGGGTTTAGGGTTTAGGGTTTAGGGTTTAGGGTTTAGGGTTTAGGGTTTAGGGTTTCGAGGGGGAGGGCGACAAAAGAGAGTGAGCATGGTTTAGGGTTTGGGGTTTAGGGTCTAGGGTTTAGGTTAGACCGTAGGGGGTTTGGAGGGTTTAGAGGGTTTGGGCTTCTGGACTTGGGGTTTTAGAGGGCTTGGCGTCCGGGTGCCAAAAAAAGCCTACAATTGAGACCAACCGCTTTTTTCACCCGAAACATAATATGAATGAATATGCAAAATTAAGATGTGCATATGTGTATATGTATACATGCACGCACACTCATCAACAAGACAACTGTTTGCCGTCAGTATGCATAGAAGTGGGGGAGGTAACCCCCTAAGAGACGCACATCTTGTGATGTCTGGAAGAAGGTTTTAAGGAGTCCCCCAAGCATCACAAGAGGTTCAGTGTGCATTTCCCAAAAGGGGGGGGTACCTCTAAAAACGACGACCATCCTTATTCTCGGAACACTCCAACACAGGGTATCCCTTGTTTCGGAAACCCCCCATGTAGGGGCCGATATATCTTTTTAGTGTGAGTGTTGAGTAGTTTGGATCGGAATTACATCCCAAAATTTGGTAATTATTAAAGCCACTGCAGCCTCTGATCAGCGGAGAGCTGCTGACCCTGTAAAGTGTCAAGCTGTGTAAGGAAGGTGTCTTGAGAGACCAACATGTCGATCAACCCCATGAATCCGTTGCCTGAATCCTAAACCCTAAACTCCTAAACCCCAAACCCTAAACCCTGAACTGCCCCCCCCCCCCCCCCCTCATGTCCTGAGACGAGGCCTCATGCTTCCGCCGCACAGAGTTCGGGCACCAAGGGCGCTCCCGTGCCGCTTCCACTTGGGGGTTTAGGGTTTAGGGTTTAGGGTTTAGGATTGAGGGTTTAGGGTGTAGGGTTAGCGCCCTCCCCCGCCCATGTTTGCCTTGCCTTACCCCCTTCATCCCCCTCTTCCCCTTCTGGCCCGAGCACTTGGGTTTGTGTACTGAGGTTGCGGTCATGGCGACTGGCCCCCCAATGACCATGTTTGCGCGCTGATGGAGTATGGGTATGATGTTCTGCCATGTGAGCGAGGCAGGTAACAAACGTTACAGGCCAAACTCACTATGTGGCGCCGATCAGGGAGTAAAGAGTTCAGAAGGCCGACATAGCAGAAGGCCGATGCAAACTATACGCAAGCGCCCTTGCTCAATTTGTCAATCGTTCTGCTCCTTCTCCTCTTACCTTGGTTATGTCAATGACACCCCTCCAGACATTGCAAATGCTGTTGAGCTGAGCCACCCTCCTTGATCGAGCTGCCAGCTGTGAGCTGCTCATCAGCTAGCAGCCTCATGTTTTATAGTGCTGGCAAACGCTGTGCGAGTGCTTCGCGTGCGCCTACTGTTGACCTTCCTGAGTCGCAGTCCAAGGAAGCTTGCCTTTGGCAGAAGCTTGGCTTTGGCAAGACTCGCTTCTGTGCTGGCTGTACAAAGTCGGCCCAGTGTCGAAGCAGTGTGGACGCCCTTTGTTTTTACAATCAGGTCCATCTTGCAGATCCTCCTCTGAGAACAGCCCGCAGTGAATTCTAGCAAAGGGCAGCTCCTAGTGTTGCGAAGAAAGTCTAAGATATGCCCTCTGGCTGGTAGAGGAGGTAGCAACCCAAAGACACTTCCAGTGCAGGAGTCGACCATTTTCTTGTGTGAGGCGCCTGGTCAGCCAGCTTCTGAAGAGCACGCAGACTGGCGGGCACCGGGGGAAACTATGTAATTGTACATGTTTCCCGCGGGTCACGGACAGGCTTTGGCGCCCTCGCTTCTCTGATCTGTGGGACTTTGGTGTGGAGTTTATTCGGTGTAGTGCACACAAGATCTGTCTTAGTTACCTTGACCCAACCCAGAAACAAAGGTCGCTCATTTTCTGTCGGTCTCTTGCAAGCACTGGCACAAGATCGGGACTTGTGAAACAGCCCGAGGTGCGAGAAGGTACCAACAACACCTGCTCTGTTGCTGCATTGCGTTGCATGCCGCTGCGCGTATAGAAACGCGCCCTGATTCTGCCTCAGCTCCTCCCTATACTCTCCAAGACCACAGCAAGCGTTGGTACTTTCACCAGTCTTCTTTGTAGCACGGCGCCGCTGTCCAAAGCAAACGTTTCAAGCCTTGCTGGCATCGGAAGACTTTCGACAGCCTTTCCGCCTGAGTAACCTGGCTATGTTGCGCTTTGATAAGACCCCTGGATAAGCTTGAACTGCCCTTCTTGAAAGACGTTCCTCTGCACCACAGTCCTCCCAATCGTGGCCTCATCATCACATGCTTTTCCCAGATATCAGGTGCCGTGCAAACGGCAACCTCCAATTCCCTATGCCTATAAACCCTTAAACGCTGGAGCTCATAAGTCATACATTCCCTATAAACCCTAAAACAAATGAGCCCAGAAGTCATACAACCAGATCCCATAAGTCATACCTTCTACATTCCCTTTCAACAGCCCACAAGTCGTAAATCCCGAATAAACCCTATAAACCCTTAAACGCTAGAGCCCATAAGTCATAAAACTCCCAAAAAACACACCCTTAAACACTAGAGACCAGAAGTCATAAACTTCCCCTATAAACCCTGAAACACTAGAACCCACAAGTCATAAATTTCCTATAAACCCTTAACCGCTCTAGAGCCCATAAGTCATAGAATTCCCAACAGCCTCCACCCGAGGGGGGGACTGCGGAGGTCACATGCCAGCAAGGAACGGAGCCTGGGCACAGCGCCTGTAAAACGCGCTTCAGGTCCTGAGTTTTTGGGATGTAGCGCCGGGCCTTGGGCCTTTTCAACTTGAAGTTTAGGGTTTAGGGTTTAGGGTTTAGGGTTCCAGGTAGGCGCTATGTGGGCTTCAAGCTGCAGGCTCTTTAATTCTGAACCCCAAACTGAATTGTTGTCAAGGAACTAAAACTCAGTTACCATTGATACGGATACTACTTGCTGTCTAATAGCCCTGTAGCAAACAGTATGCTTGCCCATGGTACAGTAGCTTGATTGAAGTACCTGAACAGAAGTCCCAGCACACCGGGCCAAACAACGACTTTGCACGCCGCATCTGTGGCTCGGTCGCTGCCGTCTAGAAGTTGGAGGGGCCGCTTCTTAAACATGTGACATGTACGACGCGTTGACAGTCTGGTGTCGTATTCTTGCCAATGACAAAAAGTGAAATCTAAAGGATCCGCAGGCCGGATTTCAAGACTGCTGGCACCTCGCTTCACATCACCAGACAAGTTCTCAGGCGTCCTCAGGGTAGGAAGCATCGGTTCGGCACAACACCTACTTCCCCATATTTGGTGAAACCTACATCCGAGTCGTGGAGCTTCACAAGCCTGGCCCTGAATGCCTGGACCTCGGGGTCTTAGGCTTCCACCATGTGACGCTAGCTGACCGCGCCCTTGGCAGCTGTACAGTCTCTCGCTCTCCGTAGCACAGACCGCGCGAACACTATATACGATATTCTGCAATATGTATTCGAAATGCTATATTCCAGTTGCTGTATTCCACATTCTTCTGTATCACGTATTGTACGTTTATTCTACTGTTTATGTGTTATTGTATGCACCATGCATGTATGTGTGCAGTATGTATTCGATGGGCCTTGTAATGGTCTATAGAGCGACTGCTCCGTGGAACCTCACTTACTTTGCTGGACTTCTGCAGCCCCTTTGCAGGCATCAATTTCTGCTCTCCCTTTTTGCCCCCATCTGCACAGCTCTTCTGCCAGATGGCTGCGATTAAGGTACATGGTTATGGTGGCATCGAGGGTGACGTCACCCCTACTGTCGCCAGTGACGCAACAAGCGAAGCAAGTCTGTCCGAGTTCTCCTCTCCTGAGAGCTCCCAGGCCTGTTTCGAGCATGAGCCGCTCACCAAAGAGGAGGTCCTGACGTTGCAGCGCGACCTGATGCAGGAGCTCTCATCGCCCGCCTTCCAGAAGGGCCTGCGCCAAGCATCCGGCCTCCGTGCTGCCGGCAAGCACACCGAATACCAGAAGGCACGGCTGGCCGTGGTGCGCGATGTGCAGCGTGCCATCGTTGCCAAGCATGGCTTTCCACCCTCGGACAAAGGTGTGGACCAGATGCTCCTGGCCATCCAGGACTTTCACGATGACCCCGACGTGTCCGTGAACGAGACGATCCTCCAGCAGCTGTCCTCTTGCGGGGTGCCGGCCGCGAAGGAGGCCACTCTTCTGGGCTTCGAGAAGAAGACGCTCGGCAAGCGGGACATGATCAGGCTGCTCAAGAGCCTTCAGGTCAGCTTCTCCGAGCCCAACTTCCAGGAGGAGCTGGCGAAGCTGAAGGAAGCTGACAAGAAAGGACACGGCACAGCAGAGGCTTCCGGCTTCCTCCAGCTCCCTGGGCGGAAGGAGCTTGCCTTCGCCGTCCAGGAGCAGCTGGCCCCTTGCTTTGGCTTTGAGAAAAGCAAGGAGGGGGTCTTGAAGATGATCTCCACATGCGGGACCTTCTTGACCCACCCGGAGGTGTCTGAGCTCTTCGACGTTGTCAATGCGTGCGGCCCTCAGTCGAAGAAGTGATCTAACCCATGCTGCTGCATTCTGACCTTCCTGCACGATGACTGCATAAATAAATAAAAAACATAAATAATTAGATACATAAATGAATAAATAAATAAATAAATGAAATATATACACACAGACACTACTCTGCAGGAAATTGGGAATGTCCCCGGCTGCATGCAAAGCCTTCCGCACGAAAGTGCAGCCGTAAGCGCTTGGAGGACAAGGCATCCAGGGCTTGAGTAAACGCAAGGTACATGTAAGCTTGCTCTCTATCGGGTTTAGGTTTGAGGGTTGAGGGTTTAGGGTTTAGGGTTTGGGGTTTAGGGTTTAGGGTTTAATTGGGCTTTAGGCAGTTATTGTGATGCCTTCCGTCTGGAACCTTGTGAGCTCTTGGAACACCGATGAAGTAGATGTGCACGAAGGCCTACACTTGGAGCACCAACTTCTGAGCAACTCTCCCAGAGTTCATCACGAAGAAACACAACGGAGAAGTTTCAAGACAATCGCAAACGTCATAATCAGACTCGTCACCACCATAACGACTGGCAACAATCTTCGTAGTAATCGGAGAACAGGGTTGAAGGTCAAGAGCTTTCCGGCTCTGACTATGACTCAGAGGTGTAGGGGTATAGGGGGATGGAGTAGAGATTCAGGGCTCAAGGCTCAACCACCATATCGAGCTTAACTCTAAACCTAACCTTTAAACCCATATGCCCATATCCTCAACCCTAACCCGAAATCCTTAACCCCGAATCGAAGCTGCCAGGCTGAGACTGCCTCGCAGACTTGCACTGAGCGCGGCCGAAATCGAAAGCTCCGGAAGTTTGTGCAGCCATCCTCCTCCACCCCAAACAGACAAAACCATCAGAACCCTAAACCCTAAACCCTGAACCTTCACAACCCTATCCCTATCCACCCTAACGGTTCGCCTAAGCAAAGCCCGAGCCCAAAAGCCCTACGGCTCGCAAGCTTCCGGAAGATGCTTCTTACCTGCTGCAAGTTTTGGACTCCAACAACGGCCCGTCTTCCTTTTCTTGGATCATTTTGCCGTAAGTCCGAGTCTTAGAATTGTGGCACGACCATCTCGTAGAAGCCAGGGGGGATCGCCGGCTGCTCTTAAGGAAAGCTAAACCCTAAACCCTAAACCCCAAACCCTAAAGTAGTGCAGTTGTACAAGGTTTTGGGAAACGCAGACTTGGAATGAGATCGATGCTTGTCGGCGAGTCCTGCCCCCTGTCCGATTCTGTTTATAACTTCTGCCATTAGCAGTTCTTCTCTACTGTTTGCTTAAGAGCCCCCCAACTTATATAGATATATGTATATATATATATGTATATATATATATACTAATCATCCCTAAATGCCCTTATAAGGAAGAATATTTTTTGTGTTTGGGGGGTTCTTAAGCAAATAGCAGTTCTTCTCTGTCATCTTGGCAGGGCCCTGATTGCCACTCCCCCCATGGGCGCGATTTTTCGCAAGGGGAGCGGCGCGTTCGGGGGACTTCAGCCCTTTCATACTGAGCTCTCTGACCACGAAGCAAAAGAACCCTTCATGGTGCTTGCTTGTAGCACTGGCGTGCTGCAGAAGAGCCGTGTCAACTTCCCAGTGGTCCCTTTTGATGCTTGCTTTTTGCCTGCTTTCCACATGATAGTTCATGTGCACAGGGAAGCTGCACGAAAACCAGGACTGAATTACTTTTACTGCACCACCAAGCCTAGAAGCCCCAAGTGCCAGACTCCAACAGTCAACAGCCGCTCCGGGAAGAGTCAGGCGCCCTCCGCATCTCCATAGCTCAAAGATGGTTGAACAAGCCCTATCACGTAACCCCTCACTCTAAACCCCATTTCTCATATGTTGAACCTTTTTGAAACCGTGGACCCTAAACTGGACCCTAAACTCCCTACCCCCTAAACCCGAAACCCTAAATTGCATGTTTGGGCAACCCAAGCCTCGAAACCAGCCGCCCCAGCGGGCCTTAGCGTGAGGCCACCAAAAAGAGCCCCAAAGCCCAATTGCCCTACCCGGGACAGCATGTACAGTTACGGTGCTGCTGAGTAGTCACCTTCCTCAGAAGTTAGATCTTATGACCCCCATAAAAAAGCTGCAAGTAAATCCCACAGGGAAGCTCCAAAAGCCTCCAAACCCTGCTGGCCTTCCGCGGCTCCAGGCATGCACGGAGCGGCGTTGCCCATCATGAGTGCACAGCCGTAGGACTCATTCCCCAATACGTCTTGAAGGCACCTCATCCCTCAAGACTCCAGAAACTGCGGCAAGAGGCTGCTCACAAGCAAGCCGGTTGCTTGCAATGTCACTCATTCCGTCGCCGCCCGCCTCTTCACACAGCCCGTCCGGTGTTTAGGATACGGTTCAGATTGCAGGGTTATATACACCCTAGAACAGGGTTATACACACCCCAAAACCCCCCCAAACACCCCAAAACCCAGTTTGTTGCCGCCATGCCAAAGAGCTACGAGCGGAAGCTTCGCGAAGCGGAGGAGCGAAGGCGACCGAGGGCCAAGGAGCTCCGAAGTCCACGGCGTTGCTTAGGTGCTGAGTATAGGTGGCCTCCATATGGCGATTTCCCTAAGTTATGGTCCTTTTTGGGGGTCCTTATGATAAGGCGGTCCCTCTTATTTTGGGTACCTAAAAAGGGACCCTACTGTTGAGAAATGACCAAGATTTTGGGTGTCTGGGGTCTTTGGGAACAGGATAAACGCTCTGAAGCCCAAAGGTCGAGCTTTTTTCCCCTTAGATAACTTAGTATAAGTTTGTGAAGAATTTTCCGCACAAATCCAAGTGTACCAGGAAATCATCATGGACCGTACTTTACCTATAGTACCCTTTCGGAGTTATCTGTTCTTCCTTGAAGGGCATATGAAACAAAGGAGCATCTCCCAAACAGTTTTTTGGAAGGCTTTTTGAAACCCCGCTATTGCTTTAGCAACGAATATGTGGCCCTTGGAGGAGTTTGCACGTCCCTCACAGCATTTACCCTTATGGTTTATACTGGTTGGTGGTCTCTTTAAGTCGGGTTTCTGTTTTGTAGGGGGTTCAATATTAGGGTATTTAGGGGCTATATAAAGGTATAAGGGTAACAGATAAAAGAGGCCACCTGCCTAGGGCTTAGGGTTTCAGGGTTTAGGGCGAAGACCTATCCCCGAAACCCTCCAGGAGGAGCTTTACAAAGCGGTGGAGGGCAAATCTCAGAAGAGCTCCGCTTTGCAAGAAGTGGGGGACCACACTTGAACCTAGGGTTTAGGGTTCAGGGCAGGAGTTTCCGATTAGGGGTACCTTCTTGGGGTCCTCCTTACAAAGGGAAACCAACTCTTTGGGGGACTATGAAAGGTTGAAGATGGGATGTTAGTATAAGGGGGAACATCCCAAATGGGAGCAGGACCTCTAGAGACCTGAGAGCGAAGTCCTTGTAGCAAATCGCCTCCGATCCCTCCCCGAACCTACCGAGAAGGGGCTTACTTTAGGGGATATGGGTACTTCTCGAAGTCTTGGAGCTGTAAGTAGGGTAACCGTAAAGTAGCAACCGTAACCTTAGATCTTGAAGTTCAGGAATCTGGGTGGATAGCTGTATAGGGGCTTGAACACTTCTTAAAGACTTGGCCGGCCTAAACCCAAGTAACCCAGAGGTGAAGGAAAGCTTCCCCACACCACAATCCCTGAAACCTAAACCCCGAACCCTAAAGCCTAAATCCTAAACCCCCTAATCCGAAAACTTGCATGGGCCAAGGATGATGCTGGGCTTTGACCACCCGGAAACTCTGCAGTTCGAGATGCAACTGACGTGGGTCGAAGACACCTGGACGGTGCTTTGGCCCAATCCAAAGGATTCCGTGTTTTTGTCGGGCTTTTTGGGCGAAAAAATGCGCGCTGGATCCTAGACTTTGGGTCCCTTGCCAGGTGGAGCAACTACATGACCACCTAATGTCGGAAGTTCGGCGGCTGGACGCTGAATACAGGCACATCGCTGCCATCGTCATCCCAAGACTCTCACAGCACCAGCTCGAATAGCGCCCAACGACAATGAGCCGCGCGAATCCTCAGGCCCCAAACCCCACAATCCTAAGCCCGAGATCCCCTCAGGCCAAGAACGGCCTAGCAAGAACCCAGTGTCCCTAAGCCCTAAAACCTTAAACCCTAAACCCTCAAACCTTAAACCCTAAAACCTTAAACCCTAAACCCTAAAACCCTAAACCCTAAACCCTGAACCCTAAACCCTAAACCCACCACGCAGGCGCAAGCCGCTTCGGGGAAACTATTCGCAGAAGTACCTTTGGTTTGACAGGCCCCTTGGGCTGAGAGAGCTTGCAAGAGCTGTGGCAGGCCCACAGCCCTTTTAGGGTTTAGGGTTGAGGGTTTAGGGTTTAGGGATCAGGGTTTAGGGTTTCCGGGTGCATTTGAGCCGAGTACACAAAAGGGGTTCGGGGCCAGCCAGCGGCCGAACTTCCTGTGTGACGTCACTCGAAAGCCTACGAACCTCAACAGTCCTGAATGCAGCCCCTGACGATATGCCCTTCAAAGGTCATGCTACAGCCCCCCCCCCCCCGCTCTCCAAAAAAAACGAACAAACAAACAACGCAGTGCTCATCTGCAAGGTTCGTGCTGCGGCCACGGGTGCAAGGACGTGAGCTGACCTTGCAAGACTATGGCATCGACCCTCGGCGGGTTGGGGTCTGATGCCAGACGATGAGGCTTAAGCCTAGCACCGGGCCTCTACAGATGGGGATTGTTGCCAGGTCCCCTTGTAAGTAAGCAAGTAGCTTCAGAGAGGCCCTAGAAGTTGGGCATCCTCCCCCGCTCCGGATAAAGAACAGCCTCCGGTTGCAGCGTGCTGCCAAGGAACCTGGATATCGAGTGAAGGTCAGCCCGCACCTAGCTGAGAGTGAGGTCGCATCCGTGGCGATGGGGTCTAGGAAGCAGGGATGGCGAGTGCTGATCCTATTTTGTGCATCTCAGGTTCTACCAGTCAGAGCAGATGTGGGGCCAGCCATTTCCCTTCGACCACAGCAACTTGGCCGAAGGTCGATGCTGGAACCTTCCAGGATATTGAGCCCCAAGCAGAGACAGCTGACAAAGGCATCTGCGACTGCGGCTACACTTGTGGCGCAAAGAAGCGCAGCCACAAGGGTTCGCGAAACCTTCGGCCCGACAGCACGCCAACCCTAACCCCGTTCAACCCTAAACTGTTGAGCGTCCGAAACCATCCTAACCTCTTAAGCCCTTAAAGAGGCAAAGAGCGGCCTCTGGATCAGATGAGCCCTGGCGAGGAACTGGGGGATATCTGTTCCAGGGGCTTGTGGTGTGATGATGCTGCGCCCGGAGCCCAATACTCTTCAACTGCATCATTCTCCAGCGTGTGGCAGAGGAGAATCAACGTAAAGATTCCTGCTTCTTACGAGTGAGGGAGGACATGAGCCCTCATCCTGGAAAACCTCCAAGCCCTCATCCCTTGAGGCTTAAACCGTAAAACCCCTGAACCCCCAAGCCCCGAAACCCTAAACCCTAAACCCGAAACCCTAAAACCTAAACCCTAAACCCTCAATCCTAAACCCTAAACCCTAAACCCTAAACCCTAAACTCGACATCCTGCAGGACCCCAAGCTGCTTGTTCGCCTTGACAAGGGCGGCGGCGACTTCTTGCTGCCTGGCGGCTTGAGGGGATTGGGAGGCCTCACAGGCGATGCATAGGGTTTCGTGTTTGGGATGTAGGGTTTAGGGTTTAGGGTTTAGGGTTCAGGGTTCAGGGTTTATAGGGTTTACGGCATTGGTGTTTGGGATTTAGGGCATTGGTGTTCACAAGTAGGGGATTTAGAGTTGCGTCAAGGGCTTGCTTGAAGTTTCACGGGTACATGTCAAAGTAGGGTGAGAAGTACTTGAAAATTCGGTGATACAACCAGTTGGACTGGTGGAACAATACGGCAACTTCGTAGTTGCCTTACTTCTTCAGGGTTTGAGGATTTTGGGCTCGGGCGCTGGGTCTTTGTCGATTTCATTGGTTGCTTGGTGCTCTCGCAGCAGTTTGGAGATCCTGAAATCCAGAATCTGAACTTCCTAAAACCGAAACCCTAAACCTTAGGCCTAACGCCCGCCAAAGTCTCAAGCCTACTCTACGACGAAACACAAGCCCTGCATCCAAGCCTTCCCCAGGACGCGCATCTTCTTCTTTCCGTGGCTGGGAGGAAACTCTTCTGCGCCGCTTGTCATGTTCAGGATACCCCTAAACCCTCAACCCTAAACCCTAAACCCTAAACCCGAAACCCTAGAGGGTTCTGACGGGCAAGGAAGATGCGGCCACATCTTCGGGGAAAGCGCCCTTAACAAGCGATCCTTCCCGCCTCCTAGTCTGCTTCGGGAGACTCGGCGAACCTTGGCATGATGAGGTACATACCTGTGGTGCAGAAGATGCCCAAGGACTGGTGTTTGTGTCTATGATGGTCAACGCTGCCCAAGTGGTTCAGGATCTCCTGAGGTCCCAATGTTCGACCTAAGCAGAGACAGGGACCACTTTTTTCACAGGGACCAGCCAGAAGTAACAGGAACGGATGCAGAAACCAGGGCAGATCCGGAACAAGAACCACGTCAGCTGGAAACAGAAACCGCCTGCCCCATTGTACAGAAACTGCCTAGCTCAAAGTCTGGGCTTCTTACATCCGGATTGGGTCAGCGAGTTTTTCAACATAGCTCTGCTCACGCGGATGGGTCCCTATGGATGCTTTGTTTTTGTTGCTGTTCCAGGTGCAGGGCTCATCTTGACATAGCAGAAGCTAGCCGCTGCTCCACCTATGTTGGACGGTGTGCGAGTGTAATTCGGGGCCCCGGTCACCTTGAAACATGGCAGCGTCATGCAGCCTGGCTATCCCTTGTCCCGGTTCCCCTTACATCTCCCTTCAGCTTGGGCGTTGCACGGTTTTGCAATGTTTTGCAGTTTGCGCTACACCATATACACCCACGAAAACACAACAGCTTTATCCGAAACCCTCTAGACTCAGAACCTCCTGCGTCTTAAAACCATCGTGAATGCCAGGATATCTGCTGCTATGCTTTGGAGATGCCTGGTAGGGGCGAGCGCGAGGCGGATGAAGGCTATCCGACGGGGACATTTGCCATCAAAGTCATGGCCTTGACCTTGGCCAAGGACCTCATAGGGCGTCAAAGCATGATAAATAGATAAGTACGTACAGATATCTATATCTATACACGTATGTTTTTCTGATTATTCTTCTGCTTCTTCTTATTATTTATCTTTGGATTTTCATCTGCTATAGATTATGTTCTCTAATCTTTAAATGTAGTATATTGGTATCGACCTGCAAACCTTCTTGGTTGAAGCATTTAAGTCAATCTCAAGGTTCGTAGGATTCATGCAGAAGTTGCAGAGGTACCGACACGCCGAAGCAGAGGAACGCCCAAAGGCCCCCTGAAATGGGCCCCAGGGGCAATTCCGCCCCACGAAGGCGGGCCTCAGCCAAAACGCACACGCCCTGTAGCTGTAAGCCCTTGCGGCCCCCCTGCACAACCCTAACCCTCAGGCTCGAAGGCCTCTTTTTTTTGGTTTTTAGGCCCGAAACCTTATTGTTGAGCTATTTTGAGCCTAAGGGTAAGCCCCAGTCGGAGTGCAGGAGATGAAGCGCCGCGGATCAAACTATGTCTTCGCACACTCGCAGGGGTCGCACTTCGCCTACTACGTGGTGAAGCGGCTCAGGAACGAGCACAATGTGGACGTCAAGGCGCATGGATGGGTTATAGGGTTTGCTTGACCTGATGTGGCGGACTCCCATAAGCCTTAGAAGCCATAAACCTTATGCCCTTAGCCCTGGACGCCTCGAGTGAGTTTGCAGAGGGGCAGCCGAACACCACCTAAATCAGAATGCCCCCAAAACCCTCAGAGTCCCCCAACCCCACAAAGCCCTGAATCCCAAAAGCCCGGAAACGGCCCAAGAAGACCTACACCCAAGAAGCCCCAGACGCCCCAAAAAGTTCTACGCCCCAAAGAACCCTGAACGCCCAAGCAGCCTGAGCCAAAGCAATCCCTAGCGTCAGACATCCCGAGAAAGCTCGACATCCAAGGAGCCCAACGAACCTCCTTAAAGACGCCTGTCAACAAGCCCTGAAGCCAAAAAGAAGCAACCCGAAACCCGCAACCCCGAAAAACCTGAACCCTAGCCCTAGCCCCCACCCTTCAAACCCGAAACCTTAAACGATAATGTTACATTGAATAGCTAGATAGATTATACAACGATTTTAAGTTGTAAATCAATGCAGTATGCAAAAAAGATAAACCCTAAAATCCCTCAACCCGAAGCCAGGGCCTCTTTGTCAGCAACTTCGGTGTGCCCAGCGCGATGCCCGCCATGGATCTCAGCACATTGCAGATGAGGCCCGTTTTTGTTTCGGGCTTTAGGGGTTTAAGGTTTAGCGTGTTTGGAGTTCAGGGGTTTGGGGATTTGAGGGGTTTAGGGCTTCAGGGGGTTGAGGGTTCAGGGATTCAGGGATTAGGGGGATAAGGGTATAGGGTTCAGGGCACCCTCAACGCTAAACCTCACATTCTCGGAGTTGTGCGAGTAAGAAATTCCCAAAGAGAGGGCTTCGGACGTGGGACTTGAATTGTTCAGCACTTTGCCCCTGTTAGCCTACTGAGCTGGGTTGAAGACGGTCAGATCATTCTTGCGAGGTTTAATAGGGTCTTTACACAAACTATCATCATTGCTAGCTGCGATTTTGAACCCTAAACCCTAAACCCTAAACCCTAAACCCTAAACCCTAAATTGTTTCTTATGCAACGATGCCCAGCATCTGTTGAGCAGGCAGCAGCTCTGCGTGCCCTTGCGCATCTTCACTGGCTTGGTGAAGGCAGTGGCTTAAAATTTGGGTTTAGGGCCTGTAGGGTTTAGGGTTTAGGGTTTAGGGTTTAGGGTTTAGGGTTTAGGGTTTAGGGTTTAGGGTTTCGGGTTTAGGGTTTAGGGTTAGGAGGGATGTTTGGCCAGTTTGCGGACGCAGGGTCTCAGGCGTCCATGTTTTTGGTGTAACGAAAGGCGCACCGGTAGTTCCTTCTTGGAAGTGACAAGCACAGCAAAACCACAACGAACTGCAATGGAGCCTTATGGTTTTGCGGTTCAGGGCGTTTATACCCTAAACCCTACAAAACCCAATACCCAAAATTCCCAAAACACGCAAGGGTGGCTGGGGCTGCGACCCGAAGTTGGCCTACAAGAGCCACATGGGATGCTTGGCGCCACAGCAAGCCAGCAACACCCCTCTTCCGGAGTATGTCTGGAGCTGAAGGGTCACGGCTTGGGGTTTTCTAATTTTAACGCTACGCGACCCGCCTCGGCCCGGCCCAGCGCATCCGCGTGAGCATGGTGATTCCGCAGCGCCCAAGTCGCTGGACCCCAAGCAACAAGGGTTGGGTTGAGGGTTGAGGGTTGAGGGTTCCGGGTTTATGGTTTATGGTTTGGGGTTTGGGGTTGAGGGTTAGTTTAGGGCTCAAGGTTCACGCTTTGGGGTTGAGGGTTTTTTTGGGTTTAGGGTTCGGCTTGGAGTGATCGTAGGGCTGAGCCAGGCCCTTTAAGGTTTAAGGAGAAGGGTGGGGGGGGGGGGGGGGGGGGGGGGGGGGGGGGGGGGGGGGGGGGGGGGGGGGGGGGGGGGGGGGGGGGGGGGGGGGGGGGGGGGGGGGGGCTGCTGGGAGGGGCTTCAACTGCCTCTGGTCCTGGCGAACCGTCCGCTTGCGGACCCCGGTTTCCCAGGAGGGGTACCCATTTGAGGCCAAAAAAAGGGGTCCGAAAAAGGGCTTTGGGGAGGATTTGGAGGGGGGTGCCTGTTCTGACAACCTATACACCTCCGGCCCGAGGCCTCGGCGGATTTGGGGTTTCGGGTTTAGGGTGTTAATTTTAGGGAGTTTTAGGGTAAAAGGCTCCACGATATCTGATGATTGAAGGCGCAATTCCCCACTTAAGGGCTAGAACATGGTAGAACGCATGTAATTAGAGAGACGCCAAGAACTTAATCACCCAGTTTCTGGCCACGGCCTCAGAAGTTGCCGGCCTCTTGAGGGAAGCAGCTCGAAATCTCCGAACTGTTTTGGATTAGACTGAACTTTGAACCTTCGACCGACCCTCCGTCCCTAGCAACCTTTCAGTCGCCTCAAGCCTGCAGTAGCCAAATCCATCACGTTAGACTACCTTAAAGGGTTTAGAGGTTTTTGATGTTTTAGGCTTTAGGGGTCTTAGGGAACTTAGACACTTTAGGGAGTTTAGTATGCCCAAGGATATCAGGCTTACCAAAGCCAAGAGCTTTGGCCGGTGGCACGATCGCTTCTCATCGACCACTGGATCACTAAGGACTTGTTCGCTTCCCATGCCGGAACCCTTAGTCTCGAACCTAAATACCTAAAACCCTCCCTGCATCCCCACCTCGCAAAAAGCCAAGCCCCAAACCCGAAACTCCCTGAGACTGAGAGTCCTGAAAACTCAAAGCACGCATATTAACACCACACATCACAATACTCATGGTCTACTTGTTTTGTTAACTGAAGTTATAAGCTGGGTAACGATAACGTTCATAGCAGACAAGACACTGATCTAGGGTGTGCAGTACAACCCCAGTTACAATTAGCCATAGCCTTCAAGTAGGATATAGGGAATGTAGGGCCTGGGACCAGTGAATTGTAACTTGTGGCTGGCAATTGCAGGAGTTCCCTCTGCCTGAAGCTGACCATCCACTCTTCTGCCCAGTAGGCATGCAGGGAAGCAAGGAGTTTGACTTAAGGGCCTCGGAGGGCACCCTAATAGTGATAAACTAACTAAACCCTCCTTCAAGTGCAGGGTATTGCAGGGAGTCCTTTTTTTCTCTCTCTCTCTCTCTCTCTCTGTCTCTCTCTCTCTCTCTCTCTCTCTCTCTTGTGTGTGTGTATGTGTGTGTCAAGCACGGCTTGCCTGCAGTTGCCTTCTACGGCACGGAGGATGGAGCAGTGCAAGGGCCCAAGATTTTCTGGGGGAGGACCCTGTATGAATGCGCTTCAGACGACCTTCTTTACCAAGAGCTCAAGTCTACCTGTTCTGGTCCCTGTCTTGTGACTCTCAGGTCTCGATCTCAAGTCAATGAGTGGAAGAATCTCTCAGCGGATCCTGATATGTTCAAGGCTCGGCCGGGTTAGGCTTCAGGTTTGGTGTGTACGGTTAATTATGGCCTCTGGGCATCAGGGCTGCATGATGACATCATGGCGTCCGAAAGACGATGTCTGAAGTTGCGGCACTTGGGTGGCTCTGCAGTCTTGCATCCGAACACCCCCCAAACCCCTCTCGTCAGCAATGGCGAAGCCAAATTGCGCATGCCTCCTAAAGCGCACATCATCGAGTTTTTTGAGCAGCGGGTATCCAACACGGATCCATCCACCGCACACGATTCGTGAACCGACCCCCGAATCCCTATAGCCCTATAACCCAAACTCCCTAAACCCCCAATCCCTCCAGATGCCCCAAAGCCCTGGGGAGGTGATCGAGATGCCCGGTGGCCACATGTGGTTTCAGAACAGCAGCTCCCGGTTCCTGGGCACCTGCAAGGTTGCGAGTTCTTGGGCTTGGAGGGTGTGGGGTTTAGAGTTTAGGGTTTAGGGTTTAGGGTTTTTGGGGAGGGCTTGCCGGATTCAAACAGTTTCTGGGGGTCTGATGTTCTTTGGTGCCGTGGATGGGGTCCTACTACCCCTAAACCCAGCGTCGGCTCAAGGGTTCCGTCGCATTGTGGCGAGCGAGTCAGATTCAAAAGTTGGAGGCTGAGGACATGGGGTTCGGGCACAATGGCCCCCCGTGTGTGCTTGTCTGGGCTCCTTCATAGCTGATAGCTGTTGACATTGCAGGGGCACTGCTATCATAGATCAAGAATGGAGTTGAGCAGGAAGCCTGAACCTAAGAAGCCTAAGTCGCTCTTCACCCCGAGCCTATCGATGGGGGGTGGACTGCCTGTGCTTTCAGGTGCGAAGCCCTCGCCATTGAGCTTGACAAGCTGATGCGAAAGTTCCGCTGACTGCCGCTGGCGTTTAGGATGGGCAAACTCGGGCTTCTTCCAGAGGAGACGATGTGCCGCTTGTCGTACCCCGCGTCGATTAAAACAAGGAGCGTTCTTGCTGCCTTTTTTCGGGCAGGGCAATGTTGGATGAAATCTGGGCCATGTCTAGCCTGCCTCACCACATGTCCGGGCTGCTTTGACTGCAAGCCGAGCTATGTAAAGTGCCCCTGTGAGCAATGCCCCCTCCCAGAGGAATCTGCGCTTCGTGAAGGTCAAATCTGCAAATGGTTCCTGTCAACCTCCATAGCCCATAGCTTCCCCGACCCTCAATCTCCCTAAGCCCTATAAGCATCGATGGGAGTTGATCAATTTCCACAAGCAATCGACTATAAGAAACCCCAAAACCTGTACCATGAAGCTGGAATGCCACAGGCCACTGCCCTTTACATCCCGGGCGGGCTGCTTGAGTGGTCCATGCAAAGGTGCTGAAAATCTCGCGTGGAGAGGGACTAAGGGATGTCTAACGAAGGGTTTTATTGTCCATATGCCTTGAAAGGGATTAGAGTTGTTGTGTAATGAAAAGATCGAACCCAGACCCAGGCATTGTTACAGCACGTTCATTTTCGGAGGATCGTAAACTCGAGGGAGGCAATGAGGGGAAGCCTAACTGCAAAGGCCAACGTCATCGGAAGTTCACGAGCCGCCGCCCACTCGCCTTCCCTAAGCCTTAGAAACCCCGACCCTCGAAGTACCTTTCTGTTTTTACTTGGTATCTGACAAGACATGCGACATGTGCCTTAGTTTTTGAGTATGCTTACCTTGAATTCCAGGTGCTGGGACACTGTAAAGGAAGTGTCCTGCAGAATCATTGAAAGGATGCAGAGACGAGGGCCGAAGGACAAACGGTCTTGTCAGGGTTTCGGGTGTAGGGTTTAAGGTGCAACGATACACATCCTTGAAAGGGCCCTTCAATCAGTCAGCAGAAGAGCCCACTTGTCAGTGAAAGAGCCCACTTGCATGGAGGCTCTATGTATACACAGGCCATGTATAGCCGTCAGCAACTCCCATTCTGCAGTTATCGGACGGGGTTCATATTTAGGCCTTGCTAGGGAAGCCTTCATGGCCTCCACGTTCGGCCTTCTTCACGACGCGCGCCTCGGCTACAAAGCGCTGGCATGTCTCAGTGCATCCATCGCCACCCGGCGCGCTACGATTGCGGCCGAGAGTAGGGACCGAAGGGACCGAAGTCCAGGCCAGGATATTCCGGATCCTCCGCCCCATTGTTCCATCCGCACGTCTTCTGCGGGACGTGGTCTGTATGTTACCAAGGCGATTTCTCAGCGAGAGGTGATTTTGGAGGACATGGCGGTCGTTGACAGCTCTTGTCCGCAGGAGGTGGTTCAGAAGGTCTTCTCTAGCAGGCCGCCCGAGCCTGCCCGCTTGCAAAGAGAGCCAATCTGGGGCCTGGTTGCCAACTTTGTTCAGCTGTTGCAAGATGGTCTGCCACCGAAACATGGTTCCTCACGGATCGAGGAAGCTGCCCAGGACCGGCAGAGGCGGCTAAGCCTCATGGCGGCTTTCTACCGACCAGAGGTCGAGGATGCACAGAGCAACTTGTACAAGCAACACGCTGAGGAGCTACACAAAGCCATGGACCAAACATCTCAGGAGACCGTGGCTTCTGAAGTGGTTGCTGACTTGCTTACTGTCGTCCGGCTTGATGCCCACATCGTGCGCGAAGCAAAGCGGCCGGGTGAGAAGGACAGGAACGGTCTGGGCTTGTTTTTCTGGCTGCACCTGGCAAACCACAGCTGCTGTCCGAATGCATTCTTCCACACGACGTGCGAGAAAGGGCGTGCCAAGGCGACCCTCTATGCCTTGCGGCCCTTGGACTGTGGCGAGGAGGTGTGCATTTCTTATGTTGATGGGCAGACTCTCCTAAGCCCGGTGCAAGTTCGGCGCCGCATCATCCAGAGTCAGTTTGGCTTCGTCTGTGGCTGCAACAGGTGCCAAGAGGAGGAGAACAGAGCAGGCCGAGTAGGCCGAGCAGGCCGAGCAAGCCCAGCCGCAGAAGTCTGAGAGCTGCAGGGGAGACCCTTCACATGACCGCCGGTTACAGCGGTCGACGCTCGCCTGTCAGGCTTGCTTCTCTGAGACGCTGGGCTTCTACAGATCATCTTCGGCTTGATCTTTGCAAGCCTCAGCATCCACGCCCACGGAGATTGCCGAACTGCGGCTCACGTTGACAGATTGAAGCGCCTGTTCCAGGCATTGCATCAGGCGGCCGACGCCGAGAAGCTTGATCCAGCTGGCCCGGTTGGCCCAGCGATCCAAACAATGCGGGCGCACACTTTCGGTGAAGCCAAGAGGCACACTTTCCGATGGAGAGCTCAAGGCCTCAGGTCAGTTTCGTAGGTTCAGGCTATGAACCTGCTGCAGATAAACGTCAAGAAGGCGCCTGCTTTGATTGTTTGGCAGCTTGCAGCGCGCAGGATCATGCTCTTTTTACATGCTTGTCTGGCAAACTCATGTCAGAGTCGCATAGCCCTGCTGCAGTATCGGATGCAATGCTCGGTGAGTCATGTCAAGATTCTCAGCAAAAGCTATCATCAGCAACACTCGAGGTCGGTGTCGTTGCTTCTCAACCGCATGCCGCTGGAATGTACCAGAAGCACACACTTTCCGTAGCAGAGCCAAGACACCATATCGCATACTTGCAGACGTCGCATTTGCAGTAGCGAGTCCGAAGTTTTGTGCGGTCGAATGCGTCATGGCTGAAGCCATGGGCTGAGTTGCCAGATTGCCACTGCTACCATGTTGTCAAACTGGGGCTTACCTGTAGACTTGAGCCCCAACGCCTAGACACCAGCAGTCCATAGTCCCCGTATAGTCACAGGGTATGACGGTATAACCCCACAAATCTCCAAATCAGTAGAAGGTATATGAGGTCTTGGGTGGACTTAGGGTTTGGGGGCAGCAGGCCTGCCTCAAATTTTCAGCTTTTCATCTTGAGAAGGACATTCCTAGCATCGCCCTGAACACCGAGGAAAGACCCGAGTTTTGACCCTTGAATCCACGCAAGTCCATGTCTTTGCATCGCCGCAGGCTTAGGAGAGATCCCTTAGCCCTACAGCCTGAGGCCATGGCGGTCGATCCCCCAACGCGAAGCTGCAACCTCAGAGACACCTCAGCGGCTCTCAAGGGCCTAAGGCTTAAGGCTCTGCGTCTGAATGTCGGGGTTCGGATATGACCGAGAAGAGTCTCAGGGTGCAGGGGTCTTAGGGTCTTAGGGCTTTAGAGTTTTGTGGGTGTCTTCGTTGTGTTGGGGATCAAGGGCCTGAGGGCTCTTTCGATTCTCATGGGCTTGGGATGCAAGGCGCTTAGGGTTTATTGTAAAAATATATATTGTAATCCATCAAGTTTATTATTTTTATTTATTCATCAACAGTTACTTTAAATTTCTTCATACTTTGGCAGGTCCGGAGAGCGTGGCTGCTGCCATCGACAAATGCGACGAGGCGAGCGAATGCACATTGCAAGCTTGACTGAGGCGTCCTTGGAGGTGGGTTTCGGGTTTCTATCAGCCCAAAACCAGACCCCCTAGGTGCAAGACTTGAGAAGCCCTCCATCAGCAGCCCTACAGCAGAAACTCCAACACCAACAAGCCCCGAAACCCCAAAGACAAATCCAGAATCCTGTTGTCGGGCGGTTTCTGGGTCGAGGAGGCTTCGGGTTTTGTGGGGCCAGCAGAGGAGTGATTGACCGAAGTACACTGAAGCGATGGACTTCTGCCTATGCGATTTGGAAGCTGCCCTAGACCCAAAACCGAATGCCTAATTGTGTCTAAAGATGTTCAAAGTCGTTGGAGTGGGTTTGAGTTGGGGTCTGCTGGCAGATTCCACCGCGTTCCATCCGGCTGGTGGGTCCCGGCCATACATCCTGGCCTTAGGGTTTGGGGTTGAGGATTTAGGGTTTAGGGCAAGTGGGCAACTTTGAAGAAGAAACAAACACAAACCGAATAGTCCCGTCAGGGCACTCTTCGACGCCTGCTGCAGACGGTCATTCGCAAGGCGACGGCAGGTTGTGTCTACACTGACAGACAGAGCACTCCCGGGAAAGAGACAGGAAGTGATCCAGGATCAGTTTCCTGTTCATTTCGGGGATTCACTCGGCATCAGGTATATCATTACGAATGCGTCTGTTAACAAGGATTTCCGAACCCTCTGCTACCAGCTGCTATATGCTCCGGGTTAGACTTCCACAGGTCTGTAAGTGAATATCCCGCATCGCTCCATCACGGTAACCCTGATAAGTATCCTGCCCATGATACAAGCACATCCTGGCCCTCCTCCCTTACAGCTGGACGTTTAAACATGCACATGATCTAGACCCTGTATTCGGCGATCATCTCAATTTTGTAGTTCTCTTCTCTTTACATCCTTCGCTGAAACCACACCAACGTCGTGAGTAGGAAGACGCGCGCGCGCGCAGGTGCCCGACTGCCGGCGCAAGATTGCCCAGGTGCGCTCCCTATACTGTACAACCTTAAATAAGCCTAAACCACATTATAAATTAAAGCCAAAACCCTCACGGACAGGGAGAGGCTTGGTGAGATTGAGCTTCGGGCGGGTTACCGTGTGTGATGCTGCTTGCCAATCCCAGTCTCCTTTCGTCCTTGCATCCGTAATTAAACCCTGAACTCTCAACCCTATTGGAGGCCGTTCCCCCTTATGCTAACAGTCCTTAATATGGATGAGAACAGGGGGTACTATAATCAGGTAATCCCTATTAAGGACTGGCAGTATAAGGGGGAACATCCCCAGGCTTAACACTCAAACCTTCACTCTGAACTCTAAACCCAAGAACATGCTCCTTCTGCGACAGTCTCCAGGACTACGGCCTGGCTACCGAGCTCTATCAAGTTTCCGAGGAAGAGAGGCAGAAGGCGCGTGGATTAGGGGAAATAGGGTTTAGGGTTTAGGGTTGCTCTATCAAGTTTCCGAGGAGGAGAGGCAGAAGGCACGTGGATTAGGGTCTTAGGGCTTGGAGTTTAGGATTTGATCATGGTTTTGGTGAGTGTAGTTATCTCTCCTTATAAGCTACCGTCCGTAGTAGCCGTATGTATTGGGTGCCTTTTTGGGGATGGCCACGAACACGAAAGGGTACGCACCGCTAGCCCGAAACCCCAAGCCCCTCCCTGAAAATCCTAGCAGCTCGTGCTGTAGTGTGTGGGTCTTTGATGGCTTTGATGATCTTAAACTAAACATACGAATCCCTCCTACTGTACTACAGACCTTAAACCCGACATCCCAAACCTCAACCGTAAATCGCCAAAGCCCTGCAATGCCTGAGCCCTGAAATGCCCAAGGCCACTGCCGATCAGTACAGCGAGGTGAAGACTAGTGACCAACCCAGCGATTCAATTCCCAGGGTTGGGGGGGTCTTCTGTTTTCGGGCCCCTTGAAGGGCTTCAGGATGTAGTCTCATGTCACAAGCTCAAAGTGTAAAGCCCAGGAAAACAAGTTAGGCGTTTTGTGTATTTTACCTTAAAGGGGGTAGTTCTATAGAGCCGCAAATATACCGAACCACCTTCTCTAAGGCGCAGAAGCGTGTGGTTGTTGGAAAGCTAGGTAGGAGGAGATTTAGGCACAACATGTGAAGCCCTCAAACCCTAGACCCCAACCTAGATGCCACTGCAAGCATGGGCCCCGCAAAGCTAGATGGGCCCTTCGGATATCTAAGCCACTTTAAGCCCTACACGAAACCAGCAACTCAGGTTGAGCCGATCATATGAAGGATCATGTTTTCCAGAGGACTTATAGAAGTTTTTTACCGGCTCCAAGGCACCAAGGACGACAGCTTCTCTTCTGATCATCTCGACTTCTGCGAGAGGGCGAAGTTCGTGCCCATGAGGCTTGGAGTAGGGACTCCGCAGTGGGTTCCAACAGGCACCCGAATCTGTGACGTTTGAGGGTGTTGAGTTTAACTCGCAAGTTTCTAAGTAGTGTTTTCGGTTGCTCCAAGTCGCAGGCTTCATTTCCCCGCTGCGCCTTGACTTAGAGTCCACAAGCATACTCGGCAGGCTGACGTACGATGAGCGGAAATACCTGCGGCTCATCGACGCAACCATGCACGTCTCCGACTCGGGCGGCTGGCGTGTGCATTCTCGCTCGATGTTTTTTTGGAGTCCGAATCAAGTTACAGCTGCGACTCCGTTTAGTCAGTGTGTTTTGGGGAGGTGTCGCACTACACGGATCACATGGACACAGCTGCTAGCGTCAATGCCAACGCTGCAAGAAAGCTGGCGCCGGTGGCTCAGACACTGCCGCGGTGAAGATCCCAGAGCATCGGGGAACCTCTCGTGGGACTCGGTGTACTGTGCAACCCTCAGGCCTCAGCATGGACAAGTGGGTTGAGTTTTTAGCTGTTTTCACGGCTCGCAGGCAGGTCAACATGAACAGCAGGCCTCTGCAACACCGGCACCTCGTAGTCTGGTGACTTTATCGCTCTGCTCACAACGCTTCGGGAAAAATCTCAACAAGCTATTAGTACAAAGTATATCATTGCTGAACACACTCATGCACTAGGCCCCAAAGCTCTCTAACTCCTATCAATCCTCAATATGGTCAGTTCTCAAAGTTATGGTCACCTGTTTAGGTACCCTAAATATAAGGGGCCGCCTTTAATGGTAACCTCAAAAGGGGCCCTCATCTAGAGAAGTGACCATATGGTTGGGCCCGAAAACTCCTAAATAGCCGCAATGTCCCTAAACCCCAAACCCCAAACCCTAAACCCTAAACCCTAAACCCTCACTCGCACTCACACTGTGCCTCGTGATGGACGGTGCGCTGTCATAGATTCCTGATGGGCGAGGCGAGGCCACAGCTCAACGATGCGGTTTTGCGGTTTAGAGCTTAGGGTTTAGGGTTTAGGGTTCCTCCCCCCAGAAAGTGACTGGTACCCTGAATAAGGATGGTAGTAATTAAGGGTATAATAAGGATGATAGTAGTTAAGGGTATATGGTCCCCATCTGAGGGTTCTTTTGGTCCCCAAGGAAGACGCACATCAACCAAGAGCTTGAACCAGAGCTAATCCCTTCCCCCCCAACACCAAAACGCCCCCTTCCCTCCCCGCGCAATTCTAAAATTCGCGTCGGCCGGAAAAATGCTTAGAATTAGGGGGGACCTAAGCCCTAAAACCTGAAATCCGAAGCCCAAAAAGCGAGAGAGACAAAGCACGGCTGAAGCCGAGCGACTGGAGTTGAAATGGGGGGAGAAGGGAGTATAGGGTTTGGGGTTTAGGGTTACGTGCTTAGGGTTCAGTGCGGGTTAAACCCTGAAAACCCTCTGAGCCTTACGCCCTAATAAAACCCTACTTGAAAACCCTAATGGCTCGAGGGCGGAGGCCCTCACCCCCCCCCCCCCTCTAATTCGTATTGGGCTGGGTGCCCGGAGAGTCGGAAAACAATGTTTAACATTTGGGTGGGGTTTAGTATTAGGCGGAAGGGATTATCGCGCTACGTAGCATTCCTACCTACCTGGCGGCAATACAGTAAGACCTACCCAAGCTAGGGAAAGATTCGGTTGTCCTTCCTGCTTCGTGCCCCTAACCAAAAATAGGTGAGGATATGGGGCATAAACCGTTAAACCCCTAAGCCTTCAAACCCTCACGCCCTTAAACCTTTAAACCCTAAAGCCGACAACCCGAAACCCCAAACCCCAAACCCTAGGCCCTATAGGCCCTAGACCTAAAACCACCTAAAACCGCAATCCCCACAGGGCGGTGCCAGCTCCGACTCAGATGGCTCCGTGGACTGCGAGGAGGACGTTTACCTGGACAGCCCCGGAGCCGCAGTTGTTGAGAATCCTAAAACACACGCAGCCTCCAGGGTTTAGGGTTTATAGGGTTTATAAGGGTTAGAGGGTTTATAGGGTTGATAGGGTTTATAGGGTTTATAGGGTTTATAGGGTTTAGAGGGTTTAGAGGGTTTAGAGGGTTTAGAGGGTTTAGAGGGTTTAGAGGGTTTAGAGGGTTTAGAGGGTTTAGAGGGTTTAGAGGGTTTAGGGTTTAGGGTATATAACCTGAAGCCCAACAATCGGTGCGCCTTGAACACTAGAAAATTTCGCAGCCCCGCCCAAACCGTCAGCTATTCTGAGAATCCCCTGAGCCCCCTGAATTCCCTTGAAGCCCTTAAACCGCTTCACTGCTTGCAAAATCCCTCCCATCTTCATCCTACGCAGCGTCCGAAGCTTGCAGGAAACCCAAAAGCCCTGCAAGCCCTATAAGCCCATAGCCCAAACTATAAGCACCATAAACCTTATAAACCCCCAAAGCCTTTCACCCCCTCAGGCTTACACAAACTTCCGCCGAACCCTCAAGCCCTGAAGCCGAGATGAGTCGGAGATGCCCAGCAAAGCGTCGTCCTCCTCCGATGGGCTGCGCCGAAGAGCGGCAGCCTCTCGTCAGCCTCAAGCTCTTTGTCCCGTTTCTGGTTGTGGGGGGGGGGGGGGGGGGGGGGGGGGGGGGGGGGGGGGGGTATTTGGGGGGGGGGGGGGGGGGCGGTAGATTTTGGGGTCTTGGGCAAGAGCTTGGACTTTGAGGCTTAGGGCAGGGTAAGAAGGGCACCTTTAGATCAACGCCCTGTAAGTATGAGGCCTATGACTACGAGTCTTCGCCCGATAGAAAGCCGGCACAAAGCCCAGACATACACCATGAACTCAAACCCTATACCTTAAGCTTCTTAAGCTTAAACCCTAAAAGCCCTAAACCGCCACTGGCAAGGCGCCCGTTAAGCGCGTGGAGGAAGCGCAGGCGGACGCCTCGGATGAGGAGGCGGACGAGGAGGAGGAGGACGAGGAGGCCCCGTTGAAGTGCTTGGGATCAAGCGCGACTAAGCTCCCAGACCCTGCTTGAAGGTTCATGGGTGGTTTTGAGTCGCCGGTTTTCTAGGCTAGGTACCCGGCATAGCCAGTTTGAGGAGATCAGTCCCCCAAAGTCTCATCCCTGGCACTGCGCGGATCAGGCCCGCAAGCGGCGGCTGCAGGCTGGCCGCACCGACATCCTCGGCCCTTTGGCATCAGAGGGTCTGTGACTCTTTGCGGAGGGCTTTGGGTTTGAAGCTGTTTGTGGGGCCAGAGAACTATGGGGCTGAACACACCGCATTGTGAACAACTGGGTGGGGACACGTGAAGTGGAATTTTACTACTCATGCGGAGGGCCTGCAACAGCATGCAGTAGGATACGACCAAGATATGGGAGGGGGGGGGGAGGGCGGGGGGTTTAGCAATGTGAGTATTTTAACCCTTTGTATACATTATAAAGAAGTCAGACAGAAAACCCATAGCGTAGAAAAAAAGCAACGCCCGAATGTCTGGATGCGAAGGCATGGACGGTTGCGCCTTATTCTGCTTCATCTGGCTCCTCACCACGGGTGTGCCTGAGCAGCACCCTGTCCAAAGCTGTCGCCTTGTATTTTGTACCTTTTGCAAACAAAACTCCCATGATCAAGGAACGGGACTTGAAAGAAGGGACCCAGCTTCAGGGTGATCCAAGCTTAGGGTTCAGGTCTCTCTCTCTCTCCCCCTCCCTCCCTCCCTCCCTCCCTCCCTCCCTCCCTCTCCCTCTGTCTCCCTCTCTCTCTCTCTCTCTTTCTCTCTCTTTCTCTCACTCTCTCTTTCGCCTCAGTCGATCAAGCTCTCAATTAGCTAGTCAGCCACGCGGATGGATGCAGGTCCTTTTCTCGATGCTGTACTTCAGCATCTGGGCCCGTGATCGCAACTTCTTCGCGCCGCTTCAGTATCTTGCAGGCTTGTGGTATTTTCCAGGTTTTAATGCCAATTTGTTTCGAGGACTGCCTGGAAACCAAGTTTTCGCAAGCCTCGCTCTCAGAACCGCAGAGTATTCTGCAGCCAGTGGAGTCATCCAAGGCGCACCAGGGTCGGCAAATTCTTCCACGGCGGGGTGGCAGCGATTCTTGCTCCACGGCAGGCAACGAGTGCACGTGTCTGTTTCTTGCCGCCTTGCAGCGACACTGGCGCCACTCAGTGCGATGATGTCATGCGGATGACAGCAAATCCAGCATGCAGACTGGTGAGAGAAGTAAGGAATGACCCCCTGGAGACGGACGCGTTAATGTGTGAACTGATGCGGACACAAGACGAGCAACGGCGATTTCTGCCCCACGCCGAATTGGCTGTGTTTTCTTTGTGCCGGCTCTTGACGCAACGTGTGTCTCAAGTTTTATGTCCATAGCACAGTCATAGCAGTCTCGAGTCAGACAAGTGCTGTCAGAGAGGCTGCACTTGGACTGGCAAGAAGATGCAAAGCAAACGTATTGAAATGGTGACGGTTGATCATGAACGGCTGCTTTGCTGAGCCCATCAAGGGCTGTCCAACAGACCCCGGTTCATGCCACGGGTCTTGAAAGCCATGGGCCATGGGTCTTGAACGGGCCGTGCGTGGTGGTTTTTTAGTATCTTATTCTCCATATGCTGGTTCTGCTTGTTCAGGTAATGAGAGGCCTCTCCATAAGTGGTACAGCAGGTGCTGCTGAGTTTTTTGGGCCAACAGCTGGTTCCAATGACCAGCAGTGTAAGTCTTAGTAAGGCGACAAACTTCTAACTGCACACAGGACCTTGCCACTCCTGCTCCCCCCCCAAATGCTTTCCGGACACTCCACGTCCAAAACCCGAAGAAACCTAAAGAGCCACCATCCAAGCTCAAGGACTTCCCCATGGCTTACCTAAACGCTCAAACCGCCGAACCGCACACCTCTAGACCCTAAGCCTTCTAAGCCTGAATTCCACATCCTTGCATGCGCCTTGTAATTTGAGGGCATTCCAGGCCCGGCCCGGGACATCAACTCCCCACAGGTTGATAGAGCCACGCCCACTGTCCCGCGGTTCCAAGAACAGCTCAGCAATATTATAGCATGTGTATATATATATATATATATATTGTATTCATACGGTATATTCGAATTTCTTATTGTAAAGTATTCAAATCTTTTATCTCTATTTTGTAAAGTATTCAAATCTCTTATCTCTATTTATATACCCCGAAAGTCGCACGAGCCAAACTCCCCCCCCCCCCCCCCCAAACATGAAGCCCAAAGCCCGAACACGCCTGCTGAACTCTATCAGCCCCTTCAACACCCCCCCCCCCCCCCCCCTTACTGAAAGACTCCAGCTCCTTTGATTGTTAAGGCTTAGGGTTTAGGGTTTCGAGTTTGTAGGGTTTGTACTTCACAGGGTTTCTTGGGTTTATAGGGTTTAAGGGTTGATGGGTTTCTAGGGTTTGCAGGGTTCATAGGGTTTATAGGGTTTCTAGGCCTTCCAGGGTTTAGGGGGTTTAGGGGGTTTAGAGGGTTTAGGGTTCCTCATCCCGGCATGGGCAGCTTCGCCCTGGCGGCCTTCAGCGCACGCTCAGCGACGCCACGGGCCGCCTTGCGGCACGACCGGTGCCCTGTCTCAGCCGGAGGGCTGTTTAGGGGTTAGGGGTTAGGGTGTAGGGTTTAGGGTTTCTTCAGGGTTTAGTTGGGGGGGGGGGGGGGTGCCTTGGGTTCAACGCTTGGGGGGGCTTCTGGGTTTTCTACGGGGTAGTGTGGAGTGGAACAGTCTTATATGGTCTTAAAGGGCTTGCGCCTTATGTTTACGGATTTGGGCTTATGGAGATTTTGTCCCCCAAGTCTAACTCGGACCCCTGAGGTTGCACCCTTGTTTTGGGGACCCTTTCTAAATAACCTCAATTAGGGCCACACTAGAAGTAAAAAAGGGAACCTCTCAGCGGTACATCAAGGTGTGGGGTTTGCCTTCAATGCGCTACTTTTGTCCTCAGCGCCCCAAGTGCCCAAACCCGACACTTAAAACCCCAAGCAAGACAGCTTTCGGGAACTTTAGGGCTTCAGGCGTTTATAAAAGGTTTTGGGGATTATTGGGGTGTTAAAGACCCCTGAGCCCTATAACCTTAGACATCCCAAACCTTTCAGCCTTCGGGTGTCGTTGTGTCCTTACAAATGGCAGAATGTAATCTCCAATAGTTCGGTGATGACCCCCCAAGATTCAAAAGGAAGGTTTAACATTTGAACCGTTTAAGCATTCCAAGCCCTAAACCCTAAACCCTTGAAACCAAGATTTCAGGACCCCGCCTGGACCCGAACAGAGCCGCGAGCCGTGTCCCAGGCCCTCACGGCCAGCTCCAAGTCGAACGCTTCTGGCGGCCTGGCAGAGTGCTTTCATGTTATACGGGCTCTCCAACTTAGGGTCCCGTTTTGGGCCGCGGGTTTGGTTTAGGGCATTTTGGGGTGTCGAGCTTTGTGTGTTCTGGAGTGGCAGCACATGGTGCATGATTCTTTGGCATGCAGCTCTTCCGAAATCAGCTCTTAAGGTCAAAAGAAGAGCATCCCCTAAATTACGGGTCCCGACCATCCTGTAGGCCCGTAATCGGGGTTGATCTAAGTTGCAGAAACCTGTACCTTACAGTGGCGGGAACCTAAAGAGGGCCCAGCACAAAAAAAAACTCCCCGCCGAAGGGTTCATGGATACCTGGCAATCAGGGGGAGGCAACGCAGTGACGTAGGGTTTAGGGATTAGACTTTAGGGGTTGGTTTGGGGTTTCCGTGTTGCTGGTCGAACTTCTTTGAACCCAAAGCCCTTAGCCTGCAACTCTGAGAGTCCCTAAACGCCCATGCCGCAGACATCAGATCAAGTCTGCAGTACTTAGTTGCAGTATCCATCGATATTTCCATGACCCCTCTTGGAAGCCCTGTTCCTGGGTTTGTTGGTGTTTCAAGTTTGGTAGGCGTGAGTCGTTCCAGCCTTGTCGCAGCATCCCGCCCACCCCGCCACCCCGCCACCTCGCCCAACACCCCCAAGCAAGAGAATGCCGCACCGCCCCTCCCCCCTAAGCCCGCCTGAAGCCCCTGCTCCCAAAACCTGAAGCCCCTCAGCACCTCAGGTTTAATAAGGATGCGGTAACTAACGCCTACAATAAGTACTCCGTAGGAGTCCTGTGATGTCATACGATATAGCCACGGGGTTCATATTTCGGTGGTCTGGGGACAACAAAAAACAGCGGCATTCAGGTTGATGTTAACAACATCCGCGGCCGCGGCCGGGAGGCACGCTTCGCTGCTCGGCAGCAAAAAACCCCTCTAGTCGTGCTCTTACTACAGTATGCTTGGGTTAGGATCCCTTGTAAACCGAATGAACCCGAAAACGGGCACTTCTTGATTTCCTAGGTTCCTTGGGAGCCTAGGCAGACTGGTGAAGAGTTTTTTGGGCTGCGGCTACGGTTTAGGACTATGAAGCCTGTCGTTTACATACAGCGAGAGAAGATACGGACGAAGAAAACAGGGATGGCATGAGAAGGGAACACACCCTGCTCCTTCAGCTTGCCATTTCTTGGGGAACGGACAAGTATGAAAGGAAGACACAAGAAGACCTCTCTTCTGCTCTCTCTTTTTGTTTTTCCTTTTCTTCTCGGAGCGATGGAGAGGGGAGAGGGACAGCACGAATGGGAGGAACGAAAACGCAGAGAGAAATGACAAGAAACAGCTGAGAGGGAGAGACAGAACGAGAAACAAGCAATGAATGAATAGTGAAGATACATACGAGTAGATGAGAGAACGAAGACTTCACCTTTCTCCCCTCTTTACCCTCTGCTTGTTCCGGAAGGAATTTCAGGAAATAGCATTGGATCGAAAATTGATCTTCGGCAGCCCGAATTAAAGTTTCGATAACAGAAGAGATCACAACAAAGGATGTGTAAAGTTCTATGCCACAAGGGTTATTGTTGAAGTTGTTGGGAATCATTGTTTCGTTCGGTGGTTCAATGCGTGGCGGAAGTCTGCCGCAAACTGAAGCGTACAGGTTCGACCCACAGAGGGCCTGCAGGGTTTACCTGATTTCGAGAGGTTCGTTCTTTGAGTAAGGACGTCGCACAGGGACCCTAACAGTAGACCCCCAAATAGCAGTATGCCCTTTTTATCAGGGCCCCAATAGGGTATCCCCTAATTTTGGTAAACCCCCACATGTTCAGGACATGACCTCTGTCAGCTTTCTTTGCTGGCTCCTGGCATGGGCGGGCGACAGCACCCGCTGCGACTTCAAGGAGGTCTGGTCTGAATTTATGGTTTAGGGTTTAGGCTTTAGAGATAAGGGTTTAGGGTTAAGGGGCCTGAGCCCTGAACCCTGACCCCAAGCCCTCTTGGAACACTCTAGGATCTCAAATCTGAGGTCCCCAATGAGCCCTAAGCGGTTGGAGTCTCGGAAGCACAGATTCCTCCCCCCCAATAAGCCCCGGCAAACTCGGGAAAGCCAAACCCATAAAGAATTCGTAGAAGCCCCTCAAGCCCCTACAATCCCTCATCCCGCAACCCTCAACCCTAAACCCTAAACCCTAAGGGAGGTCGTTGCCGTGCTTGACCACGGCCAGCGCCCCGGGGCCTACGACCTGGGTGCCGCCTCGGTGGCCTTTGCCGGGCCGAGGAGGTCTTTTGGGGTTGAGGGTTTAGGGTTTAGGTCCTGATCCTTGCCTTGGGGGCTACAGGAACGAACCCTCTAGGGCTCACTTGGCACTGGGGTCAAGTCATGCCGCGTTGTGTAAAGTCCCTCGACAGCGTGACCTGGGGGATTTACATATACAGCCTACATGTTGTAGGGTTGGGAAGTTATGCATGTATGAACCGGCCACAGCGTGAACCTGGTGGAAGTGCGCATTTCGCTTGTGTTGAGGAAGGCATGTATCTTATAAGCCCGACAAGGACCGCGGATGACCTGATCTGCCTTTTGGCAAGGCTTCTTGGCTCAAGCCAGATCGGGTCTTAAGCCTGCACGTTGGGGTCATGACAGCGGCCGAGGCGTCTCGCACTCAAGCACCTGGTGGTGGTGGCCACCAGTGACCGTCTCTTGAGGCCGTGGAGCAGCAGAACACACCAGCACTGGATTCAGTATGGATACTCCTCTACAGGTGCAGGTGATGAGGGACTCCGTAACCATGCCATTGCTTCACCACTCGAAGTTCCTCAACGTACTTACTAATCTTAAATAGGGAAGTGGAGTCTCAAAAAGAGCCTGGTATGGTATGTGCCTTCAAGTCGGTGAAGAGTTTTGCCTTGGGGCGGTCTCAACTTCCAAGTTGCACAGGAAGAGAGCACGATCCTCGCCGGAGTCGCCAAAGCAGCAGCCGCGCAGCCCAGACACCCGCACGCTCCTGTTTAGGTGCGGAGTTTTGGGCTGGTAGGTTTGAAATTGAAGCGTCTAAGGCTTCTCGGGGCTTGCAGATCGAATTGCGTAGGAGTTTAGGACGACAGGTTGCGCAGAACTGTCAGGCGCTTAGGAGGACAGGTTCTGCTGAGCCTTGTGCTGTGCCAAGGGCTTAGGGTTAAGATTGCTCCTATCCTCAAGGCTTTGAAACTTGTACCCTAAGTGCCAACTTCATGCATGTGAAGATGTTGTTCTCTGCCGGCGTGGCCCAGGCTTCGCCGGATCCGCCACGAACAGGTTGGAGGAGAACGGGTTTCAGCGCAAACCACGTAATATGGGGGGTCGGAATAACTACTAATAATAACCCCCAAAACCCTATTCTAAGGCCCCTAGTACGCCAAGCTAGCTGCTGCATCGTGAGGGGCCACGCAGTGTACCGCTGCTTCCAAGGGGATTCTTGCGGGGATGTCCTCCCTCTTCACGACATGAAGCCACGTAAAACTCCCAAGCCGCGACTCTCGGCAGGATCTCGAGGATTCGCGACGTGGGTTTCATCGACGCTTGTCGTGGCATAATTAGGGCAGCCCTGGAGCACTTCTGGCCGATGTCGCCCGTGTACCCATTGACAAGCTTGTATGCTTTTTGCCATATTCGTGATATTACCCAGCTTCAATCATCTCAGAACAGGTTTGCAAGGGCCGACCTCCAGCGCCTCCTCCGCGACACACCCGTGCCCCAGCCGCCTCCGGTGTTGCAGGCTCTTCATGAGGAGGCCGCCGCAGTGCAAACCCTAAACCCTAAACCCTAAACCCTAAACCCTAAACCCTAAACCCTAAACCCTAAACCCTAAACCCTGAACCTAAACCCCTTGGAGTGCTGGGCAGCGCTCAGGGTGTGATCAGGGGAACAGGTGGGATGTGCGCCAGTGAGGCCTTGCACTGATAAGGTGTGACCTCCTGCGGCTTATTCTTTCACACTGCATTGCCCTGCAGAAACAGCACATCCTAGTTATCTTTGCCTGTTTAGTACTATTGCAACGATGACAAAAATTGCATGCTGGGCACTTGTAAGGCTTTTGAAAGCACAGCGTATGGAATGAATCAGATCAAGTGATAGACCGCGCCAAGCACTTAGCAATCGCCTCAAGTATTAAAGGCTTTGATTATTGACAGCTCGACATTTACTGCTTATTGCGTACTTCTTACTACTTACTGCTTACTGCTACTGACCACCCCAACCACTACTACCACTACTTTTCCGCGGATAGTCAGGAGCAGAGTCAACGGGCAGACAGCCTGAGGAGTTCCTACGAGGAGCCGAGGCAGGGGAAGGATTCCTGGTGGTGTAGGAGCCAGGGAGTAATTTTTTTTGGGGGAACTTTGGCATGTTTATGTGAGATTTCCCGGGGACCAGGCCAACAAGCATTCATGTGCAGGTCGGCAAGAAGACGAAGAGCCATGTACATGCTGGGATGGTTCGCCCCACTTTGGCAGAAGCTAAGCTTTTTGCAGGTCTCCAACAGTCATGTGTACACCTCTCTAAACCCCAAAGCCCATAAACCGACTCTGAACCTCATAAGCCCAGACCCTTATACACCCTAGCAAGCCCTGAAACCCTGTAAAACCTAAACCGGTACCCAGGTAGCCTTATAGACTCAGGCTCTCATAAGCCCTCGCAAGCCCCAAACCCTGCAACCCTGACATAACTGTCAGGGACCTCCGCCGCCTGGCCGCCGTGCGACTGCAGGGATACCTTTCCACCGAGTGCAGGTCGAGGGTTGAGGGTTTTAGGGTTTAGGGATTCAGGGGTTCAGGGATTGAGAGATTCAGGGGTTCGGATTTAGGGATTCAGGGATTCAGAGTTCAGGGATTTAGGGTTCAGGGTATTGGGGTCTATGGGGCCTAGGGTCGTGGCCTCCAGGCTGAACAGGGCCGCATGCATCTCACGAGAAAGACTAATGGAGTTTAGGGTTTAAGCCGGGTTTAGGGTCTACGTTTCCAGGTTAAGGGTTAATAAGGGTTTATAGGCGATAGAGCTATGGTGAGAGTCTGTGGTTTCAGGTTCAAGTACGGGTTAAGGTTACGGTTTGCTGGAAGGCTTAGGGTTTCAGGGTGTCTCTGCGAACACAACAATCCTTACAGGGCATGTAGCAGCGGCCCGCATGCTGAGAAGCGAATCCACATAGCAGGTTAGAGCCTGCCACGGCCGTGTCTCAGCAGCAGCGACGGCTAGAGGAGGGTCCAGGTCTTGGGACCTGATCCGGACCTGTTCCCCTCTATTATCAAGCCCAGAAAGGGCGCCCTCGAATTTTCAGTTCTCGGATTCTCGGATTTCACACTTCTGGCTCAAGTCGTAAGCAGTCCGAGTTGGGCCGGCTGTGCTTGGAAGGCTTGTGCAATTGACGGACTTGATTTCCTTTTTCCAGCACTCAGGGAACCATATCCGAGGCCGATGACGTGGCACTGAGGGTATCTCCTGCCACTGATGCTGACCTTCTTGCGGCGCTCGCAAGTCTGGAGCATGCGGGGCGTAGAAAAGAGCCCCTGCCATTGCCTTGCAAGAGTCGGGATTAGTGAAGGCACATGGCTTGACTGAGGCCTGTGAAAGGTATAAGTACAGTTGAAGCCAAGTCTCCGCATACCAGTAGTGAGGTCGCCTGATCAGGCCTGGCTGGTGCATTTATTTCTTATAGCAAGCCTGGAGACGAACTTTCTTTGAAGGACATCTAAAAATGGTGCGCATCGCTGAGGCTCCAGATGAAGCAGCTGTGCGCCGTGCTCACTGGCATGCAGGCCGTCTTCAAAGTCTTCGTCGCTACAGTATTCTGGATACCCCACTAAAGTGGACACCCAACTATAACTGGAGGTTCGAGGATTCTAGGAATTCGGGAGAGGGGAATGCTGGATGTGCTGGCGAAGGAAAGCACGCTGGCTGCAGCATATGGGTTTTGTTGGGCTGCACGCGGTTTGAGGCCCGTCATTGACTTTATTTTGCTTTCTCTACACGTGCTACACCCGGTAGGGTCAGAAGCCCAAACTCTTCAAGCGTTTCAGCCCTTAGCTCAAGCACTAGCCAGCTAAATTCAAGAACCAGCCCATATTTTTTTGGGGGGTCGCCACCCTTTTTAGGGCCTTGCTTTTAGAGAGGTCTCGCACAACTACGAGCAGGGCCAGCAGCTGTTGCAGAATCGAGACTTCAGCACCAGGCATCGGTGGCTTCGGGCCAGAGCAGTTTAGGTTCCAAGTCAAGCGCAGCCTCAGTTTCATGCATATATATATACTAGCAATGAACGCATAGTATACATATATATATATACATATATACATATATATATGTATATATTTATACATATATATATATATATATGCGGATATATATGTGTGTTATATGCTGTATATTCCGGTCACTACAGGTAAAAGTCCTAAGCCATCCTAAGCCCCCAAACCCAATATCCGAAACCCCTGACAGCAACCCCATGTGAAGCTCCCCTTAACAGGTCTGCCTTCTTTCAGACGGTGCTGGAAATTGGCTCCGGGCTCGGAGTTGCTGTCGTGTGCTATTAGGCCCCCTAGGGTTTAGGGTTTAGGGTTTAGGGTTTGGGGTTTAGGTTTGGGGTTCAGTGGGGCGGGAGTTTTCAAATGATTCCTCGGATGTGGCCACGAGGACGGCGGTACAAGATCTTGAATCCAGAGCGCATGCGCGACTCCTATGGGAAGCTGATGTACTTCCTCCAGGACAGCACGGTTTGAGGGAGTGGTCTGCTTGGAGGATCATGGGCAGTTATCAGTATAGGGTACCGTATACCTCACAATGCAGTGTGTAAATACAGCTGCCCTAGTCATGAATCGCGAAAGCCGAAACCATGAACCCTAAACTCCACTCAATGCCGGACTGAAGCCCTAGGACTTTGGAGAAGTGGGACTGAACCCATCTCTGCCAGGACTCGCGCAAGCCTGAAGTTAGAGATCTTCTAGAGCCGGGCCCTTTGCGAAGTCATGCAAGTACCGGGAAAGCGACACACCAAGTCAGAAACGCCAAGTCCACTAGCGGCTCTAGAGCGTGCAGTGCTCTTTGAGGGGAACATCTCCACCCAATTCTCCTACAAAAGGAGATCCCAGAAAACCGCTAACCTGCCCCACATGGCCGTTCTCTGTGCCGGGGGCGTAAGGTTCGACATCGTGTCGCCTGTGCGCTCTGCGGCATCCTTGGAGCGTAATGCGCCAGGAGGTGATGTTGGTGTGTCATCTGAACTGTCTGGGTAACACTAAGGATCCATGTACCTATAAAGTATGTACTTGGGACCTAAAGCTACTATGTAGGAAGCCCTTTGAGGCCCAAGTATATTCTATATAGGTACATGGATCTTTACGGTAATTGCGTAAGCACACAACGGTTGTGCCTTTGAATCACTTGCCTCCACCTAAACCCTGACGCCCTTCCTACATCATCACAGGACCCCACGCAATCGCCTGTATGATTAGCGTGCGTATCTATATAGATATATATATATATACATCTTTTCATTTAATACGATACGTATGTGCATATATATATATGTATATAAGTTTACCCAGTTATTTGGGGAATATGGGGCTTGACAAGTTGTTTGCAGGTGTGGCAGGTGCTGTGTCGAAGTCCGAAGGGGACGCAGCTGCTGCAGGAGCTCAAGTCGGGGGTCGTAAGGATTACAAGATTAGGCCGTGTAAGGATTGCAAGATTAGGGCGTAAGTTTGGCCTCTACTTCTAAACCCTAAATCCGAAGCCTTAAACTATACTATAGACCCGAAGCCCTGGAACTAAACCATTGCTTTCATACTCGACTCAACAAGCTCAAGACCATGCATCTCAAATCTGAACAGCTATTCACCCACAGCACGAAAGCATGCACATGTGTGTAGTCTCAAAGATAGTTCTTTGGAGTTAGGGGCTTTGTAACAGGGGTCCAAGAAGCGACCAGGATTTGGCATAGCTCAGGTGCCGCGATCATTTATTATCACTGCCTCCGAATAACAGCTGCAACGCGAGGGTTCAGGGTTTATAGGGTTTAGGGATATATTCGCTGCTGCCCAAATTCCCCAAGCAGGACCCGCTGCTAAAAACCGCCACCATGGAAATCTCCAGCGAGGCTCCAATACCAGGACTTGAACCTTGAGGTTTAGGGTTGTGAGGGCTTGCCCTCAACCCTCTTCCCTAAACCACAGTTCCTGACATACCCCCCTTCGGGATCCGTGCGAAGCACCTCGTCAGTCTGTTTTGTTGCTTGCTAGGGCGAAACCCATCCCTACCTCCCGAATCCCTGAAGCCCCCAGTCTCCGGTATCAAGGAGAATTCTTCGGATGGGTGGTCCCGAAAAACTGCTTAGAGACAACTGTTTTGATTTTGGACTGCTGGGATCAACCACCTGAGCCAATCGCCTAAGCCCCTCCAACCCGCGGCAGGGCAAAGGCCAGGGACCCAGAAAGCTCAGTTCGTGGTTTGTGGTTTAGGGGCATTGGCGATTTGTCTCCTTTGTACCCTTTGGGTTTAGGGCCTAGTTTATAGTTGAGAGTTTGGGCAGATGCTTTTCTGAAGTTGAGGGTTGAGGAGCGCAGTGAACCCAAAATCAGCATCTGGGGCGGCGCGGGTTTATCTTAGGAGAATGCCCCGCAGCCTAAACCCTAAGCCCCCTAAACCAATAAGCCTGAGTCTAAACCCAAAGCCTTCTAAGCTACAAACCCTCTTTTCCCTAAACCCTCGACCCTCAAACCTGAACCCAATCCGAAAGTTTAAACCTCAAACCTCGCCGTCCCCAAAGTCCGTAAACAGAAGCCGCAGCCCGTGTGAGGGTATCAACACGCCCCCGGCAAAGAATGGAGCCTAAGGCAGGCACAAACCAAATCTTTGGGACTTAGGGTCAGAAAAGAGCTTAGGGTGTGGAGTCGAGGTTCGAAGGTGTCGGATTCAGCGGCTTAAAATTGCGGAGTTTGGTGGCTCGGGATCATTTGTGATGTGCTGGTTTTGGTAGTAGACGCCCGTCGAGGTCGCCCTCAGATCCAGCGCGAGATCAAGTCGAAAGAGGTGGTCGTTAACCGGTGTCGGTGTGAGGGTGAACTTTTGGGGCTTTTGCGCAGGGCTGAGACCGAGAGCTTTTGAGAACGTAGTCACTCTGGGTTGGGATGTTCCCCCTTCTTCTAAGAGTCCTGAATAGGGACTCTAGTACCCCGAAAAGGGGTGAACAACCCCTAAACCCTAAACTATGGGGATAGGGCTTTGTATTCAGGTCTTCGGGGTTGTCAGCTTCGTGCCTCGACAGACGAACGGCCCGCTAGTAGCGCTGCCGAGTCACCCAAAAACATCAAACCTCCGGCTCGACTTTACACCAGCTGGTTTGGGGTTTAGGGTTGAGGGTTTTGGGCTTGCTCCCCGTGGAAGCTGTGCAGGGACGTCTTTATTTTCTACCTCTTTCTCTCTCTCTCTCTCTCTTTCTCTTTCTCTGTCTCTGTCTCTGTCTCTTGCTCTCTCTCTCTCTCTCTTTCTCTCTTTCTCTTTCTCTTTCTCTTTCTCTTTCTCTCCCTCTTTCTTTTTCCCTCCCTCTTTCTTTTTATCTTTATCTTTTTCTTTCTCTTTTTCTTTCTCTTTCTCTTGCTCTTTCTCTTTCTCTTTCTCTCTCTCTCTCTCTTTCTCTCTCTTTTTCTCTCTCAACTCCAGAACCAGAAGTTCTTGCAGGCTGCCATCAAGAGCCTTGCGAGCAAGTACTGCTCCGTGCAGAAGCGCCGAAAGCGACACTATGGCGAGTGCCTCAGAGCATACCACTGAGTGCCCGAGAGTCGAAATCCCTAAATGTAGCCAACCTGCATCCTCAAACCAAGAAACAAAATGCACCTCACGACCAGGCGGCATGAACTGGAGTTTGCTGCGCCCGGTGCTCGGCCGGGCCATTGGCGATGGATTGGGGGCTCTGTTCAGAGCTGCAAATATCAGCAGCGGACGGCACTTCTTGTGAGGAGCTTGGCACACACACATATACATAAATAAATTCAATATATATATATGTATGTCTACACATCTCTAAAGATGCGGTGTAGAAATATACTTGCGCGAAATCATTCAACTTAACTGGGCCAGGATCGGGGTCGGAGTGACCCTGGTATCGGTTTAGGCTTGTGGCTCCCCTTTTGCCCTTCTCGGGGGCCCTTCGCTCTTTTCGTCCCGATCAAATGGGCATTCTCGCACTCCCCTCCCCCTCCCCCGCCGCCCACCCACCACGTGGCTGGGGCTTCGTCAAGTTGGAGGTTTCAGGGGTTGCAAGTCTAGAGAGAGCTCTCCAGGTTAGGGTTGCGTCCCTAAGGCTCCTACCGGGATTCCGACTCAGAGGACGCAGATGCCAGCGACGAGCTGTCTGAGGCCTCCGCACTGGTGTCATCAGACCAGGGGTGTGTGTAGGGTTTAGGGGGCGATTCTAGGTTCAAGCTCTTTGGTAACTTAAAGGGTTTTCGGGGTGTAGGTTGAGGAATAGTGAGTAGGTGGTTGGGACGATCATGGGATTTAGGACGAGGGGCTGTGACGGGCTGTGAGAACTGGACAACATTTGTTGCGTTTGCCGCTGCGGGTCGAGATTCGAGACCTTGTCCAGGATGTGGTGGAGCAGTGCATCTACTCCCTTGGAGACCACAGCACCTACTTGAGGTGCGCAGTGATGCGTTCATGCGAGGAGCGCTCCGGAAGAGAGGTTTCTTGCTCGGAAGTCTGAGACCTCGTGCAGGTTCAACCGGGAGCCATGTGCCAAGCTCATCCACTACCTCAAGGAGCAGCCTGCAGCCAGGTCTTTTCGAGCGCAGGGCGTAGAGTGTGTTGGAATGCGGATTGCTAGGAGAAAGACTCTGAGAGGGCTAAAGTGGCCAAAAGCACGGTGCAGGAGTTTTTCGATCCGAACGACCCGGGCCCTGAAGCCAAGTGCGCTCTGCGCAAGTCCACTGGGATTTAGTTTAGGGTTTTATCTATTTTTTTTGTTTGGGGGGGGGTTGTGTAGGGGTTGTAGTTTTTGGGTGCAGGGCCAGTGTAGGGCGGCTCTTGGGCCGCTTTGGAAGTGGCAGGTATTCCTTGGCCATCGAGGAGGGTGTCAATGGTGCACGTCGCAAGCTCGGCCACTTGAAGGTTCATGGGGAAAGGCACAAAGGAAGGCTCTTGAAGTAGTGATATCAGTGATATCTACCATGTTTGAAAGGCTTGGACATGAAGCGAAATCAAGCTTAGGGTTGTCCTCGTGGTATACGTAGTCTTTTGCTGCAGATGTGTTGGGCACGTTCCCGAGGCCTGTCCCATCCACATAACCGTCAGTACACTTTCGTGCTGCAGTCAATGACGCTGTGGAGGGAGGCTGGATATGAGCTGTTGAGGAAGAGCTTGTTGCACAGGCCTGCATGAAACAAGATCAGTTCAGCAAGCGCAGGTGCTGGACAACATGTTCCAGCTCTGGCACATTGCCGAGGAGGCCAGATGCCACCAGCCAGTCAACAAGCCCAAGCCCCTCAACGGCGCAATGTCACAGGATCTCCTGGATGAGGATCATCAGTACCAGCTGGCGGACACGGGTCAAGGCTACCAGCGGGTTCCGCCCTCGACTTCGACTCTGACTTGTGCGCGTCTGCGTGTGCGTGGGCGTGTGCGTGCGTGTGAACAGTCGCGGCACACGCACTTCAAAGCTCGAGCCGTGGGTAAACGTACCCGCCAAGGAAAAGGGTTCCCTGCGAAATATCGAAGATTTGACTTCTGACGGTTGTCAGTCAGGTGTCCGCAAGACACCTCGTTGTGCGTGGCCGGCTCTAGGGTTCTGCAAGTATCGTGGTATGAGTTCTGCAAGGCGCTTTGGGCCAAAGGTTTGGCCGACAAGTCTTTACTGGAGTAACCCTGAACTCTTTCAATTAAGTACACCATAATATTGTTTTAAGGCAAAGTTCCCTTTAGTGCCGATCGCTTGGTGGTTTGCATCTGACTCACTGTGTACGCACCTTGTGAGATAGAATCGCTTGAAAGCCCTCTAGCCAAGCTTTTGGTTGCCGTTGAAAGGGACTTGTATATTCCCGAGCTGTAAACTCCCAGCCTTCTCATCCTTGAGCCCTTTGAGCCTTTCAGTCCTAAACCCCTCAAGGCCTAACCTCACAAAACCCCTCCCCCTCCCCTGCCTGCCCCCTGCAGCCGAGGTGCAGAAGTCGATCCGCAGCGTCGCTGCCATGCTCGGGGGCCCAGTGCTGCCTTAAACCCTACTGTAAAAAAGCCCTAATTCCTACTGACTAAGCCCCATAGACCCCAAGACATCTCCAAAACCCTAAACGCCCTAAACTGCAGAGTTTGGGGGTTTCAGGTTGTCAGGTTAGTTGGAATTCGGGTTTCAGAGGTCACGAGGGCATAGAGACACAGCACAACAGAGACCCCCAGGCTTCAGGGAACCCGAGACGCGACCTGCACGAGGCAGAAGATCCTCGCCGACGTCCAGCAAAAGGTTGGAGGCGGCACATTGCGCGCGACTTTAGTCAGACTTAGGTTTGTTGCTTGGGGGATCCTCTGTTTTGCAAGCTGAAGGCTGAAGGTCTCTCACGTCCAAATGCATGTGTGAGGAGCGGAATGAGGTAAGGTCAGCAACTTGAAGTAAGTTGCTTCTTTACATTTGGAGCATTACTGTGAACAGATCAGCCAGGTTGGGTGGGCTCCAGCATTGTGCACCTGGGTGACCACAATGTGCCGAATGCCTCGGACTTGGCGATGCTGGGTTGAGAGTTTCCGAGGGGTTTGTTGGCTTCCTTGGTCTAGGGCAAGCCACCTCCCCCGACCTGGTTCGTGCCGGTTCGTTTGTCGGCCATTCTTGCCGCGAATGGTAAGTCCTTTTGAAGTCTGCAGTACTGCAACTCGCAGGTATGACACCCCCGATCATACCAAATGTAACAGCAGCAATGCTCCAACGCCTAGGCCTTGATGTTCATTGACAAGTACATCCAGGCCACTTGGGGGGAGGACGGCGGCGCTTTGCTTGTCACATGGCCATGATGTTCATCCTTGGGCCCCGGGCCTGTCTACTCAGGTACCACGGTTTCTGGGACCTCTCGTCGGAAGCCGAGCGAGCAGGGCAGGTTGCAAACCTTCCGCGTCCTCGTACAGTTGCTCTGCCACGATAGTGATTGCAGCATATCGGCGAAACCAAAAACCTTGCAACATCTACAAGTCTAGAAGCCCTACAACCATAGCAGCCCATGAAATGCAAGCCCTATGACCAGCTAAGGATCATGGCGTTTCCGAGAAAGGGTAACCCCTAACGTACTGTAGCCCCTCCCCCCCAAGTGTTATTTAACCCTTCTTCTCGGACTCCCAAAAACAGGGAAGAGAAACCACATCCTACAACAAACACATGAAAAACCAGCCCAAGCTGCCCTCTACCAGCCGGAGCCCCAAAGCGAACAAAGGGCCCCAAGATCAGGCAGCGGGGGCTCACAGGGCGCCCCAAGGGGTTTAGGGTTTGGGAAGTTTTGGGGTGAATAAGGCTCAGGGATATAGGGGCTTAGGGCTTTAGGGTTTGGGGGGGCTTGGGGCTTTTAGCTGTTTGGGGTTTATTCACGGAGCTCCAGACCCCCAAACCCCATTTGATGCAGGTCCCAGACGGTTTAGGGGAAAGGGCTTGCGGAGGTTTGCAAAGGCTGTTAGGGTTGATAGGGTTAGGGCTTGTAGGGGGCCCTTTTTTGGCCTTTCTGGGCTTTTTGGCATTTCAGAGCTTTTGGAGTTTGTAGGGTTTATAGTTTGCAGGTTTCTGATGGGGCTTCGAGGTCCTGACGATTGAGAAGATTCCCGAGTTGAGCAAAAGCTCGCTGGGGATGAAGGCTGCCAGAAGTGTGGGGAAGAGGGGTCGCCTCTTGCAGGTTGAGGGGGTTTAGGGTTTAGGGTTCAGGGTTTCGGGTTTAGGGAGCATCCAAAGGGGCAACCAAATTCATGGAGGTACTAGGGGTTGCTGGTAAAGTTCAGGGCCTTAGGGGGTGTAGAGGATCGGCTTTGCGGAGGGGGCAGAACCTCAGCCCCGCGCTTGAACCCTAAAACCCTGACCCCCCGCAACCGTAAATTCTGAACCCTGACCCTAAAAACACTAGATACACAAAAACCCTAACCCTAAAACCCTTAAAACCCTAAAAACCCTAAAAAACCCTAAAAACCTAAACCCTAAACCCTAAACCCTAAACCCTACACCCTAAGCCAGACCTACGTGGACTCTTTCGGGGGAGTCCAGAGGCTCCAGAAGTGCGGCCCCCGGCTCTCAGAGCTCTGAGGTTTTTCAAGGGGTTTAGGGTTAGGGCCTTGTAGGGTTTAGGGTTTAGGGCTTAGGGCTTAGGGCTTAGGGCTTAGGGCTTAGGGCTTAGGGCCTAGGGTTTAGGGTTTAGGGTTTAGGGAACTGCGAAGCCTGACCTGAACAACTCGGCGGATTTAGTGTTAATTCGGCGGCTTGGGCCCTACAAACTTAAACCTTAGACCCTCTAAACCCCCTCCCCCCCCTAAACCTGTTGATTGGGATGTTCCCCCTTGTACTAACAGTCCTTAATAGGTATTATCATAGAGGGTACTCTCATCCTTTTTTAGGACTGTTAGTATAAGGGGTTTAGGCTTTAGGGTTTAGGGTTTAGGGTTTGAGAAAGCTTTTAGGCTCATCCTAGCCGACTTCTTCAAGCACGCCTTCGATGGCAGCGGCGCCGACAACTTCTTCGACGCGGGCGCGGGCTCCCGGGAGCAAGATGTCTAGGACTCAGGGGCACAAGGGCAAACCCTAAGCCCTAAACCCTACACCCTAAGTTATAGAGCTTCGAACCCAAAAGCCTAAACCGAAGCAACGGAAACCCCAAAAAACCGAAACCGAAGCCACGCTAAACCCTAAGAAGCCCCGGCGGAGTTGACCACTTCGGTTCGCGGCTCTCTCCTCTGACACCCTGACCCAGCAATCCAGAGACCCTCTACAACAACGGGAACTGCCCTAAGCAAATCCTGTACAAGCTCCTGGAAGAGGAAGTCCATGAACCTGAGCACAATGAGAGGCTCGTGCATCGATGGTCGCCTCACATCCGCATGGCTTCGCCCTCAGCTGTCACGTCTTTAAAGGCGGGACTGTTACTGTTACACGCCTTTGCAGGTAGATCTTGTGGCGGCGTGGGGCCTTGGGGAACTAAGGCCTAATGATGACAGCCTAAACCAAGACACCTAAGCCCGGGATCCTTCATTCTGAAGCGCATAAAGCCTAAAAAGCCTACATTGTTAGGTTTCCCTTGAATCCCTTGCAACTTCTGCGTCGCGGGACGACCGCGGGAGGGAATACGGTGCTAAGGTTCATGGGAGGGATGTACCCTTGCCTTCCCCGTTCAGAAACAGCTATGTCAAGGAAGGTGCTTCCCGAGGTTCAAGGTTTCGGTTTATTGTTTTTGTAGCTTTGGGACTTATTTATTGTGTGTGTTGTGTGAGTTTTTTTTTTTTTTCGGGGGGGGAGGGTTCGGCTTTTGCTGTTCGCGGCTTTGGGGTCGCGTGTCCCTGTGCAAATGGGCCCAACCCCCAAAGCAAGTTGTGCAGTCAGAGCCCAACGTTTACCACGCCCAACATACCTCGCTCGTACCAGAAATGTCCTTTAGCCTCGCTTATTGGGGAACCTCGCGGTTGCCTTAAAAACCCTAAACCATAAACCTTATATAAACCCCAAACCCTAACCCCTAAACCCTAAACCCTAAGCCCTAAACCCTAAACCCTAAACCCTAAACCCTAAAAACCCTAAACCCTAAAAACCCTAAACCCTAGCCCCCCTAGCTCTAGGAACTGGTGCTCCTCGATCGAGTCCAAGTCGTGACCCCTCAACCGGCCTGTGGGATGTGCTTTGGCAGGTTCCCCCCTATACTAACAGTCCTTAATAGCGATAAGAATAGGGGTACTACAATCCCTCTATACCAACAGCTCTTAGTAAATAGGGATGATAATAGGGGTACTACAATTGCTGGGTTAAGGGGCCCTTTACATCGGGGTACCATAATCCCTATTGCGGACTGTTAGTATAATCCCTTCCCCTAATATAAAAGGCCCCCCCCCCCCCCCCCCCCCCCCCGCAGCATAAAGACCCCCCAAAACCCCCAAAGGGGTTTTAATAATGGGGGGGTTCTTACCGTTTGTCAGAACAAAACAACCAGTCGTTCTAGCTTGCTGGCTCAGCCATAGAGCAGGTTTCAAGCTTTAGGCCTAAATGAGTTTCAGGCTTCCCCGCCCCCTAATTCTGTAGAGATATTAAAAGGGACGACTGCCGGACCGGGTTTTGGGGCCAGAGGGATTTTTATTTTGGGGGGGTATTAATATTAGGGGGAACGGATTAAGGGAGGAACATTCCGAGATGTGCTTCTTTCTTTTTTGTGTGTCTTCTGGGGTTTGATGGCTGTTGGCGGTGAGTATTTTGAGGTTCTTGTTTTTTGGATGTTAAGGGTTTAAGGTTTAGGGTTTAGGGTTTAGGGTTTAGGGAGGGTTGTAGAAGGGTTTAGGGATTGACTGGGGTCCCTAACTACCAAAGTTCGTTAATTTGTTGCTCAGGAGTTATAATGTCACGAATACAATGTCACGAATATGTTGGGCTGGAAGCCTCTCCGTTGCTCTGAATCCCCCCCCCCCCCCCCCCCCCCAAAAAAAAAAAAAAAAAAAACTAAAAAAACAGCTTTAGCACCCCAAACCCTGAAACTCCCAACCCTAGAGCCCGAAACCCGGCACCCCCCCCCCCCCCCCCCGCCCCCCAACAAAAAAAACAATAGAAATAGAAATAAAAAAACAAAATAATAATCATCATTCAAAAACAAATAAACAAACAAATCTCAATAAACAGACCGCCAAGACCTCGAAGCCCGAAGTTTGAAGGTACTTTCCCATCTTCCTCCTCACCGGCTTCTCAGGGCCGGACATCCCACTGCTCAGGGTTGTTGTTTTAGGGACTGGGGTTTAGGGTTTAGGGTTTAGGGTTTAGGGTTTGTGGATTAAGTAGTAGGCAGGAGAGTTCCGAGTTTAAGTGCAAGGGCTTTAGGGCTTAGGCGTTCATGTAGTAGGAGTATTGCTAGGGATTTGGGGAAAGTGGGCCCGGCGCCCTACATCCCAAGCGCTGCAAGCCCCAAGCCCCAGACTGAAAACCGCAACGCCCTTGTTGAACCGTGCTAGACAAGGCCCTTTTAACAAAGATCACAGCGTCGCGAGTCGGAATCTGTGAGTTAAGGGGCTTGCTATTGTCGGAGGAAAGGGCTTGCAGGGTTTACAACATGATGCTCTAGGGACTTAGGCTGTCAGATCCTATGCAGTTTTCAACCTTAGGGTTCCGAAATCTTGTGCGATCCCGTGCCTTCTTGTTGAAGGACTTCCTCGGAAAGATTGAAAAATCCCCACGCGGCGCTGCCAAGGTTCGATGGCAAAGAAGGCTTCTGAGGACCGGCGCCAGCACTAGGCAACAAGCCACATGGACCCGCTCGCGCGGTTTTCGGGCTGAGGGATGCTCAGAAGTTCTCTGCAAGCCGAATAGCTCTGCAGATAGATCAACCGGTTAGAGCACGCGACCGCCAGAATGATAGGTAAGTCGGGGACTCAAGTAGAAGTGTCCAGCAGCACTGTATGCGCAGCCTACGCAAGTTACATGTCGCAACATCCACCAAAAGGCTCAGGACCAACGTCTTGCACTACATCGGCATGCTTTGCAATGCGGGCCCACTGGCAGTTGCATGATCTCTTCAATTCGATGAAGGGGACGGCCAGCCCCCTTCAAAGCGAACGCCAGTGAAAGCGGCGAGGAACCGGAAGATTTATGGTTGGGTTGTTAGTCCTCCCCCAAACAGCGTGCCAACCCGATGTTCAGAGTAAGGGGGCGTCGATTGCTGAACCCGCGCGTAGCCCGCACACACTCTCGCGCGAGGCCTGCTCACATCTCGAACCCAAATGGAGTTCCCGCCTTATTAAGTGCGGGCTTAGGCCCGGAGTTCTTGGGGTCTCCTGCCCGCGCTCTCGCCTAGGTTTCGTTCTCGTTCTCTACTCAAATCGCCTGAACGCGAAGTTTCCCAAGAACTCTTGCATGCGTGGCCTCTCACTGTTGGGGGGGTCCGCGCTGGCATAAAACCTAAAGTGTGTAAAATGTATATTGGGATCCTCCTCACGCCTTGTCGAAGAGCTACCTTAGGAGAGATCTTGCTGGATCGGAGTTTCAGCGACCGATGCCTTGAATTGGCAGATTTGAGCCATCTCCCCCCCTCCCGCCCTCCCCCTTGGGCGGACCATCCCAAGGCCTCAGATGTGAGGGTGTAGGATTCAGAGTTCCGGGTGCCTCTGTCCAGTTCCTCCCGCTTCTGAGCATCCACAAGGTGGCGCCGCAAAGGGGCTCCGACGATCCAGAAGCCCTAGACCCCCATAATTCCTCAACCCCTACAGACCCCAAGGACCCAGCCGTATCGGCAAAAGGTGACTAAAGCCCCTAAGAATCCTTAACCCACATGTCCGAAAACTTATCAGCCCCAAATGCAAAAAGGCGCCGGATTCCCAAACCGCGGACACCACCTCTCCGAAGCCCAGAAAGACTTGCGGAGCCGATGCTGACCTTTCACAAAAAGGAGGCAGACCTCGTCTAAGACCTGTTCGCAAAGCCTAGCTGGCTGAATGCTTCTTGCGATGCTACCCGGCTGGAAGTTTTTTGAGAATACAGTTATCTGTGCAATCAAGCCTGTCTCAATGCGTACTGTCGTCAGCAACGTGCACATGTAGGCTTTGTTTCTCCCCTTCAAAAAGCCGTAGACCTAGCTGGCTGAAAGTTTGTTGAGATACTTCCTTTCGCACACGGGCGTTTTTGCCTGTCTCCAATTACTTCTGGTGTGACAGGTGCTCATATACCCTGAGGCGTCACCTGCCTCCGTCCAGTTCCCCGTGTCGATTGCAATCAGGCAGCTCTCAGGCAGGGATTCAAGCTGCTGATGCTGCGCACTTTCTCTGCAGCCTACGGCCAGACCTGTAGGGCACGAGAAGGTGATAGAAGGCACAGAGCCGTTCATTTCAGAATCAGGCAAACGGCGCAGTTTTGTGTCCACGAACCTGACAACCATCAAAGAATATTCGCTTCTGGGCTGTGGATCTCCGATGTTATGGAGTCATGTCATCATGCGCATCGGTCTACTGTGTACATAAGGCGGCACAGCATGACATGGTAGAGAGCACAGCAATATAGTGAAATATCTGTCGATGCCGCTCGCCTTCTCCCGCCTTCACGCTGCTGTCCTCTCGCTTCTGGGAGCCGCGTCGGTGACCTTGACTGTCTGGTTGCAAAGGCCTTGCTGTCTCCATTCATGAAAGTCCTGCAGGTCCTAGAAGCTAGAAGCAAGGTTTAAGCTTAGAGGCTTATAGGGTAGGCCACCGAAAAAAACCGCAAGCGAGTCACGAGCCAAACAGCTGCCAGGCGTCGCGCGTGGCTAGCTGGAGGCTCCAGCCGCCAATCCGCAGGTGCCCTTCAAGCAGTGGAGCCACCATCGCTTCCCCCTCAAGAAAACCTCCTACCCCTCCCCCCTCCCCCTCCACGCCCAAGCTCTTAACTCGCATCCGGCGAAGTCAACTACATTGGAGGTTTATTTAGGGCATGGCCCCCATTGCTCAGGGCTCTAGACGTTGACGACAGCTGCAGCCCCCTTTGGATGCAATCCAGAAGCAAGTCTGTACATGTTTGTTCGGAGGATCCGCGCGAAACTATGGGGCCGGATGACTGTTAGCAGGGCATTGACAATAGGCAGGTCATTGCAGGCTATCAATCACCCCACGAAGGATCAATTTTCTAGGGCTTATACTGCGTACGGCCTCAGTGCTTTGTTCCCCAACATCTCCTGCAACCTTTCTTCGTAGCGAACGCCGGCTGGCACCAGCTTCCCCTCAGGACGAGATGGAGTCGAGCAGGCACAGCCCCGCACGCAAGCTCTCTCAGGCACGTCACGTGAGGGGGTTTGACGCTCTGTCTTGGGTTGTGGCGTCATCATCTCAGACGCACCAATTGGGGTTCATGACAGGTTAGCAGCCAGAATCGAACTCAAGCGATAGTGGGGTCGACGTGGCGGGGCTCCCTCAAGCTGAATCGATATAACTGGGTCCCTAAAGGCCCTAAAGGCCCTAAAGCCCGAAACCCTAACTAACCCTAAATCGCTCCCAGGGCACATGCCTATCACAAGGCTTTGCCTTGGCAGACACGTCGCGTGACGTGCCCCGTCGGCACTGTGGGCCTGTAGGGCTTCATGCTTTGGGGTCTAGGATTGACTGCAGGGCTTCGTGTTTAGGATGTTGCTCTCATAGGGTCGTTGGGCTCAGAAGGATGTCTGGGCTTGGGATGGTGCAGTTCTTCGATGTGACTGGAGCGTGTGGAGGGGCAGCGGGTGGGGTGGGGGTGGGGGGAGGGGCCAATACTTATTTTGGTGGATTTTGTTCTTGTTGGGGAGGGGTTTTTAACTCCTGCAGAGGGTGAGTTTGGTGCCATAATTACATGTCGTGAGTCGTAAGAGTCAGGCTAGTGTAACTCGCCTCATGGTCCCCTCATGCCGGGGGTCGAAATGGATCGCTGGGGGTGGTCTCGCTCTACTCTTTCTGCAAAGCCACCGAGTACGAGCCACCCGTCCTGCACTGATTTCTGGTCCTCCACGGGTGTAGCCACACCAAGCTTACTCATGACTTCTCCTTCATCCTCAGCCCGTTACCCATGGTTTTCCTAAACCCTAAACCCTAAACCCTAAACCCTAAACCCTAAACCCTAAACCCTAAACCCTAAACCCTAAACCCTAAACCCTAAAGGAGGGCAGAGGTTGGGCGTACGTGGTCTCGCGTGAGCTTGCACCCAGGTGCTGCTGACCAGCCTGGGCCTCCTGAGCGCCTACGACCTTGCCCAGGCAGTTTTGGGGACTAGAGTGTTAGGGTTTTAGGGTTTAGGGGTTTTAGGGGTTTTAGGGTTTTTTCCCCAAACAGTGCTTGCACAATGGGGTTCTTACGTTCAGAGTAGAGGAATTGGTTGCTGACCGCAGCGGCGCGCGCGGCGGTGGGACGGGGCCTTGGTTTCGACATGTTTCGACGCTCTCGCTGTGGTTTCGCGCGAATTCCGTTGCGTTTCGATGCTCCCGCTGTGGTTTCGCGCAAATTCCGTTGCATTTCGATGCTCCCCCTGTGGTTTCGCGCGAATTCCGGCCTCTCGTGGCCTCTTCAGGCCTCACTTAGGTTGCCGACCGCAACGGCGCGCGCGGTGAGACGGGGCCTTGGTTTCGACGCTCCCGCTGTGGTTTCGCGCGAATTCCGTTGCGTTTCGATGCTGCCGCTGTGGTTTCGCGCGAATTCCGTTGCATTTCGATGCTCCCACTGTGGTTTCGCGCGAATTCCGGCTTCTCGTGGCCTCTTTTGGCTTCTTCTGGGGGGGGCACTTAGGTTGCCGACCGCAACGGCGCGCGCGGTGGGACGGGTCTGGGTTTCGACGCTCCCGCTGTGGTTTCGCGCGAATTCCGTTGCGTTTCGATGCTCCCGCTGTGGTTTCGCGCGAATTCCGTTGCATTTCGATGCTCCCGCTGTGGTTTCGCGCGAATTCCGGCCTCTCGTGGCCTCTTCAGGCCTCTTCCTTATAGGCTGCCGACCGCAACGGCGCGCGCGGTGAGACGGGGCCTTGGTTTCGACGCTCCCGCTGTGGTTTCGCACGAATTCCGTTGCGTTTTGATGCTGCCGCTGTGGTTTCGCGCGAATTCCGTTGCCTTTCGATGCTCCCGCTGTGGTTTCGTGCGAATTCCGGCCTCTCGTGGCCTCTTCAGGCCTCTTCTGGGGGGGCCACTTAGGTTGCCGACCGCAACGGTGCGCGCGGTGAGACCACCTGGGGGCAGGATCAATACAAACGCAGGGCTTAGGGGGGTTTAGGGTTTAGGGTCAACCCTGCGGCTGGGTGCCGGAGGTTAGTATTATGGGGTAGCGATTTTGGTGTTGAGCATCATGAGCATCAGCTGGGTCTTTTGGCCCCCAAGTTCCACACGCGTGCAAAGCCGAATCCCCCAGTGGTTGGCGTCTTTTTGACCCCCAAGGGAATTCGGCCCCCCACGAACTTTTACACTTTTTGTCCGCGGGAGTGTCGGTGCTCTTCTGGCCTTCTTTGGCCTTTTCTGGCCCTCCTCACTGTTTGGGGTCTACGCCGGCATAACTAGGGTTTCAGGGTTTTAGGGTTTTAGGGTTTTAGGGTTTTAGGGTTTTAGGGTTTTAGGGCATAAGGTTTAGGGTTTCGGGTTAAGGGCACATGAAGCTCAGCCAGAAATCGCCATTTGCACCCGGAGGTCACCAAATGCTCGCGGCTTTTCATGCTGCCGCTGGGCTGCGTTCAGAAAGGATGGGTTTCAATGCCGGGCACCACCGAAACCGAAGCCCAGACCCCATCCAGAACCCTGAAGCCCCAAACCCCGGAGCCTACCAAACTAAGCTTAAGAGCTTACAACCCCCAAGGCCTGAATCCTGCAACCCCTGAATGCAAGAACTCCTAAACTCCAGACCACCCCAAACCCTAAACCCTACACTCCTACACCCTAAAGCCCTAAACCCTAAAACCCTAAACCCTAACCTTATGCCCCACCCCGTGACATGCTCATCTTCGAAGGCTTTCCCTCGACGCCTCGCGACGGCCTTCCCTGGTTGCTGCCATGGGCTCCCCTGAGGAGGTGGTACTGTAAGCCTGCAGAGATGAGGTATTAGGGTTTAAGGTTTAGGGTTTGGGGTTTAGGGTTTAGGGTTCGAATATAATTCCGAAATTTCGAAGGGATTGGGGTTCAGGGCTTTAGCCTCCGCCCTGGCCCAGGTGGCACGGAGCTTGCGGCAGCGCCTCTGGGATGCCCAGGAGTAGCCCCTTTTTTCTTTCAGGGGCTAGCGAGCGCCCTAAGCGTAAACCTTATATGCACCAAGCCCACCCAAACTCTTCTGACTCTTGCAAAGTCGAAACAGGGTTTGTAGAACACACCCACACAAAAGGCCCCAAACCTTGTGTTCTTACACCCTAAACCCTAAACCCCAAACCCCAAACCCCAAACCCCAAACCCTAAACCCTAAACCCTAAACCCTAATTTAAACCCTAAACCCTAAACCCTAAACCCTAAACCCTAAACCCTAAACCCTAAACCCTAAACCCTATCATGGGGGAACCTCAGGCCTCATGGCGCGGCCCTCCCTGGGTTTCCTCTTCGGCCCGGGAGATCCCAAGGACGCCCGCGCCGCCTGGGCTTAGGACCTGAGACGTTTTACTTTCCCTTTTGGCTCTGTCTCTCTCTCTCTCTCTCTCTGTGTGTGTGTGTGTGTATGTTTATACATTTATGTATATATATATATATGCGCAGGTCATGTATGTAGACATAAAACAAAACTATGTATATATATATATATATATAATGGGTCTTTTTTAAATGCTTCCACCCCGTGATCCGCAAAACACGGTTGTGTGGAGGGGGGAACAGGAGGACAGCATGGGTTTAGGGTACTAGGGCCGGGCTTGAGGGTTTCAGGCGTTGGGATGTGGGCGTCACCTCACTTCTTGGCTTGCGGTTCGGGGTTGAGGGTTTAGGGTCTAGGGTCTAGGGGTTGGAGGGGGTTTAGGGCATATAGGGTTTCGGGGGTTCGTTGTTTCGGGGTTTAGGGTTTAGGGTTTAGGGGTTTAGGGGTTTAGGGGTTTAGGGGTTTAGGGGTTTAGGGGTTTAGGGGTTTAGGGGTTTAGGGGTTTAGGGGTTTAGGGTTTAGGGGCTTAGGGCTTTAGGGGAGTTGAAGACCGCCGATGCCGAGGTGGCCAAGCTTCTGGATGGCTACTTGGCTGAATGGGAACCTGGGCATCCAAAGCCTTGATACAGTATCACTTAGGATGTTCCCCCTTATAGTAACAGTCCTTTATAGGGATTCTAGTACCCCCTAGTATCATCCCTATTAAGGCCTGCTAGCATAAGGGGGCAACCTCCCAAAGTATCACCTTCAAACTCCAAGAATCCAAAAAGAACATCATAGTGTAGTATAGTGACAGAACAATGGAGTAATAGTACAGTACATATACTAAGAGAATAATTGAATAATGCCGAAATTTAATAATAAGCCCCGTGGGGCAAACGCCTGTTGAGATTTGAGAGGTTGAGGGTTTAGGGGTTAGATGTTAAGTTAACCTCATTACGCATTTTTGCTGTAGCTAGAGGCCTGCAAAGCAGTTCTCCAGCAAATCTCACCTGCTGCGGCAGGCCTTCCGCCAGAATGCCAAGTTGTAGGTGCTGCCACAGGCCCGGAAGGGGGCGCCAACAGCAGCGTCTCGGGTTCAGACCGCTGACATGAAACCGACTTGTCCTAAATGTGCTGGAACTCACGGCGCCGTCGCCAGAAGAGTTCATGAAGGAGAGGTTTGTGGCACCTCGCAAATTCAACAAGCCAACCACATTCAGCATCCTGCATTCCCTGAACCAGCAACTGCACAGGTCTCGCCCAGGCCCTTGTGGCGCCCGGAAACAACACCGAAGAGACAGTGATGAGGCTTGCGGATGGTTTAGGCTTGATCCCAACAACCCAAACTCTACGCGCTGAACCACGGAGCCCATACTTGTGTGTTTTGGGAACTCAGGAAGAGTGAACCTCATGAGCCCTGGCCCTGCATCAACTTGCTTCCCTTATTAAACCCGCTTCCCGAACTCAACGCGAAACCATGCCGTGTCACAACGAAACGTGGCTGCAGCAGCTCGCATCGAGTTCAGTTCGGGTAGCTCACAAGAACATCAGAACCACTCTTGTATGTGGGTTTTGTCTTCATACAGTGATGTTTCAGACGAGTCAAATCAAGCCCGGACTACAGTCAAACGCCTCTCAGCCCCTAAGTGTTTGAAAAGCTGATCTCCTGCACCCGAAACCGCCAAAACCGCCAGCTCTGCAGGGACCAGGAGATTAGCCGTGAGCTCGAGCTCTCGCTGATGCTCGGCGCCTTCCCTGCCGCCGTGTCGTGGCCCGACAGCAGATGCCCAGTTCTGTCTCAAAGTGAGTTCGTCGTGGCCTTGGTTTTTTGGTACACTCAAGGGGCCCATATTGCGTTGTAATTAATGGGTTCTGTACCCAAAAAAGGCGACCCGACCCCAATTTGGCGAGTCTTCCAGTTGCAATCTCGAAGATGGCAGAATCAGACTTGGATTTCGTGGCTTTCGGTGTTTGATGTTTTGGTTGTTTTTGCGTTCTGTTGCCGAGGCCTTCAGTTTTTTGCAATCTGTAAGCCTTTGCAAGTGCTTCAGGGCTTCGGGGGCTGAAGGTCTCCGTGTTTAAAAATTGGGGTCATATACCCTATACTACTAATTTCCTACGAATTAAGGTCTATGAACCCTCAACCCTAGACCCTAAACCCTAAACTGAGGGGGCCTAAGGTTGATCCCGGCATGTCGAGGAAGCTGGCAGGGACTGATGGACCTGTGTTCCAAAAGATGGTCCTCAGCCCTTAGCTTGTCCCTAGGTGGAACTTTACTACAACTTTATCACTTTATAAGTTTAGGGTTCCTCGGGGCTAAAAGTCAAACTCTTATTGGGGGGTTAAAGAGCAACCAAGGTCCCTGAGAACCCTAAACCTGGTGAAGCGGCCTTCCACGTTTAAGAACAACCACACAGGCTTGAGATGTTTGGGGCAAGGTTGTGTAGGGTTCAGAATCTCAGGTGCATGTGCCCTCAGCCCTGAAGCCTTTGAACCGTTTTGGGGCTTCGTGGCTGGTTTCAGGCATGCCTTCTACGTGCCACCAAAGATCTGTCAGGCCGGCTTGATCCAACAGCCCAAGCTACAAAACCCTAAGAATTCCCTTCTGTTCGGGTTTGGGATCAACATGGCCGATGTTGAGCACACCGGGGTTAAAGTAGGTCTAGCTTCTCCCTCCAGACCATAGAATATGGAAACCATTGCCCATTGTGAGAAGTCACAGAGCTCACTGTCTTTCGGTGAGAAAGCCTGGCAATTGTTTAAAGGGTTCAAGGCCTTTTAACAAATTTTGACCTCGCCCAAACAATTTAAAGGTTACAGTCATGCGCCCCACAATCAACCTACTAAGACGACTTTGCAGTGGATCCGGAAACGAGGGTGGATCAGAACATGCTCTGCAAACATTCTTAACAAGTACTAGACAGGCATTCAGTGGCATGTATAAGGGGCGTAAAGTGTGTTGTTCTGCAAAGAACCAGGATGAGTATTGCATTCTGTATATCTGGATTGCGATGATACGAGCTTTCCATGCGAATGCACACGCCCCTCCCATGTTCTCACGAACTAATGTACCTGACATCTAAGAATGTCGGTGGCCCTAGACCCTCAACCCCCACAAGCCTTCAACCTCCGGCCCCTGGGCGCAACCTTTCGATCTTTCAAGCACAGCACCCTAAACCCTTAACCCCAAACCCTAAACCCCAAACCCTAAGCCCTAAACCCTAAACCCCAAACCCTAAACCCTAAGCCCTAAACCCCAAACCCTAAACCTAAACCCTACGCCCTAAACCCTAAACCCTAAGAGCCATTGCCGAAGGCCACAGCCCAGCTAGAAGGGCCGGAACTCGCTGAGCTCCTCGCAGAGTGCGGGGTGCCTGAAGGCTTGGTGACAATGGGTGGGGTTTAGGGTTTTAGGGTTTAGGGTTTTGGGGTTTAGGGTTTAGGGTCTAGGGTCTACGGTCTAGGGTTAGGGTTCAGGGTTTAGGGTCTAGGGTTCAGGGCCCGAAGGTGCTTCTTCTTTTCTCCGATTCTTTGGAGGGGAGTACTTGCAGTTTGTTTTAGCTTCAAGGGGTTTAGCATTGAAGTTTCAAGGGTCTCGAGAGCTTAGAATGGTTAGGGGGCTGAGGAGTTCAGAGGCCCAGAAAGTCTAATGCGGATGACAAATCTGTTGTCGATGCCAGCATGGAAGTCTTTACTAACGCAGGCCTAGCGATTCAAGCCCAGCGGTTTAAACAAAAACAACCCGAAGCATTTCTTTCCCTAAAGCCCCGAAACCCCTAAACCCTCAACCCCACGAAGCCCTAAAGCCCGAACTCCCTCAAACCCTAAACCCATCCTAAACCCCCCAGCCGCAGGGCCCGAGTGGGGGACGATAGTCATCATCCTCGGCGGACGCTACCAGCCCGCTGGCTGAAGTTTGAGGGTCTGGGGTCGTGGAGGGAGGGGGGGGGTTTAGGGTTTCAGGGTTTGAGAGGGGTTTGGGGGGTTTAGAGGGTCTATAGGGGAGCTCGGGATTGTTGGGTTTGGCTTGTTTTCCGTCGGGCGGGGCTGCGGGGTTTCGGGAGCCACTGTTTTGCGGCTTAGGCTAATCCTGCGCCGCCCCCCCTTCAGACTAGGAGCTTCCCAAACCATCAGAAAAACATCTTATTATGAACTCCAGAAGCCCTCTCAAAGTTGCAAAAGTCCCGAATCCCTACAAAAGGGGTCGAAAAAACTACCATTACTCGTGGTATCCCCTTGTGGTCCCTATATAAATATACGACAATGACTCCCCCCAAAACCCTACTCGGCTTCTTAAGGCCCCTATACTAAACCCCGCCACGAAGGCTCCGCAACTTCGACCCCGAGCGCTTCGTCGCGCTTCTTCAGCAGCGCTGCCCAAAAGCTGGCATCATCGGAGGCTCTTATTTTAAGGGGCTGCGCCCATGGGCGGGCAGCGCAGGCAGAAGCGCGGGGCGAGCAGTTTCTAAGCATTTTGAGGCCCCTAAACTCCCTTAAAATCTCTAAGCGTTTGAGGCTCCTCAACCCCCTCAAAGTTTCCAAGCATTTTCAGGCCCCTAAACTCCCTTCAAATCTCTAAGCGTTTGAGGCTCCTAGACTCCCTTAAAGTTTCTAAGCGCTTTATAAGGCCCCTAAACTCCCTTGTTCCTAGCCCCGGGCTTAGACACGTCGCTTATGCCCGCCCTTAAAGGGGCATCATGCTCCCGATGCGCCCCCGGGGTCCCGCCCCGGGAGCCGCTGATGCTCCTGATGCGCGCCTTCGGGTCCCGGGCTGGACCCGCTGATGCTCATGATTAGCGCCCTCTGGGGGCCTCCGTGGCGACGCAAAAAACCACGAAAAAAAAACCGTTCACCGGCGGCACGCGGGGGTCGGCGGCACTGGCGTCCGGCCTAATTCTGCTTCGCAGAAGGCCAGAGGCCAGCAAGGCTATTCCCGGGACGACCCGGGCTAAAAGGTCCGCATTTGCTCGGTCCTTTGGGGACCTCGCGCTGCCCGATTTAATGGCTACCGCCAGTGCCGCCGACCCCAGACCCAAGACAGTCGCATTGGGGCGGAAGGCAGGGTGGAGCGCGGGCAGGCGGGGGGGGCGGGGGCGGGGGGGGTGGGGGTGGGTGGGGGTGGAAAGGGGGGCGGCGGGGGTGGGGGGTGTGGGGGGTGACGGTAGAGGGGGCAGGACTGGAATCCTTTCTTCACTGAGATGGTCAGGGGGCGGAGCGGGGGGGGGCGAGGCCTACGCTGTGGGGGTGGCGGGGTGTGGGTGGGGGAGGGGGGGGGGGGGGGTGGGGGGGGGTGGGGGGGGGTGGGGGGGGTGGGGGGGGGGGGTGGGGGGGGCGGGGTGGGGGAGGGGTGGATGGAATCCTTAAATGGAGATTGGGGGTGGGGGGGGTGGGGGGGGGGGGGGTGGGGGGGGTGGTGGGGTGGGGGGGTGGGGGGTGGAGGGGGGTGGGAGGGGGGGGGGGTGGGGATGGGGTGGGGGGGGGTCAAATAAGCCACTTAAAGTGACCTCTCCAAAAAAAGGGTACCCCTTTTTTTCGGAAACCCCCAAGTAGAGCTTGGCAGGGCCGGATGCAGGGTTTGTGAGGCTTCAGGTTCTGGGGTTTTGGGGGTTTGTATGGAATCCCCCCGCCCCCTCTACGCCCTAACACCCTAAACCCTAACAACCCTAAAAGCCCTTTAAACCCCTATAAGCCCTAACCCCCAACAACCCTAACAACCCTAAAGAACCCTATCAACCCTATAAATTACGATAACAACCCCAAGCCCCCGTAACACACCCTAAGAGTTGCCCTCCGATGAGGCATCGTCACCGATCCCCTCCTCCTCCGCCGATGCGGGCGCCTGCAAGAGCACCGGAGCGGAGCCGTCGGGCTGGCTTTGCGGGGCCAGCGCCCCAGCAAGAGGGGCTTAGGGGGGTTTTTGGGGATTGGGGTTTAGGGTTTAGGGTTTAGGGTAGGGGTTGAGGGATTTAGGATTTAGGGATCTAGGGATCTAGGGGTTTAGGGTTTAGGGTTTAGGGTTTAGGGCTTTAGGGCTTTTAGGGCCTTTAGGGGTTTCGTTTGAAGGGTGTAGGGTCCGCTCGAAGATCTTTAGATAGGGTGCGGGGCCGAAGCCGTGAGGCTACGGCCCTAAGGCCTCTGGTGAGCTGAGGAGAAGGAAGCCGGCCCTCTGAGGTTTAGGGCTTGCATGAAAAAACACTCCGAAATGCCCTCTATATAAGGTTTAGGGCTTGCATGAAAAAAACACCCCTAAACCCTGAACCCGAAACCCTAAACCCTAAACCCTAAACCCTAAGGGTTACAAAAATCCCTTCCAGAACGAGCCTGTCAGGCGACGTGCCGCTCACCGCCATGGTCTCCCGTGGATGCAAGGCCATCTTCCGTGGCCTCCACACGGGCCAGGAGGCAGGGTTCAGGGTTTAGGGCCTTAGGGTTTAGGGTTGTTTAGGGTTTAGGGTTTAGGGCCTTTGGGGATTAGGGTCAGAGGAGCGTTTTTGGTACGACATTGAACTGCACAATTGGGGCTGCAGTGTTGCATGTGGACGGCATGTGGACAGCAGAGCAAAATCTAGAGCCCTAAAACCATGAAGCCCTCCTGAACCCCCACACCCCCTGAACCCTAAGCCGAAGAACCTCAAACCCCTTTACCCCCCTACTGCTCAGCCCCTTCATGCAGTGTACAATCGTCTAATACATCGATGTTCTTATGCCGGGAGGCGGAGATGGAGCCCGGGGACGAAGAGGAGCATTTGTCTCCGGGCTTTTGCGTTCCGGAGTGTAGGGTTCAGGCTTGAGGGTTTAGGGTTTGTGTGGCTCCTGGGCCTTGTTTTTGTGGGTATTTGGGTTTCAGGGGTGGTAAGTGATGGTTTCAAGCCGGTTGCCGACTGCACTGATCATACTGCCCATCCTGCTGAAGAGTGAAGCAGAGGATCTTCCACTTGACGCAGGAGCCAATCGCCATCATTCTCCCCTCATTTTCCTCCTAATGCGGTTACAAGAAATAAAGCCTATCCCAAATATCCAGTCTACAGAAAGTCCCCATATTCTTCCACTTTGGGATCTAATTGCGTCGAGCTGTGGTTTCCTCCCAAGCATCTGGCCCCCCTAGCTGCAATCCTTAATGGGTGCTGCTTGAAGACTGCCTTATGCCTAGGGCCGTGTGAGCCTTATTCCCTTAGGTGACGCAGAGAAATAACCCCTAAACCCTAAACCCTAAAGGTTTAGGGTTGAGGGCTTAGGTGTAGGATTGTCGCGAGCGGAAGGATCCGACAGAGCCCGAGAATTACCTAGTCGTGCCCGTCCGCACCTTACAACCGTACTGCTGGGGATACAGCTATGAATTTCTGGGTAAAGCAGCCCCAATCGAGTTGAAATCGAGTTGAGGTGCCGGAACGAGGAAACCATGTCGTTCATGACGTTCATGATATATCCATATCTCCAGATTTCTCTGCTGAGACCCTGGTGGATTCTGTCGGCGCGCGACACGAGCCTTTGGGCCTGGCAATCGAAGCCCAGCAGGCATTGGGGCCTTTGGGGCTTAGGGATTAGTCAGGTTAAGGGGGTGGGGCCGACAGACCGCAGGCGTCAGGCTTGCATTGTGACCACGATACCGACTTCTACGATTCTCTGCATGTCCATTTCGGATAGTCTTTACTTACTAGTATTGTGATTATGACTAAACGGTTGTTGTTCTACATCGCTATATACCGAGTTCATGCCTATAGACCTCATTACACCCTCCCCCCCCCCCCCCCCCCCCCCCCCCCCCGCTAAGCCCTAAACCCGAAACCCTAAACCCTAAAGGCCTCATGTAGCCCTGTGAGACATAAATCTCGAGCCTTCTGCAGAAACATGGCGGCCTGCCACTTTACGCCGGGCTGCGACCACGGGGTCAAGAACAAGGCCCGCGTCGAGCCTTCGAAGCTGTATGTAGGGGTTTAGGGTTTAGGGTTTAGGGTTTAGGGTTTAGGGTTTAGGGTTCAGCAGCTCCGGATCGAGCAGTTTTATGGTAGTGTTATATTTATGGCTCGGATATAACACCCACCCACCCAGAGAATCCCATAACATTAAGAAACTATAAAGTGTATCATCAAACAAAAGTTCTTTTCAACGAAGACTACGGCTACGAAACAAATTCGTTCTTAACAATCCGCATAGCGTCACACAAAGATGAGCATTCCAAGACAAAGAAAGCTCGGAAAATGGAGGGTGGTGGGGGGTGGGGGGGAGGGGTGGGGGGGTGGGGGGGGTGGGGGGGTGGGGGGGGGGGGGGGGGGTGTGAGGGGGCAGGGGGGGGGGGGCCCACCCCACCCCCCACCACCCCCCCAACCCCCCCCTTGAATTTCGGTGCCTTGCCCACGAATTTTTGTGCCCCTGCCACCAATTTGCATGCCCGAAAATTCGTGGGCAAAGCACAAAATTTCGTGGGCAAAGGCATAAAAATTCGTGGGCAAGGCACATTTTGGGGTTTTAAGCCTTGCCCACGGGCCCAAAAATCCGAAGCGTGCCTTGCCCACGATTTGTTGTGCCTTGCCCACGAAGTTTTGTGCCTTGCCCACGAAGTTTTGTGCCTTGCCCACGAAACCCATTAGGGTTTATATATGTGTATTATGTATATATCTAGAAAGAGAGGTTTAGGGTTTAGGGTTAGGAGGGCTTCAGGTTTCGTTTTGACCCTTAACCCTGAACTCCGAACCCTAAGCAGCCCTCATCCCTACCATTATTTCAAAGTGTATTTTTTGTGTGTATCTATATATATATATATAGATTTCACTACCAATGCTTAGATCATTCCATTATCACTATCGCAAGTATTATCCCGGAGCCTACATGGCCCGATCCAAACCTGCCTCCCGAAAGCCTCTCCAAGGCCCACAATCTCCAGAGTGCTTTCGAATTTTGATCCCTAAACCTTGAAATTTCACACGCGCCAAAGAACTGGTGAGCCATATGAGCGCTTACCTCCTCCCCCCCCAGCCGACCGACACACCTAAAACCTTAAACCCCCAGAAGCCTCAAGCCTTCAAAACGACCACACTCTTGTCACCCTCCCAAATCACTCCCAAAGCCCACAACACCCACTTAACACCCCTTAAGCCCCTTCAAAGCACCCCTTTAAACAGCCCCTTAAGCCCCCTTAAGGCCCCCTTCAACCCCCTGAAACCCCTTTCAAAGCACCCCCTTTGGGCCAACACGCGCAAGAGAAGCCGTAGGCTTCCTCCTGGAGCAGCTGGGCCAGGCGCAGGGGCTATCAAACGGTTTTAATCATAATGCGGTTTAGGTTTGTTTGTTATTTTTATTCTGATTTTTATTTTGTTAGTTCTAATTTTATTAATTTGTTTTTTTTTTTTTTTGGTGGGGGGGGGGGGGGGGGGGGGTAGGGTGTTTTTTTTGGGGCATGGTCTTTTGGGTGGGCGGGCCCGTGGGCCCGTGGGCCCGCGGGCCCGTGCGCTGGGCTCGTGAGCCCGTGAGCCCGTGAGCCCGTGAGCCCGTGAGCCCGTGCACGGGCCTGGACCTTGCCAAAACAAAGCCTTGAAACACTAAGTCTTGAAACAAAGCCCCGCCCGCCTTGAAATACTAAGTCGTGAAGTCCAAGACCCTGAAGCCTACAATCTTACTCCTAAGACTGTGAGCCTCTGGTATGTGGCAATGCAAGACTATTACAAGCTTTGGCATCATCGTGTGTAAATGGAACATGTCAGGCTTGCGTTTCCTAAGCTGCGGGGGTTCAGGACAAGGCGTTGGAAGATTTACTTGATCCGAAGCAAACGCAAAACCCGAGGTCTTGAAGCCTTGTTCTCAAAACCTAAGCCCTACTCAAACCGAGATCCTGAAACCTATAGCCACTACACCTTAACCCTTAAACTTCAACCCTAAAACCCTAACCCTGCAAATCCTAAAGTCCCCAAGCATCTACTTCGCAAAGCTTCTTTAAACTCTAATCACCGCAGTCGCTAGCCTGCCTCTCCCTTGAAATACTAAATCTTGAACAAAGCCCTAACCCCCTTGAAATATTAAGTCGTGAAATCCAAAGAATCCTAAAGCCTAACCTGAAGCCTGCAATCTTAAGAGCCTAAAACCTCAACTCTACTCCTAAGAACGTGAGCCTCTGGTATGTGGCAATGCAAGACTATTACAAGCTCTGGCAACATCGCGTGTAAATGGAACATGTTAGGCTTGCGTTTCCTAAGGACAAGCGTTGGAGATCCGAAGCAAACGCAAACCCAAGGTCTTGAAGCCTTGTTCTCAAAACCTAAGCCCTATTCAAGCCAAGATCCCAAGCTTCTGGAGCCTTAGAACCTTGTAAACCCGCAACCCCGGGCGCTGTGACTGACTGCGGCAGTTTTGTTTGTGTGAGCCATGATGTGGACATGCGTCCGAGCCCATGCTACATCCGACGCCATAGCAGTCCCACAGTGTCTCCCGGACGATACTCAGCTAAACTGTAAACCTTTCATCCTAAACCCTATAGCCCTCATCCCGAACCCGAAAGACCTTCTTTAAAGCTGTAATCACCGCAACAGCACCGATTTTCTCCCCAAACCCGAACGCTTTCTAAGTTTGGGTATGGGTTTGAGGCGTTCTCGAGCAGGGTTTTCGCGAAGTTGACGTGGCTTGTAGTCTCGTGCCCTGTCAAACGACCTTTGTGACAATTTGAGAGTGGTAGACGACAAGGTGGGGAGCGGGATAAAACCGGCAGCAAAGATTTTTGGTGGTCAGGATAGCGTAGAGCAATAGGCAGAAGTTATAAGTCATAGTAACGACATCACAAGCCTGGGCTGCGGGCCCGTGGGCCCGTGGGCCCGTGGCCCGTGGGCCCGTGGGCCCGTGGGCCCGTTGATCTTCTTTAAAGAGGCCTGCCCGTGGAACAGGGTATTCTCTTTTTTTGGGGTTAGGGTTCTTTTTGGGGGGTTCAGGGTTTGGGGTTTATTGGTTTAGGCTCTCTTCTATAAGGATAGTAGTTGCTTTGCTAGAGACCCGCAAACGGAGCCCATAGCTTTCAACTTTCATCCGTCTGCGCGCTGGCACTCCTTGCTGGGTCTTCACGCGCATTGGACTATCGTTTGGATGTTTTGCGGAACGATGAGACTCTCAACACCTGTTGTGAGCCGCGGTTACAGGGTTTCAGGTTTAGGGGGGGTCCGTCTTCTCGGTTGGAAAATGCCGGCATCTCAGGCCCAACATCACAAGTTGAGCGTTTGGGGCTCTTGGTACATCTTTGCAGGTCTCCGAGACCCCTCAACTCGGACTAGACTCTAAAGCCTCAAGGCCTAAACCCTGACCTTACGAAGCTTCAAACACTAGAAGCCCAAAAGCTGAAAAAAAAAAAAAAACAAGGCCTCCTTCAGCGCGGGTGGCAAAATGCGGTTGCCTTTTGACGCAACGTTGCAGGCCCAATGCGCGGGCACCCAGAGCAGATTTGGGCGCATGCTTCAGGCTGTGTGCACTTCGGGTTTTTGCAGGGTTCGGGGTGGGACCCCCGTCCCCCCCCTCCCCCCCCGCTCCCCCCCAGCTCGTTTCTTAGATAGTAGAACTTGAATAGAAGCTTTCAGGGGCCACCACGCTATGCTCCTGCAAAGCAGTCTTCCGTGAACCCTCAACTCTACACGACTCCTAAACCCCACTCAAACTCTAACAACTCAAGCCCTAAGCCAAAGCACCCTATATAAATCCCTAGAACCCTAAGCCCCAAACACCAACCCAAAACCGCACCACGTGGAGGGTGGGGGGGGGAACCAGAAGTCGCCCAAACCACCCTCGAACCCTAAACCCTATACAAATCCACAAAACCCTAAACCCCAAACCCCAAACCCTAATCCTGAATCCCAAAGGCGGCGCCAATCCCGATTGCGAGGCCGGCCCATTAAATCACAAAAGCTTCTCCATGCAACGCTCAGCAACTCTGATCGCCGGGCGAATTTGGGGTGTGGGAGTTTGGGGTTCAGGAAGTTTGGAGTTTAGGAGTTTGGGGTTTCTGCAGCTCAATATTTTTTTGCGTCGGAAAGGAAGACACCATTTCGGGCTGACACAGGGGCTGGCTCCTACGATTCAGAGATCAGTTTGAGAATAGCCATTGAGAATGAATCTCAAGGCCTCCCGTAGTCGACAATCGACAAAAGTGATAGGGTTTAAAGGGTTTAAAGGGTTTTAAGGGTTTAAAGGGTTTAAAGGGTTGAAAGGGTTTAAAGGGTTTAAAGGGTTTAAAGGCTTTAAAGGGTTTAAAGGGTTTAAAGGGTTTAAAGGGTTTAAAGGGTTTAAAGGGTTTAAAGGGTTTAAAGGGTTTAAAGGGTTTAAAGGGTTTAAAGGGTTTAAAGGGTTTAAAGGGTTTAGGGCTTAATAGGGTTTTTTTCGAGGGGGTTCACCCAAACCAATTCAGCTGTCGAGGGTGTTGTCGGTCCTTGGGCGGGGTGGCCGAGACTGGCTTCTGGCTACATGGCCACACTTGCATGTTCAAGTGCTGCGGAGCCGAAGCCTACTCCCTGCTAGCGCCCACTCCACCCAAAACTTTTTAAAAAACTCACAAGCCCGAAGCACTCCAAGACGTCCGAAAGCGCCTTCTTCAGCGTTTCAGGGATCCCTATGTCTTTACAAGAACCATCCCTCTGCTTCACCAGGTGGGGCTCTTCCAGCTGAACCCGGACACCTGCCTCGAGGAGTGCCTTGCATCACATCTCCTACGTCCTACATCCTACACCAGAATCCTAAGCCTCTGCCGACCAGGACCTGCGGCGGCATCTGGGCCACGTGCGAAAGAACTGCGAGGACCGGAGGGTGCCGCAGCATGGTTTGGGGGTTCTTATAAACTCCGAAAACCGGGACGCCCCTCCTCCCCCCTCAGTCACAAACATAAGCCAACTGCTGAAAGCCTAAGTCCCAGAACGCCTTGTCTCCTCCAGTCTCCTTGAAACAAAACTCTTCTCCACTCCTACATGCACGGCCGAGCTTTGTGCTGTATGTACTGTAAAAAGCACCGTTTGTTCCCCACCCTGCTGAAAGCCTTTTTTTATCCATTCTGACGACCCTACATAGACTGGTAGACCCTCAATCCTCAGAGGAGCGTCAGGAAGAGATCCTGGGCGCGCCGGCCCCAAAGGCTTTGGGGTTCGGGCCGGGGACGTTGTCACATAAGACCCGAAGCTCTAGTTTAGGATTGACTTTTAAGAGCCTCTCCTCTTTTAACTGTTATACCTACGGTCCTCAAGGTCGGGTTTATGGTCAATGTTTTGGGTTTGTCACCACATGTGAAGGAACTAGGTTAACTAGTGATGATTGCCTTACCCCTAGAACAGCAGGGGCAAGGGTGTTGAGCTTCAGCTCCCTTAAGCTATAAGCCTGTCCTGAAGCCCCCAACCCCGAAACCCCCAACCCTCCTTCAGGTCTCAGGATCCTCCGTGCGGTTTTGCCGGCGCAAGCCTCCCTTGTTTACAGGGACAGGCCCGGCGCGCAGGCGCAAAGGTACTTTGGAGCCCCCCACAACAGCAGCCCATGGTGCAATTTGAAAAAGCCTCAAACCTTCAAACTCCCCGACATCCTCCCCCAAAGCAACTGAACCTCAGCTCTCTCCCAAGCCCCAAACCCTAAAGGCCCTAGACTTCCCCTTAAGCCCCAAGGCCTGAGCCCCATAATATAGGGCTCGGAATAATTACGATGAGTCTTCCCTTATGGTCCGTTTATAATGGTACTACAAGAACCCCCACCCCATTCTAATTCTTAAGGCCCCCGTAGACCCCCAAAACCATGTGGTCTCTGGCGGCGCCATGGCGCCCAGCCGTCCCGCAGCTCGTAGTCGGCGTGCAGGGCACGAGGGCCGGGAGCCTCGGAAAACGGATTCGGGGCTTGGGGGGTTTTAGGGCTTAGAGGGGCTTCTGGATTTGTTTATAAGGGTGCTGGTTTTGACTTCATATGTTTGGGTTCAGGGCTTGGAGGGTTCGGGTTCAGGGCTCGCAGCTACTGGGATGTTGTCCAGGGCCTCACGGTCGTAGTGCTTTGTCTAGGATTCAGGGACCCTAAACACCCCTAAAGCCTAAACCCTAAACCCTTAGCCGCAGCATGGCACACGGCCCTATGAACACTGTTCGGCTTGGTGGGGCTTGGTGTAGTCTGAGATTCAGGGTTCATGGTTCAAGGTTCAAGGTTGAGGGTTTAGGGTTTAGGGTTTAGGGTTCAGGGGGAAAAAGTAAGCCTAAGTTGTCCCCAAACCGAAGCGATGGCATCAGAGGCAGTCTCATCCAAAGCTAAAGCTTGATGAGGCGAAGGGACCACGACATGAGCTTACTTTGGCGCGTGGCCGCCGACCCTCGGATGTATTTGGTTTAGGGTTTAGGGTTTGGGGTTTAGGGTTTAGGGCTTAGGGGTGAGTGTCCAGGGCTTTAGGATCTTCTCATACGGCTCTTGGGCCCTCAAACCCGAGGAGTTGAGACCCCAGAGCCCTCCCTAGGAGGCACAGGTTTCTCTGTAGGAGGGTCCTTGGAGCCGTAGGGTCTTGAGGGTTGTACCCAGACTCCTCAAATTTTCCCAGAACTCCCCCCTTTGTTTTCGGGGGGTTAGAGGCCACCAGCTTAGAGGGTCCAGTTACCCTAAACCCTAAACCCTAAACCCTAAACCCTAAACCCTAAACCCACGGGTTAGGATTCAGGGTTTAGTTTCTGACTTGGGGATGACTCATGCAGGAGCCTCACGAGTTGCTGATATTTACCCCTTCCCCCCCCCTAATCATCCCTAAACAGATTGGGGGGTTTGATGTTTTTTGTGTGGTTCGGGTCTCAGGATTTCGGAGCCACGGTGACCAGCGTGAACGCGATGGGAGTTGGATTGACGTGGGCGCCATTTTACAATTTCTTTGGCCATAATCCCGGTCTATCTATCGATTTATCTACCCGATTGATTATGTAGACATGTATAATTGTATATATATATACACACACACATGTCCTTAAAACCCCCCAAAACAACTTGGGGTCCAGAGTTTAGGTCTTAGCCTTACGAGAATCTCTGCGGGTTAGATGTTCCCCCCCTATCCTAACAGTCCTTACTAGGGATCCTACTAAGGACTCTTAAAGGAGGACCATCCCAAGCCGTCGCCTTTAAAGCCCTAACCGTGCTGTCCAGGAGTGGCCCGAGCCGCAGGAGGTGGTGAGGAGCCACTCAACGTCGCCGCCCGGACTGCGAGGGTGGCAAAGGTTGATGGCATTGTAACTTGTGGAGGATCGCTTGCAAGGTTGGGATGTTCCCCCTTATACTGACAGCCCTTAGTCGGGATTATAGTATCCTGTAGTATCATTCCATATCATTCCTATGAAGGACTTTAGTATCATGGAGAACATCCCAATTGTAAGGCTTTTTCAGAGTTTAGGCTAGGTATTTTTCGTCTAGGAAGGGTGCGATGCGGAGCACAGTGGAATGCATGGGAGAGGCCGCGTCGCCCAGCACCGAAACCCTACATGCCCCCAAACCCTAAACCCACCATTTGTGCTTGTTCTTACTCGTACTCCTCCGTGCTAGCATGCATGCGCGTTGCGCATCGGAAAGTGCATGAACCCACTGAACTCCGAGGTGATCTGTGGGGCCGGTATCGTGGGCTGTTCCACAGCTTACTATCTCCGGAGGCCGGGTTCGGCGTGCCGGGGTGATCAAACGGTTGCCCTAAGGCTCTTTTGGGTGTAAGGGTTTAGAGCTGAGAGGTGAAGGGGGAGGAGCTCAGAGCTGAATGATATGTAGGGGATGTAGGGGGGGGTAGGGTGCAGGGGATGAGGGGATTTTGGTTGGATGACTCAAAAACATCTTTGCTGATGGCAGCAGCCATTCCCGCATTGAGCATCAACTATCTGCAACCACCAACTCTGCCCTCAGGCTCTACGCAACATGGGCCCCCAACATTAACTTAAATCCTATACATATCCGCAACGCCCGAAACCCAGAGGCTTGGAGAGGCGCGCCAACGTCAAGTCCGCACCATCTTGGTGGATCGGCAAGGTGCCCAAGACCTGCCAAACTCTCTGGATTGCTGGGCTTTAGGGGCGCAGGCCTGTGGGGTAAGAAGTTGGGGTTTAGCTGGTGGGGAGGATAAATGCCCAAGGTTGCACGGCATTCGACAGTGGTGTCTTTTGATGTCTGTTGCATGAGCTGCACGGCAAGGGAAAGGAAATATGCTCAACAAGCTCACACTGTCAACATCTTCGTATATGACTATATAAAAACTTAGCCTGTATAGCACTCAAGCACCCCGGGCCCATGTCAGGTGTGGGGGAGGCGGCCACGGGCGTGGCGGCAGGCCATCTGTGTGATCCTTTGCACCCCGAATTTTTGCCAGCAAACATACCCTAAACCCTAAAGCCTAAAGCCTCAACCCGAATTCGGTGTCAGGTTTCCTTCCACGCGAGTTCCACGATGGCCCGGACGATGAGCTGCACGAGAAGGGCTTCCTCGAGATCCGCGCCCCGTCTGCGGGGCTTCTGAGACTGTTCTTTGTTACTATATTATGGTTACGTGCACTATCATTTTTAGTATACGCATATTGTCGTATGAGTATATATAAAGATGTGTATCAAAACACACATATATATACACACACATTTTTTTAAATTGTTTTTATTGTCATATTACTATATGCTTGTAAGGTTATATGCATGCTGAACTGAGAGCGGCGCGAGAAGAATCTCAGAACAAAGCGGGGGCCCCCCCTTTTTCTGAGCACAAACGGACGGATGCACCTGGTTTGCAGCGGTCCCAGGATGGACCTGAGCCTCGTTCAACGAGACCAGTAGCACTACTTTGCTGCCTTTGCGGTAGGACCAGTAGAGTGACCACACTCACACGTAAAAGTCAAAGCCTACACTCGGTCCTTTGACAGAACTTTCTTGAGAGTCAAAAGTCTATACACACGGTAGTATTAGCATATTGTGTTGTGAGCATAGTACATATAAATAAATACATATGTGTGTATATATATATACACTGACTGTCATCTTAGTATGTTATTCGTGTAAGGTTATACTAAAGCACTACACTGTTAATATGTATTGTTGTTCCCGATTGTTGTAACATGTCTGCCCCTGCATGTCTGCGTGGTTTGTCGATAGCAGTCACCAAAAGTACCGCCTAGTCACACTTGGCAAGCGCTCCATGCGTCTCCATACCTCCAGCTAAACCCTAAGCGCCGAACCCCAAACCCTAAACCCTAAAAACCCTAAACCCTAAACCCTCCCAAGCTTCCCGAATTTTCCCAAAGCCGAGCCGGTCACTGCCGAGGTGGCTTGGCCTCGGAGCTGGAGCTCAAGTCCTACCAGTCACTGCCAGGCTGGCTGGTGAGGCGAGCCGCGTGGGAGTGTTGAGCTTTAGGGCCTTCACGGCTCTAGAGTGTTCAGCTTGAGGGCCTTCATGGTTCTTATAAGGGCATTTACGTCTGTGAGCCTTGAGGTCTTGCTAGCCGGGAATTTTTTTGAAGTTCCTCCCAAGAGATCCTACCCTGAAAACTACCCCCTTCGCCTTTTCATGCAAGACAACCTCCAGCCAGCAACTGGAGATTCCCCCCCCCCCCTCCGTGGCTCTCGACAGTCTCGACTCAAGTCTCTTAATCAAGCCAAGAATTTTGGGGAGCTTGGGAGGAGGGGGGGGGGAGGTGGTTGAAACAGTTACAGTGCATAGCAGTTGAAGTCCCAACACCCCGAAAAAAAAAACAAACCCTCAGCCCGATCATCTTTCTCAGGCCTGACTCCAGCGCCTCGCCACCGACTAGGGTAGCACCATGGCTTGACGGCGAGGCGCAGACCAGCTTCGAACTTGAGGGTTTGAGCCTTTTCTAAGGGTCTTCAGGGTCTTGAATTCGGGATTTGGGGCTTTAAGTTCAGGGTTTAGAGGGGTTTTAGATTCAGAGTTTGGAGTTTTGGATGTGCCCCCCAAAACCCTAACCCGCAAGCCTCGAACGAATAGCAGTGGCCCTGACCTCACGCTTCAAAAGTATGGCAGGTCAGCATAACGCGAGACATCGGGGAGGCGGCGCAAGTGGCGCCTCGGACATTGCCCAGAGTGGACACACTTTGCGACAGCTGTTGGACACGCAGAGCCCCTTTACAGTAAGCC